AGTGAAGCAAGTCTCTTTTATCAAGTCATGAAGACTGGGGTGCGTGTATTGGTGTATCTTTGTTTTTCAGTGGTTTTGGCAGATTAAGTCTGTGTTTTATTAATTAAGGTTTTTAGTTGAGATAAAAAAAGTCAGTGTCACTTGCGGGATTCGAACCCACGAATACACGACCGTGACTCAATCATCTCAAGTAAAAACCTTAATTAATTGAAAGATATTAATTGGTCAAGCGGACCACGAAAACTAGTGAATTTAATTTTTTTTAAATTCAATCAAAGTATTTCTATTCACTCAAAGTGTTGTTTTCTGCGTAATTGTGCCATTCTTGCGTGTCGTGTTGACAGTGCCAGTGAGATAACACGACACGCAAGAATGGCACAATTACGCAGAAAACAAACACTTTGAGTGAGTAGAAATACTTTGATTGAATATAAAAAATATTTTTTTGCATTGTATAATTTCACTTTTTTCCATATCCTACATGTATTTGTTACATTTAAATAATGTTTGTAAATCCCAGGCCCTGAAGATGATCTCATTAAAGATCGAAACGTTGTCAGGATAAAGAAAATGTTTTTCAGAAACCTACATCACACCAGACTGCATCTCATGATTTCTGAATAATCACCCACTAACGGTCACTAATCACCACACAGTGAAATATCAAAATCCACAATTTTTTAATTTAGAAAACGAGACATTTTCAGCCGAACGATTTACTATAATTCAATGACCAACTTGGCACCTATTTCATAGAAATTTTTACATTTAAATCGTAACGAATTAATACTGTCATTAACTGTTTATTAGCAATAAAAATTATAATTACATATTACATAAGCGTTCTGTATGAAATTAGCAAAAGGTCGTATGTAACAGAAATTGACATATTTACAGAAACTTTAGACAAGTTTATTCAAAATTGATTTATCCGTTGTCCTGAGAACAAATTGAACTCTATTCGGGTCTTACACAAGGCTCAAGTGTCCATAACCGTCAATTAATTAGAGATGAGGAAATTTACATCTTGCTTGGCTTGACCCCAGCCATGTTTGATTACTCGATTGGATGATTTCATAACGGTGATGAATAGAGACGTAGTGTATCCATCAACAGAACTGCGAAGTTAACTTTGGTCAACCGGGTGGCCAGCTTTTACTGGGCGAGTTTTGAATATTAATGTGAAATTACTCAGTTGTCAGTCGAATGTATTGAATTTACTAAAATAATTCTTAAAAGGCTTTTTGAATATTAATCATTTCGATTGAAAAATAAATTAAAAGAATACGTCGAATATTAGAACGATTTTTCTTGTAATATTCCCTCTGATTTAATTTCTCCCGTCGGGATTTTTATTAATAAAACCTTTTTTCATTATTTTTCAATTCATCTACCTTCTTTTCTTTCCTGGGTTCTGCCTTTTTTACGATATTTCCCTCGGGCGACCTCCGGGTTTGAAACATGGGGAGACACGTCTTCTTAAGGGAACTTGATTAGCTCCTTCGAGGAAGGATATTACATTAGGTTGCCTCCGCCACAGAAAGCCGTCATCTGGAGGGACAGTAAACAACTTTCCACAACCACTTTCAACTTTTCTTTCTTTCAGAATATGACATTCGACCTTTTCTACAAACAAATTAGATAATATCGATCACAAGGTTGATTTATTTTGTAAAAATTATGCAGTTAAATAGTTTATGATATTAACAATAAAATAATCGGTGGTTAAGGTTTATTACTCTTCCAAGTTAACAAACCTGACCAATGATTTTATGAGCAACAGCTTTAAGAAAAAAATGGATACATCTACAAAAACTAAAATAAATAAAGTCAATATATCAACTTTGAAACTCGATAACATTTTACTTTTATTATTGTATAATACAATATGATGAAATCTTGTGAGAAGTACACATGGATTAAGAGACACAGCAAGGCGAGGAAAATTCATTTCTTAGGGAAACTAAGTGCCTGCTTCCGTCTACTTATAACCCAGACTCTTGAAAATATTACAGTTTACAGTTTAATCATCTCCCCGTCTTAGTCTATCTTTCCGTCTAGTTTTACTTGTTGATAAGGCATTTGGCTTTTTCCAATACTCAGAAAATCAAAGAAGGAGTATTGATCATAGTGACCAAAATATATTTAAGAAGAAGAAAAATAACTTTATTCTGGGACTGGTGTCCCCTAAGAATAATTTACATGAAATAAATAAAGGAAGTTCCTTCTATGAAGTTAAAAGTAAAAAAAAAGATAGAAATCTTGGCGTAATGTATACCATAAGGAGGACAAAAGAAAAAATTACGAGAATATTAAACAAAAATAACAAATGTTAACGTGAGGTCTGTGCTTGGAGGGAGAGGAGGTGATTATACAGGTGGGATTTAAAGGAGGAAAAGGAGGCAGCGTGACGATTAGAAAGGGGAAGGGAGTTCCAGAGTTTAGGAGCTCGAAGGATCTTTCGAAGGTATGGGTCGTACGTTGCGGAAGGATAAGGTCGATTGGGGATGAGCGGGTCTTACTAGTGAGATGTGAGGAGTTGAATTGGAGGGATTGGATGATGTAAGGAGGACGACGAGGTTGGATGGACTGGAAAAGAAAGCAACCTAGGAAATACTGTGCACGGAAGGAGGGGAATAGCCAGGAAAGTTGGGAATACAACCCCGACCCCGGGTACACAAATCTTACGCAACAATTTCAATCGCGCGTTCTCCCCCTCCGAGAGACCACCGTATGCCAAACAGCTACAATCGAAGAAGGGAAGTATAAGGGAAGATACAAGGAGTTTGCGGGTGGAGAAAGGTAAGAGAAGCCAAGACCGACGAAACAGGCTGAGGGAGGCAATGGAATGGCGGGAAATTTGGGAAATGTGAGAATGCCTGGAAAGGTTTTGGTCAAAGACTACTCCTAGGTTTTTAACCGAAGAGCAGAAGGTGATATATTTGCTATATATTTGCTGATTGGGGCGATGCGCTGTCTTTGTCCTGTCGGCTTAAACGGGAAAAAGGGCACAATTGACAAATCATGTTCGTCTGAAAGACGTGATTTGTGTCATGTCAAGTTTTGCATTCAGGGTGAGAAGAACAACTGCTGATAAAACTCAACGGCTTGATTTTCCCTCCTTATAACCCAGACCGTCCAAAACGTTTATTAGTTTACTCTACTCATTGTAGTCTGTCTTTTTCGTCAGCTTTATCTGTAGATTCTCTTTGGACATTTTACCATATTTGATCAGGCACCGTTCACATTTTCAAACTGAAAAAAGGACTTCGATTACAAAAATAATGTGCAGACCTTATTCTGAAGATGTCGAGATGACGAAACACATCTGAAAGAACAAATCATTATAAACAGACAAAATACATATTACAACTTGTTACATTAAGGCATCATTGGCTCGGTTTTGTTACAAATTATTCTAAACTCTAAAAATACTATATTCTAGCTGTTTAAATAACAGCAAGACGCTATTGAAATATTTTGGACTTAAACATAGTCACAAAGTTTTCTAGGCCATCCTAACGACCAATTGACGCTGATGACCATTAATCTTAAAGCAATCTCAATTTCAGAGGATTGTGAATACTTTTACAAGCAACGTCTAGCCGAAGGTCGTGGGTTCGAATCCCGCTCTTGACACTAGCTTTGTCATCTCAACCAAGGCCTTAGATTAAAAATATAATTCATTAAAATTGTATATAAGCATGAACTTCGTAAGAGTTTGCTTATGATTGAGAAGTGGTATAATGCAAATTCCCTAGAAAATAAGCACTTTGTCAGAATTCGTATAATTATTTGCGATAATATTAATTATTAAGCTGCTGAGAGGGTTATAAGTCGGCATCAGCCTCTTTGACTGCTCGGTAAAGTGGCGAGGTTGTTCAAGTTATATTAAAACAATAAATTCCACTTTACCGTCATAATTTAATAAGAAGAGGTATAAAAGGCTTCGTCCTGTGTTAAAATAGAATTACGTACTTGCCAATTAACCCACGAAAAAATTGTGGTCATTCTCAATGAAGATGAGTTTCATCAACTATTGTCAAAACAAATAGAAATGTTTAATGTTGAAATTTTTCATTACGTAATGTACTTGGTTCTGCAATTTAAAGTACATCTTCTTCAACTTGAATTATATGTTGAAATTTATGTTAGGGTGAAAAAAAGAAAGCATGAAAAATTGAGTTTTTTGTATGTTTTTTTTTGCCGGCAAATTACATTGGTCATCGCCAGCCCTTGTTTCTTAACTTTGCTTTTCTTATCTTCCTCGCATGTTCAACCTACTAATTTCTTTTACTGTTTCTCCAACCATGTTATGTTTTATGATGTAACGGTAACTTTCTTTTTTCTTTATCCTACTGCTAGTCGATTTGAACCTCAGGGCCTCGTCAACTGTGGATAAAATAACACAATTAACAAACACGAATACACAGAAATAAGATAAAAACATGATAGTCTACTTAGCATTCTCACTACCCCAGAGTACTCGATGCTCCAATTCGCCTTTAGCATAATTCCTCGGGGTAATTGGGGGAAAGGCACCATGAATGAAGATTTTTTTAAACTTAATCTCAAAAAAAAGTTAATTGAACTATCAAACTCCCTCTGCTTTACTATTATTATTAAATAGCCAAGGATAAACAAAATGAGAAAGAGGCTAACGTTGTCGCAAAGTTTTAGGAGGAAAGATCTGCATTTTTTAAACAATTTTACACTTTAACTTTCTACATGAATAAAACAGTAGTTTCATAAATTTTTTTACATTTTAAAACATCACTAGGTAGTCAGGAATTATTTAAACATTCAGGTCTTATCAAAACTAAATTATTTGTATATATTTGTTTCTCAATTTTTAAGTATTGAATTATAAAACTTCAAATAAAAAACTAATTTTTTATATATAAGAAAGTAAATTTTTATAAGAATAAAACAAATTTTAAATAAAATAAATTATCTTTATATTTACAAATTAAATTGTTGGACATAGAGTGTGTAAATAAACCAGCTGTTTTCCTATCAAAAATTCCGGAACGATTTTATGTTAGAAGAGTTTCAGTTTTAGAAGTTTTTAGAAATTTTATCTACGATCAATTGAAGATTCTTATGACTGAATTCTTACCTATTTCTTTTGTTTAAACAAGCAATTTCATCGTATTTAGGTAAAAGTTTTACTTATATTTCACATAAAATTTCAACACGTGAAAAAAGAAAAAAGTGACGGGAGTAATTTCAAAGAAGGGACGCCCTTTAATTTCCGTACGGAACTTTTAACAAGCCAGTCTGTCGTTTTTTCCCATTACAACACTAGTCATTATGAAACAAATTTCCAACCAATTTCAGTTTATTTATAAAGTTTTTTTTATGTGTTAAAAAAATAGATAATAATTGAGAAGGTAATTTAATAATTCGTCAGTTAACAACTGAAGTACATCCGTGTAAAATGTTTTACAATTATCCGACAAATATTTTATTTAAAAATCATTAAACATTTGAAATTGGGTGTATGTGCACGTAAGATAAAGAGTAAGTGAGAGAGAAAAATGGAGGAGTGAGAGAGAGTGAGAGAAAAAGAATGAATGAATAATCTTTTATTTGAAAATTTCTAAAATTTAGATCGCGAACGACTTATCTTACAATTAACGACAAAATACCTTACTGATTAAGACTATGGTTATATATCGTACATTATGATATTGACTATGATTATCATTGAGGTGAGATAACCAGACCGAAAGAGAGAGTTTGAGAGTGAAAAATGAATGTCGATTTATTTAAATGTGAGGGTTATGGAAAACTGAAAGAAATGGAGGATGAAAAGGCTTAGTCCAAAGCCTAGCCACAAACCTAACAATTTCCTGCTCCCTCAAAAGATCCGGAGGAAGGATACCGGCATAATTTCAAAGACATGCTTGTTCTAAGCACTCCTGTTGCAACATACATCATGTTATTATGATTATCATATTATTATCATTGAGGAGGGAGTCAGATAAAGAAAGAAACAGACAGAAAGAGTGAGACAGAATGACAGAAAGGGACAGGAAGAGAGAGATAAAGAGAGAGAGGCAGATAAAGAAAGAAGCATCCAGACAGAAAGAGTGAGGAAGGAGAGGAGAGGAGAGAGAGTGATAGAGAGAGAGATAAAGAGAATGAGAGACAGATAGTGAAAGAAACTTCCAGACAGAAAAAGTTAGGGAGGATAGGAGAGAGTGAGAGGGAGAGAGCAAGAGAGTGAGTGTATCAGACTGTCTGTATGTTTTCTGTACTTGTGGCTTTGCCCGTGCCTGTTACTGTAACCATTTTGTATATAATTTATGTCTTGAACTTTGCTTTTGTGTAAGGTTCTGATACACTGTGAAATATTCTCTATTCTTGGAGTGCTGAAATTAGGGATTCAAGAAGGGTGAGTCAAGATATAAACGTATCTTTCATTATGATATACCTAACTAGCGTCAAAACTTAAAGATGAACAAAAAAGAAAGACATAGGCAGACTACAAATCTTAAATAAAATCGTGTAAGATACGAAGTTCAATCAAATTCACCTACGCCGTAGCATTGCATCCTTTTTTTGNCTTCCTAGTAGTCCAAGTCTTGTATTAAGTAGTTTTTTAAGCCTTGTGTGGGGATTCCACGTCAGTCTGCTGTCGGGATTTAGCCTCAGGAATTTGGCTTGAGCGGAAACTAGTATCTCTTTGTTGCTGATGTTCAATGGAGGGCAAGACCGCTTTTTCAGTGTAAAATTACACTGAGTGCATTTTTCTTCGTTCAGTCTTGTCCTCCATTTTTTACACCAGTCTTCAATAAGCTCAAGGTGTTCTTCAAGATGTTGGCGGTAGCTTGAACGGGATTCGAGTTAAAGGATAGGATTGCTGTGTCGTCCGCATAGGTGGTGATAAAATATACTGGATATACTGGTAGGTCAGCAGTATAAATGATATATAGGATAGGTCCAAAGATGCTACCTTGCGGTACACCAGCCTGTATCTGTTTGACTTCCGAGAATTCATTGCCGCACCTCACTCTGATACAACGATCAGTTAGGTAGGTTTTCAATAAAAGGTAATAATGAGAGGGTAGGAAGCGCTTAAGTTTAAAAAGTATGCCTGGGTGCCAGACCCTGTCGGAAGCCTGCGCTACGTCTAAGAACGCGTCCAGGCAATTCTCCTTTTTTCTAGAGCCGATGAGGTTGTGACGACTACTCTAAAACATTGTTTGATAGTGGTATGTTGAGGAAGAAAACGGAATTGGTCAGAGGGAATGATCCATCGAAAAATCGATTTTTCCGCCTATGACGATTGGATGTTCGTCGTAGAAAATCCACCCACGCTCTTTATCGACGGTAAAATGGTCGAAAGGAGTTTTGATAACCCATTACAGACAGTATTATTGCCACCAGACAGAATAGGTTTCAGTGTACTCACTCAATTTACATGCAGGTCTATTCCAGTTTTACACGAGATTTCAGCAGGCGGTGTGTCATAAATTTTCTACTCGGTCGCGATGTAAATTTTAATATTCCATTAAACGGACATCCATGAAGATAAATCGTAGTTTACTGACCAATCAAATTTAATTTAAAAGATATTATAGATTTTAAAAATATAGTACGAATATTTGTTTTTCATGCATAACAGTGAAAATTTTCTTTAAATTAGGAGATATGCAATTATAGGGTATTGGACATATTAGTTACAATGTAAATTAGAACAACACACCTTCCAACGTCATTTGACGCCAGGAGTATACATACACAAAGTGACATGTGACAACATGGACAAAAGGGCCGCACCTTTAGCGCAGAAATATCCTATCATATCACTATTCCCTACTGTTGTTACAAGACGAGCCATTCAAAAAAAAAAGACAAAAAGTTTGAAACTTTACTGTTTTTCATAATATGAAAAGAGGAACGAAATATAAACAATACAAAACAAACAAAAAGAAAGAGAAATATATCAATAATAATCAATTTTAGAAAGAAAGAAAAGGCTGAATAATATTAAAGTAATAATGAAAGATTTAAGGAAATCGAGGGATTACTTGACAAATGACAGTCTGAAACAGACATCCGATTTGTTCCAGACATCTTTTGTACAAAAGCAAATGGATCTAAGATTACAGCAATCATGTCTGTCGAGGGCTTTTAGCTCGAAAGATAAATCTTTTCAAAACATTGTTTGTTATTCAATTTATCTATTGCAACTTACATCCTAAAATAGTCTTTTCTGAATTTAGTGAGTGATTACAAGTATATATGGAGAAATAAATCATCGACTATTCATAAAATACAATAAGTGATGTAAAAAACAAAATATATACTTGCGCATTATTATTCACACACAAAGATCAATAAAATAATAATAAAACTATACTAATAAAATTAATAGTTTTAATGCTACGTTAAACACTTTTGAGATTTTGTTTGGCTAAGGTGCGTTGGTAAATTCGAATACTTCGGACCTACAGACTCATTCCCTGGCTCTATTTAGAGAGCACGCAGGATTGCCACCCGATTTAAGAATTGTGCTTGAGCACGGCAGCGAATTTCTGGGTCCCCTGTTGCGATTCTTGGAGGAAACGGGGTTGTTCTATTGTATATAGTAATACTAGTTGTGTGTGCCTAGTTTGTGTTGAGTGAATGTATTTATTAGCGTGAATGTGCGGTGCGATAACGCGGAATATCGAGACCCTTCGACCCTCAGTTAGGTTAGTTGAATAATATTGTAAGGTTGTATTTATTAGCGTGAATGTGTGGTGTGAAAGGGTCGATGGCGGAATATCGAGTACCCTAATTGAATGAATGATATGTAGTGTATAAGAGTGAATGTATTTAAGAATGCACGTGGATTTGGGACTGAATTAGTTGGGTGCTGAATTGACTTAGCTGTTGATAGCACCTGGAGCCTAACCTGGCTGGACGTATAAGACTGAGGTTTGCCCCCGGACTGCCAACACCCGGAATGGGTGATTCTCGAGTCTGCCGGCAATTAGGCTCAACTCGGCTCATGTTTGTATGTATGTATGTGCGGATTTTGGCCTATATAAATCCACTCCAATCTTTAAACAGTTTTTTATTAACCGATAATAAAAACAGTTTGCATTAAAACAGTTACTTATTCAAACATTATCAACTTATTCAAAAATCTCGGTTTCAGTAAAAAGGTCTTATCCGTCCAGCCAACGACGCAATCAGTTCTTCAATCCAAATCCTTTCACTCTCTCACTCAATATTAAATACATTCTTTCTTATTTACATACCATTTACTCAATTAAAATGGCGGAGTTACTCATACTCTCTTTACACTTACTATATAACTAACCTATAACTCTCTCACTCTACACATTCACGCTAATAAATACATTTACACTCAACACATATTCGATTATTGGAATCCAGCGGCCCTATATACGAACCCGACATACTTACAAATATGCTTTTTTTTCAAAAACACCGGCACCCCGAGGGTTGATATAACCTCTGCTGTTGCGAACACTCGTAAAACAATAGTATAAGATTAGAAAAACGAATATGCTATAAAAGATTCAAATTTAATTAATTTTTTTTTCTTTGATCATTTTGTTAAAATGTCACAAAATGTTAAATTGTCATTCTCCGTATTAATAAACAACTTTAGCACGTAAAACCACTAAATTCGAATACACTGTAGAAACAAAAAAATAGAGATGATATCGGATCGTAGATTCCTGTCCTCGCCCATATATGGTCGTTTCGCTTTGACGGGCGATTTATTTCTCGTACTTTTTCTATATACGATGAAATATTATAATTGGAATGAATGGTCGGTTGGATCTTCCAGGACACGTATTTTTCCTAGATCCAGTGCAACCAGAAAATGAGACCGTTTATTTATAGCTCCTAGATGTTCTTTACATTCCGACAAGCTAATATAATAAGTCACACTGACATTTAGTTCGTTTAATTAAGAAGAATGGTAAAAAACCCTCACAAACATCAGCATTTAAAATGTTTGCCAAGGGCTCGATTTCACGGCTCAACAATTATGCTAAACCATCAAGGTGGTGGAGCAAAGCAAAACTGTACTGTTCGCCGTGAAATGTTTGTACACTTTCACACTACTCTGACATTGACTCACTCATTCTCTTACTTCCTTTGTATACATATACTCTCTCCCTGCAGTGTTATCTTTCTCTACTTTTCACTATCTGCCTCACACGTCTATCTGTCTGTCTTCCCCCCTCACTTTCACTCTATCTCTTTCTCCCCTCTCTCTCCCCATCTCTCTCCTCTCTCTCTCATTCCTTTCCTTTATGTAACTCACCCTGCCGGCGTATATATACTTTCACCACCTGTCTCACTACTACATCCTCTTTTCTCTCTCCCTCCACCTACAATCTCTCTCTCTCTCTCTCTCTCTCTCTCTCTCCCTTTCACAGCATCACTCACTCTCTCTCTCTCTCTCTCTCTCTCTCTCTCTCTCTCTCTCTCACTCTCACTCTCACTCTCACTCTCACTCTCTTGTACTGCCACCATCTCTTTACTATGAGTACAGATATTATAGTATTTGATTATGGAGGTGAGCTAAATAAATTTATTTAATATTTTAATTTACAAAATGTATGACCTAGAATTTGTCACATGACAAACAGTGGTTTTTATTTATCAAATATTTAATACAATAAAATTGAAAAAAATTCCAAAAATTGCATGGAAAATGATATATTTTTTTGTTTAAGCTGTTTATTTACTTTTAATCAACACTTGCATTTATTTCAGTTGCACTATTTTTACATAAATGTTAATAAAGGCTAATTTGAAATGGTAATATTTAAAAAACACTGTATGGTTCATATATATAACAAGGACAAACGTTCTGTGTATGAAATATCCTCACTCCAACCCCCTGGGAGGGTGGTTAATTCAATTGGCGAAACCATCAGGACAATAATTGCATTGGGCAATTATTCAAATTGCAAAGAACAAAACTTGAAGTTTTCTTCAAAATCATATTTCTTGAATGCATTTTAACATTTTTTGTTTTACAAAATAAGTTCTAGTTATGTTGTCAAACTATTTTAAAATAAGTAATTTAAAAATTATTAGGGTACTACGGTGTTTATTTTTATTTTGTTTTGTTTCAGTATGAGCTGAAATTTAATGACTACTCAGCACGGCAAAATCAGGCAGGAGATTAAACACAGGTATTGTACAAAAAGTTGAACAAGAACGCTTTAAATACAGACAATTACTAAATTGAACTTCTTACTCTAATTCCGTCTCAGTTTATAGAAAGGGGACGGGTGTTTGCCATTGTTAGTTAATACACCCTTTTCAATAATGAAATGGGCTTTGGGAGAATGACTACTTTGTCTCAGCATTCATTAGCAACTTTCTTAACGCTGAAGGATAAAATCGCTAACTTCGCTCTAAATTGAATTTTTCTTAAAACCGATTTACAGCCAATTTCATGGTCGAAAGTCAATTTCCAAGCTGGGGCTCGATAAGTTTGCGATAAAAACTTGGACTCTTGGATTGAGAAAGATAAAGAAAAAGGTTTATCCCTTTGTGTACCTTGGTGAATAACTGTTAAATAAGAAAGACTGCGTTGTATCTTCTTTCTCCTTTTTTCCTGTGACTCAACTTTTAATGATCTTTATTAAAAATGTTAACAATTATTGCTTTGGTTGTTGCTACATCACTGCCACAGTTCGGCAGATTTCTCAGAACCAATGTTACAAATTGTCTCCCTTCTGAAATTTTCTTTTCTTTGTTATACTTTTGTGTCATGCAATGTGAACTTACTATTCAGAACTTTATTTCTTTATGATATTTTATTTCTTTTATGTTTATATCATTTTAAAAAATCCATAATATGTTTAACAGACATAATTTACCGTATTAATTATTTCAATTAATCCTACTTTTTATCGAAGGTCTTGGCTGAGATGAAAAGTATAATTAATTATTTTAACTATTTATTATTTTTATGTAAGGTCTTGGTTGAGATGAAAAATTTAGTATCACGGTGAGATTCGAACCCACAGCCTTCGGCTCAAAATCCTGCTGCTCTAATCACTTGAGCTATCATGAAGTCAAGGTGTTTTTTCGGTCTTAAGCAGTTCAAAATTTCTATCTTTAATTATTTAATTTTTTTAGACCTTTTTTTTAATATTGTAAAATAAAATAAACTGATTATTTTTTTTAGCAAATAAATTGTTAGTTTATTGTTTATATTGTGAGTATTTCCTTTGTATTGCTCTATCTTTATTATAAAATATGCTACAGAAAACAAAATACGTCAGATTTGCAGTGATAGCGAGTTATCTTTCTTTGATTTTTTGTTCAACGAGTAATAAATGTTAATGAAACTAGTGTTATAAATGTTCAATGCATAAATAACAAACATTCAACAGTACAAGTAAATGTACCTAATGTTTTATTAACCTGCTGGAGTGTGCAATTTGATTTATGGTGCCAAGGATTACAGTCAAAAATCTTTTATTCCATAAATATTAAAGTAGTTCAGAATAGCATAACATTTTGGAAAGACTATCTGCTTAATTAATTATGAAAAAGTTAATTACATCTCCTTACTCACAAAATAAAACACTGTTGTAATAAAATAACCAAAATCTTGTTAGAAAAAAAAAATAACCAGCCTTTTTGTTTATTTCCCTACCAGATTTTATTTATGATTCAAATTTTTGTTGAAACTATTTGGCAAAAAGCAAAATAATTTGTAACTTATTTTAGGTATTCCCTCAATGATTAATAGACAGTTACACCTATGGTCCAATTCAAGGATGTATTCATTTTTCTAAAATACAAGGTATTGTATAATAAATGTTTAAATAAATGAACAATTAAGAATTAATTCAAAATTTTCAATTTATTAATAAATAAAGTCGAATTGTAATGGCTAATTTTAATGTTTTTGTTATTGGACAAAACTTGATGCTCATAAATAAATTTGCTACACACAGCTTGATGTTAATAATGTCAATTAATTGTTTTTATGGCAAACAGAAGTTAAAGAAAAAATTTGTTTTATTATTTTAATAACAAAGAAAGGATTTTAAATGTTTTATTTGCTGGAATTTTCTTAAATAAATGTTCTTTTCCAGGTCTGCAATGGCGGGGACTGAGGATGAGGGTGAGGGTAAGAGGTACATTGTCACGTGTGAAAGCTCGTGCAGGTGCACTAAGATCATCTCACGGATCTCCTCCATGGCTAAGACTTCTTCCCCTCGCTTGTATTATTATTATAATAGTGGCGCTTGGAATTCTCGCAATATCAGAGGTACATAAGTTCAAGAAGTAATTATTTTTATTGGCAAATTAGGCAATTTTCTTTTCATATGGTCAATAATATGTTGTTCATTTTCTATTTGGGTAATGATTGAAATGTCATATTTGATAGATGTCAATGCTAGGAAAGCAAGGAGCACCGCCACCCGTTATGGGTGGAGGGGGTGCTGCTGCCAGAATTATGCCTGGCCGGGTTCACAAACATTCGTCATCCCAGCAAAAACCGACACCGACTGTAAGTCGAGGGGAAAAAAGAGATGCACGATTTAAAAAAAATGCATGAAAAAAAGCCTGCCTCTTTCTGATCTTTTACCTATTATGAATACAATATTACGTCAAATTTTTTGCAAATATTCTTTCATGTTTTCAGTCGAAAGGGATAGTTTTCAAAATGGAGCCGCTATTGAGAAGAAATGCCTTAAGTGTAGAACTGTGGGCACAGATTGTGCTGAACAGAGTCAGAGGTCGGCTTTTGGCCCGTACAATCGAAAAAGAACAGGACGTAGACAGAGTCGAATTTTGTCAACCATTTCCATTGCCTGATTGTCCCAAAGTTCCTCCAGAAATAAGTAAGTTAACTTTTTTTATCAAATAAATGTTACAAATTACTTTCATTATTATGTTCTTTTCATGATGAAGCATTTGTCAGCAAGGAATAGCCCACCTGATGAGGTATATTACACCGAAACGCGTGTTGAGGGATACTCGAGTATCAAACAGAGAGACATGAATAGTAGTAACTTTACATTGCTTCCAATGATAATCATGAGCTTCCATTAAGAACATTAATGCTTCCAATGATAATCATGAGCTTCCATTTGTTGTTAATTGTATCTGCCTTATTCATGTAATGGATGAGGTATGTGCATTTTACAGCAGATTAATCAGCTGGGAATAGCCCTCCTGACGAGGTGTATTACACCGAAACACGCGTCGTGGGATACCTTGCTGACAATTTCATTAAACAGTCCTACAAATATCTTAAAATTATCTATACGTATCAAGTATATTTTTTAACCTCGTTTCTTATTTTTTAGGTCGTACGGTAAATGTTCAACAATGGCTGCATAATCGCAACAATTCTACAACACCTAAACCATCAGGTCTATTTTCAACAATTGGAGGGACCTGGAGGCCACCTCATTGCACATCGAGGCATTCAATTGCAGTTATAATACCATACAGAAACAGAAAAAACCAACTTGATGTTCTTTTAGACTACCTCCCACCTCTTTTACAAAGGCAACAGGTCAACTATAGAATTTTTGTAGTTGAACAGGTAATTAACTGCCCGTAATAAAACATCTTCAAATAAGTAAGGCATAGATTGTGTATATTTATTGAATTATTCTTGTGTATGCATAAGCAATTTAATTTTTGAATTTCTATTAAAACATGGAAAATTATGCCTTTGTTTTGCAATGCACAATAAGCCTGGTTTCCAATTTTAAATATGCTTATACCAAAAGTCTAGTAATTAATTTTATTATAAATTTGTATCCTGTGGTCTGAAAGAAAGTTGTTGAACTTTTATGAGCAGTTTAATCATACTCATATCATAGATTAAAAAATTGTGTGACAAACTTGCAACAATTTTTTTTGCATAAAATTACATTAGCATACAATATCAAGTTAAATTGTAAAAGAATAAATTGTGAGGTTTTCTCTTTAGGTTTGCAAGGTGATGAAAATGTAGCTTGGCCATTTTCAATCATTTTAGTCTGCCTATCATTGCTGTTTCCTTTTTTCACAGTCATCAGTGGTTAATGTCAATCAGACAGATGAAAACATTAAAGATGGTCAAACCAAAATGATTGGAAATGACCGATCTAAATGTAAAAGTTTATACATCAGTTATGTTGTTCTGGATAATTCTGGATCAGAAATTATTAAACTGCAAGTTCAATAACTTACAGACTGCACTACAAAACTATCTATCCTTTATATCTCTGTGAAAATATGTTTTGGCAAGAATATAAACACAATTTACTTCAAAAATAATTTTTATACTTATATACAATACATTGAATTTTCTATAATAAAGTAATATACTAAATTAATATTTATTTTTTAATATGAACAATAGAAAATGACGATATAAGATTTTATTTATTTTCAGATTGGCAATGATACATACAACAAAGGGATTCTAATGAATGCTGGTTTTCTCACTGCCCTAGAAATGCCTTCTGAAGGTGTAACGTACCACTGTTTTATTTTTCACGACGTCGATTTGCTACTTGAAGACGAACGGAATATGTACACCTGTCCTCAACAGCCGAGACATTTATCTGTGGCTGTTAACGAGCTGGGTTATAAGTTAGTACTCCAGTGTCTTCTTTAATGTTAAATAAAAGGTGATGATGACCTAAAACCATCACAAACAAAACATAAAAGAAAATGAAAGAAAATATTTAAGTTTTGGTGCAATCTGGTATATTTATTTTTCCCCCCCAAAAGGTTTCAAGATTGACTACACTTCTGTCAATATTTTACAAAAATACAGAAAAATAATATTAAAAGATGTTTAAAATATATATATATATATATAAGATCCCTTTCCGATAATCTTTGTTTGTCTATCCTCACTGTGATAATCCATCTGACACATTTCAGCATTTTGCCATCTCAAGTGCTTGGTCTATGCTTTTCCTTTACTTTCTTATTTACTTGATGCCACACACTGAAGATAATGAAATGCCAAAACATGTCTGACAGACAAACCCAAGGATAGACCAAGATAATCGGTATCAAATTACAGGTTTAACACCCTGCAGACTTTCGGGAAGAACTTTCGTGATTTATATTAAAAACAAAATTCAAATTGATTTTTAATTTTTATGTAAAGTGTGGTTGAGATGAAAAATTACTGTCATGAGTGGGATTCAAACCCATGACCTCTGACTGTATATGTGGTTCATCTCAACCACACTTTACATAAAATTATAAATCAATTTAAATCACTGGTTAATTAGGACCAACAAAATACATATGATTTAATAAAATTAAAATCTTAATGAGGGTCATCGGTGGCAAATTTTAATCTCAGCAGCCCTGAATTCAGACCCAGAATAAAACCTGGGGTTGATACAGCTCTACTATTCCAAGCCCCCATATTAAAAATAATAATTAAATCTATAAGTAATAATTTTCATTATTTTCAGATTGCCTTATCGAATACTTGTAGGTGGAGTTTTTGCCATTAGGACAGAACATTTCCTAAGGGTTAATGGATACTCCAATCTTTATTGGGGTTGGGGAGGCGAAGATGATGATATGGGATATAGGTAATAATTTTGATACTATAAATCAGTTTTCAATGACTACATTTTTCCCCTTTTACCGAAGGGTTGAGCATGTAATGTCTTCGATTTCAAGACCACCCGAATGGATTGCAAGGTACACGATGCTAAAGCACGACAAACGAAGACCGCTTTCCCGAAAAGTCAGAATGAAACTACTTCGCACGTCGTGGAGAAGGTACAGGCTAGATGGCTTGAACACTGTCCAATACGGACTGGGCGATGTCATCGAGAAAGATTTGTTCACGCACGTTTTCATCGACGTTGGCCCTCCACCCAACTCGTACAGGATAATTGAAGAAGAGGAAAGTGTGAAGAACACAAAATAAATTGTTATCGACGGCTCAATTAGAATCCCTCCACAAAATTACAAACAGAAAGTTAATAATAGAATCTTACCAGTAAATGGGCGAGATTTAAAAATAAACAAGTAACTCTCATGCTCGTCTAAAATACTCAATTGTTTTGAATTGATGTCACTTTGGATTAGAACATAACAAATTATTTAAAAAACTAGACTACCCTCTAATTCAAAAGACATAAAATGCATTCTAATGTGAATTGTGATTGTCGCAAGTGCCTTTCATTAAGAGTTTTTCGGTGGCTCTCCAACTCGCCTTCTCAGTGCAAAAATATCAGACATCTTTACTTTTATTTTACATTATTTAGTAAAATATTAAAATAAAAGTCCTAAAAATGTGTTGATAAAATTCTATTGTGGATGTAATATAATCTATAGAGATAATATGATTTCAGCAATGTTGAAGCTTTCAAATTAAATGTACAGTTCGTGATTAAACCGTGAAAAAAAAATATTACGTGCCAACAGCAAATTTCAACTATTAATCAGTATCATCACTAGTGTTAGCTAATATAACTATATTTATATACTGTATAAGTCTAGTATTTTAATATGCAAAGTGCCAATTGTAAAAATAACATGTAAAATTGAGTTAATAAAATATATAAAGCCAATTCTACTATTGAATATTTCATTGAGTCAGTGTTGAGAAAGTGGTAAAATAAATTTTAAATGTAATCAACCTACAGGATGAAATTTATAGAAAAGTTATTAAAAGCATGAGCTCAGAAAGTTTTGTGAAAACCCTTTCAAATCTTAAGACTATTTTGTAGCTATCTCGCAAAGTTCTATCTTAAAAATAAATTGACAAAAATGAAAGTGTGGCAATAAAGTAAGTATGGTAATAAAAGAGTATATATAATAAATATGTACATAAATTAGAATCTTTAATCATAAAAAGTTGACATGGATCAAAACTGAGCAAATTTTTTTTTCAAAAAATTTAACCCTGAGGCCTATTCTACATGAGTTCCACCTGCTTCTTATTTTTAATGGTTGCTACGCGTTTGAAATGCATACTAGGTAACATGAGACATATGATAACTACACATCATATGAGTACAGGTTTTCAATGTAGTTAGTTTCAAAATGAACTCTCTTCAGGTAGGATGTGTTATGGGGATTTTATTGTTGAAGCAACTTTAAAAATAAAAATAAAATAATATAAAAAGTTAGAAATGATAAAGAGGTATGTAAATTCACTTTTCATAAATGGTGGTTCTACCCACAGATTGGTGGTTTTACAACAATCCGGATTTCAAGCATTTTAAGAGAGACTGACAAATAGACGACCAATTCATGTCGAGAGACATGTTTGTAACACCTTTAACCTGATGATGAGTTTTTAATGCTTGAAATCCGGATCGTTGTAAAACAACAAATCTGTGGATAGAACCATCATTTACAAAAAGTGAAAAAAAACTGCCATCAAACTTTGCTTTGTCGATTTATGTCATTTCGCCTTCACTTCTCTATTGGAATATTCCTTTGCATAAGCAACTCTACTTTACAAATGAATTTTTTTGATATACTCAATACTCAACTTTTTTCCCACATTCCTTATCCCCATGCACCGATCAAATTCCATGCCTTCCAACACTCCTCTATAACTTCAGCTTTATCATTCAGAATTGCAGGGATAAAGCTATCGAATTTGCTTCCCTGGGAAATACGTTTTGCTCCCTCATTGGCTTGTCAATGGCATCTTGGTTATTAAAAATGACATGAATCCATCTTTTATTTTTTTGTTTCCTTCTGTTTTTTTTCTCATTTTGTTTTTCTTTTGTAATCTGGTTTCATCATTCCATTATAAATTATCTTATAGAATATATAATTGTCTTTATTGTTTTATGTATTTTATTATATGTTTTAGAAACACTCGTATAGATTGAACCTGTTTTTCTATACAAATTCATTGAAACAAAATATGTAAAAAAATTGAAGGGCATTCTAAACATCACATTTTTAGCACTCGTGTAGAATATGCCTGACATATTCAGCCAAGATGCTATCAGAACATTTTCGAAATTGAAATTTTGATCAAAACCATTCAAATTGTAAAGTTCTTATTTCTAATAAAAGTTTTGGATCTGAGAGAATCTTATGTTGCAACGACTACTACATTGAATATAATTTAAAATAAAATAAATAGTCGACATTTGAACCAAGGATATAAGTAGTAGAGGCTAGCGCACATATCAAGTACTGGTGATGAAAAAATGCTGAAACGCATCTGACAGGCCAGGATGATCAGTAATGACCAAAATACAGGCTCATCGCCTCACAGACCACAAGAGGCTCAGGATAAAACAATAAGATTCATATGGAAAGTTGATAGACGGATCTAAATTAGTTCATTTTGTGGATTCAGCTCTTAATAGTCTAATCGCCAATGATTTACTAAACATGAACTACCAATATTGAACTATCAGAAATAAATATGAATCACTTAAAACAAAACAAAAATTTAAAATCATTTTGTAAAACTTTACCTCAGATACACCCTGACAAAATATAAGACAAAAATATAACACTTAATTCACAAACAATCAAGATGATAATTTTAAAAAATTATGACAATTTTGTATATAATTTTCAGTACAAATAAGAAAATAAAACATATTTTAGGATTTTAAAAACTACAGAAATAAATTGAGTAGTAGTTTATTTGCATTTAAGTACAGATACTTATTACATAAATTGAGTATTCTTCCTGAATATTCTATAAAATTTTAAATACTCCTACCACCTTTAACAGTTCGTACAGTTTTAGTTACCTAAAGCTAAAAAAAACTCTTTATCCTATGATATGGCCATTTTGAGGCCTGGAAGATTTACTTTGAGCTTTTTATTTATATTTTTCAAATAAGTACTTATATATTATAGCATCTACACAATGGCAAAATTAACAATAATTAATACACAAATATAATACAGTTGATTAACTCACTATTTGTTCTTTTTTAAGTATTTTTTATAAGCAATAAAACAAAATATTATTTTAACAAAATCAGACTTTAACAGCTTAACTACTGACAAAAAATATTGCTAATAATCACAATGAGCCATTACAAAATAATACAATTATCCTTATATCTGATATAAGTAATAAACGGGGGGCCGCGGTAGCCGAATGGTTAGCGTGAGAGACTCTCGGCTCGTAGACCCCATGGTCGTGGGTTCAATTCCAGCCGTCGCCTCTGGCCTTTTTTTCACGATACCCTTCCCCCCCAAAAACAAATACGCATAACATTGTCATATGCATAGAACATAAAGCCATTTAAAAAAAAAAAAAAAAAGTTATAAACAGTAACCATAGCCCAGTCAAAAATTTATTAATTATATTTATTGTCGATTTCATTTTAAACTTTATTATCCTTGATTGACATGATTACGATTAGAATAAATATTGGTCGCAGAATATGATTAATGAAATGTTACACTAAGTAAGCTCTAGCCGGAAACTTTGAATACTGGAAATTCTTTTTTTCTGAAAATCACAACCCTCACTGCCAAGTTTTCGATACTCGTACTTACTCGTACCTCCGTACCGAGTATACTCGTGAACCTTTTTTAATCAACAGTTCTATGCTTTCTCAACAAGAGAAAAAACAGCAAGTGGTAATTATATAATTTTCAATTAGAACAACATTAAAAATTGAAATAATTATCACAATCGAACTTAAAAGGTTGAAAGAGATGAAATTTGTTTAAGTCCGTAAAGTCTCACTTTATAAACTAGATATAAATTATAATTAATCATAATAAGTAATCATGGTAACTAGAATTTGTCTTTTATAAAATTAACATTGTATAAATTAAAAAATAAATAAATAAAAAATACTATCAAGGTGCCATACCAATGAATAAACTTGTGAATTAGTTTATTTTTGATTAAACAAAACAGACTTTCTGCTAGTATGATATATCTAAAAAAAAAAAAAAAAAAAAAAAAAAAATCGAAATGGCTATTCTCTACCTAAAGGAAAGGAATTAGGAGGCTGATAGGTATTCTGACGGGCCACTGCCCACTGAGAAGACACCTCTCGGTAATGGATATTCTACCAGATCCCATTTGCTGTTTTTGCCAAATAAAAGAAGAAACGGCAAGGCACTACCTCACGAGTGTGATAGGCATGCTAGGTCCAGATTTGAAATCTTTGAAGAGAGGACATCACCAAATCAATCCCTGAGATTAAATGGTCCAAAATCTTGGGGTTTGTGAACAAGTCCAAGAGATTTATGCAGGACACGTGAGCTGACCAAGTCCCGGATCTTTTAGGGATGTATATATATAAGCACACATTCAGCCAGTACAGATATTTCTTTATATGTATATGTATGCATAATATAAAAACTGGTAGGTATTCAAAAAAGTTAGAATAAAAAAATTGACTAGGGTGACAAGAGTACAAATGCCGATTTATGATATTTTAACGATTTAATGACAGTGATATGATTTTCCCGATTTTCTTTTAAAATGCCACGTTTGGAAATGATGATATGTAAGAGTTCGAAGCTATTTGTTAAAAGATATTTTTCATTTCCCAATTCTCAAGCGCTAAAAGCCTAACAGTAGCAAGGAAGTACACGAGCCCATATAATTTGACGTATTTTTAAATCTATTTACTTATCCTTCCATGTCAGTATCTCATCCAGGATCGCTTCCAAGTATGGATTTCCTCCAAGCAAAGTTATTTCTTTTCTTGCCTCTTGGTCTAGAGATGCCAGAACTTCTCTCGTGTGGTTGAAAGAACCGAATTTCTCCAATAAAGAAATGCAATATCGTTTCACTTCTACGTCGTGCGTTCTTTGACGGAGTATATCTGAACGTTATGATTTAAGGAAACTTATTAATCTTAAATACTCATCATTGTCAAAATAAAATTATTTTTAAATTATCATTAAATAAAATAAGCTTAAAATAAAAGTATAGAAAAATAAGGATACTAAAAACTTGTTTGTCTTCAGGCTTTGTATGAATAGCATGAATTATAGGGAAACTGAATTTTCCTTCTGTCAAGTCTTCACAGAAACTTTTATTTTCTGAATACTGAAACAAAACAGGATTAAAGTTGATATAATTAATGACAATTTTTACAGGCTTACTTCCTGTGAGCACAGGTTGCAGTAGTCATCCCTTATTTGGAAATATAGGCCAAAAATGCCAGCGAGCTTTGTAAAATCCGCTTTGTTGTCGCTGAACAGTTGCATGAGACGAACAGCCAACATGAAAAGCCCTCCAGTCTCTAAGTAGGAATTAAATTTAAATTGAATTTTAAAAAGTTTGAAGACAGAATCCATCAAGAACACTACTCACTTTTCATTGTCATAATTTTATATTCATCTTCTGAAGGGCATATAAAATTGTCCCTCCAGTATATTTCCATCCCTTGTCCCCGGTGCAATTCTAGTAACTGTTCAGTGTAAACAGCAGTCGCCTGAACAAAAAAAAAATTAAAATAGAAAATTCTGAATAAATGATATTTACAGATTAAAAATAAAACAAATTCAACTAACTTCAGGATGTCCAAGGGCTAGGACTTTTTCCAAAGCTAAGAAAAAAACATAATTCGCTGTATTTATTGTACTTGCGACCCCATATATGCTGTGAGCAACAGGTATCCCTCTTCGGAGAATTGAATTGTCTTGAATATCATCAATTCTAAAAAAATTATTATTAAAAATGAGACAATCATTCAAAAATTTAGTTGTAGCATACAGTAAACTAGCGTTGTGAAGCATTTGTACAATATCACCAACACACTGCAATTTTTCAGCTGGAATATCTAGCCAGAAATTAAACGCATGTGCTAATTTTGCTCTTATTTGTTTACCCGGAACTTGGAGTATGTATGAAAATGGCTGGAGTAATTTCTGAAATTAGACAAAACAATAAGAAATTTAATGGTTTAATGGTGGGTGAATTTAAAGAACAAACATTTAAATTAAACATATAGCAAAGAGTTGCTATTGATTAAACAAAGTATCTGCAAATTATATAGACCAGTACTTGAAATCCAGAACCGCAAAATTAAACAAACAAAATTAAACAAAAATTAATAGTGCATGAGTGAAAATGAAATATATTAAAATGTTCAACCTTGAAATCCCACCGTAATAAATTTCTAATACGTAAAATAAATAAACTTTTTGAATTATGCTCAAAAACACAAAAATGGCAAAAAGCTGAAGACGATTATAATATTAAACAAATACATATCCCAAAAGAAGAACAAGTAAAGAAAAACCTCAAAAACGAGAAGCTTGAATTAAATAATTACTATAAAAATTAGTACCATAGGACAAACATTTTCAAAGGAAATAAATTGTCATTCTCATATAGACATTATCATTCATTCATATATAAAAATCTTATTTATTTTTTTATATATTACATATGAAAAAATTAATTTAAAAATGTGTATCATTAATTAATTATACATACATTAATTATAATGAAATATATTACAATGTTCAACCTTGAAATCCTACCATAATAAATTTCTAATTAATTAATTCTTTTTTAAAGTAAAGTGGTCTGTTTTATTGTTTTATACTTATAACAGAAAATATTATTAAGAAACAATCTTCTCTCAAACACAGTTTATAATTTAGATTGACCAAAATTGTAAAGAAAAATGGATGTCATAGAAACTATCAATTTATATGTACTTAATTATTTAGTTAGAGTTAATTGGTTTGCTATTGTTTTTAGAAGGGTTGGTTCAATCAACTAATTAATTTAAATAATCATTCCAGCGGACCAAGTTGGTCAAGATTGCATTTCTAATATGATTCTCGTATTTTTACATACGGCCATTTGTTCCACAATATTGCTGGTGTCCTTGTAAAATTTGGTCAGATAATAATAGAAAATTTCTACTTAACTAGTCCAATGTCTTATCTGCAACACTCGTACAGATAGCTAAGGCCTTCTTGTGTGACAAGAATTACAATGTTCAACGCATATTACCATTTTATTTTTTATTTTTTATTTTTATTTATTTTTTTGAGGGGGTTATAAACATAAATTTGAAACACTTGAACATAATATTTGTTTAATCCTTTTTTAAAAAATTATCTTTTTAAAAAAGGATTGAACTTTTAGAACTCACTCCATCATTCACCATTTCTACTATTTGTTTTATTGCATTGGAACATTCACTGAAATTCGGATAAGACAGTCTCTTGTATATTGTATGTAAATTTGACCAAAATGACTTGCTGCATTTTTATTAACTTAATGATATACATATTTATTCCTAGATTTTTTTTTAATATTTGCTCAGTTGGAAATGACTGAAATGCATATTCATCACCTTGCAGACTTCAGGCTTAAACATTTTAACTTGCTTAAACTAAATAAGACAGATTGAGAACTGCAATGCAAAGAAACTCAAGTTTGGTCACTTCTACTCATACAGACAGACCAAATCAGCGACGGTAATCGATCAAGAATCATCATCATGTCAAAACTATATTTGTTTTCATCACATAGAAGAACTCACAAAATTTATTGTTAAATTTCATTTACATTGTTAACAATAGATCGCTAAGACAGATTTTACTGAAGTTTGATCATCATGGTTTTTGCTCAGTTGGAAATGACTAGAAGGCATTGCCTTGCAGATGTAAAAATGTTACCTCTGTATAAAGCAAATAATCTAGACTCTGCTTGAGCCCTGTATCTAGAAGAGTCAAAAACAACACTATACTATTCAACTGCCCTGCAATAGCTAACAAGGCTATAGAACTTGGGAAAACTGTATTTGAACCACCAAAATTTGACACCATGCCCCAGACTAGAATTACATCCTTCATAAAAGGAACAAATATCTTCTCAGAACCTATCAGAAGAGATCAGTACACTAGATGAAAGTTTAAATGCTAAAGTAACAAATCCGTACAACTCTATATGGAAGTAAAATTAAAGTTTCATCACCTCGCAGATCTCAATACAAAAAATTATAATAAACTGGGTGTTTTATAATTGATATAGTAATATCAATGCCAAATCGGCAGAAAAGCTATCGTGTATCAAGAGCACTGCTGACAGATGGCCCTCGGAGGGGCACTTGGAGGACCTGACTCATAGAAGAGGGTAATATTCACCTGACTGAAGAAGATGCAAGGTTGGGACCAGGACACTTAATTATGGGCCAAAGCTTACATATACGTCAAGGGTGCAATTCCTCAGCTCAATACATTCCGCACATAGGAATGCCTTCCGATGTGAGAATTGTGCTTGAGTGCGGCAGCAGGTATTTGAATCCTCTGTTCTGATTCTTGGTTAAAACAGAGTTGTTTTACTGTATGGTGTCCCTTTGAGTTTGAGAATTAATGTATTTATTAGCATTGATGTGTTAGTAATTATTAAATGTAAAGGATGATGGAGGAATATCGCAGTACTCCAATACCCTGAGTGAATGGTATGTAAATTGGAAAGAACGTATTCAATAGTGAAAGTATAAATGGGAGACCCTTTACCCCTTTGGGGGCTGAAATGACCTAGCTGTTGATAGGCCATAGAGCCCTCGGTGTTCCTGGATGGATAAGACAGAGATCTGACTCCGGACTGCCAATGATGATTCTTAAGGCCTGCTGGTAATTTATTGTAAATTACAAATGCTGGAATTCCGCTGGACTGCGAAAAGTGATAGGTTCAACTCTGTACATACGTATGTGTACATGCATGTGCATATTTGAGCTTATGCAAAACAGTAATCAGTACTGAAATAATCAATGTTTTTGTATTGATCAGCCTTTTTTCTTCATTACATCATATCCATATTTAAAACAATTCCATGATTGACTGACAGACAATGCTCAGACCAAACCGTTGGATTAAACGGCTGAAATTTTGACAATGCATTCTTATAATGCCATGGATAGCCATTAAGAAAGGATTTTTTTTTTTTTTAATTCCATCCCTGTCATATTTAAGGCACAGTTCCGTGACTGACTGACAACGCTCAGACCAAACCGTTGGATCTAAAAGGCTGAAATTTCAACAGAGCATTCCTATAATTACATGGATAGCCGCAAAGAAAGAAATTTTTTAAATTCCATCTCTAAGGGGATCATATTTTACAATGTGCGGTGTTTAGTGACCGTTAGTTAATGATTATTTGGATATCGTGAGATGCAGTCTGGTGTGATGTAGGTTTTAGAAACACATTTTCTTTATCGTGCCAACGTTTCGATCTTTAATGAGATCATCTTCAGGGCAAAAAAGTGTTTGTTTTCTGTGTAGATGTGTCATTATTGTGTGTTGTGCTGAAAGTGTACTTTGAGCCCTGAAGATGATCTCAATAAAAATCGAAACGTTGGCACGATAAAGAAAATGTTTTTCTAAATCCTACATCGCACCAAACTGCATCTGACGATCTACAAATATTTTACAATTTTTTACCACGCAGACCAAAGTGAACTGATGAAGAGAAGAATATGAGAAATGAGACATTATCTAGAAAGCCATACTAGGACTCTGAATTACTGTGACATAAGTAATGATATGGTTCTTAATACACATAATGTTCAGCTAGGAAATATCATAATTGCTAAAAGTTTAATAAACAATTATTATAAGCGTTTAAATACATGTAGATTCTGCCATGCATTTGTAAATTAATTATTCTTTTATAATAATAATTAAAACGAAACAACTGACAGACTTCATCGAACGAGCGACGCAGGTTCTAGGTACTAGCCAGCAATTGGAAAGTGTTAAGGTCAAACATGATTTTTCATGTTTTCCAACTGTTTCCAATCAAGAGTTCAGGTTAAATCATTTTATTTACCTTTTCTAGTTCTTGGTCCTTGTTTTTACTCTGAGAACTCAGATTATTCAAATCATCCATCTTTATGATCTAAATCCGTTTATATGATTATACACAGACGAAAAATTGGTAGATTGATCAGCACGAGGAGAGTAGAGCCAGTAGGAAAGTCATTGAGGAACTAATGTAATATTGATTTGAGAGTTTCTCTACACTAAACAAGAGAAACGATGAGAGCGCAAGTCCTGATCTAACCCTCTACCAGAACTGAAAATCGAAAATTTTCATCGACCTGAAATACAAATCTGGATAGAGAAAATTGGTCATATTCGACCTATGAAGTGGCGAAGGACTGGTCAAAGGATGGGTTGTATCGTCGAAGCGATTTCCTGTCTGGGTCGGACGAGATATTACCCTGTTTATTGATTTGTGGGTGGAAAAAAACTTCCCAGAAACTTGAGATTAAAACCTCAACAAAGGGAAGCTAGTGTAAATACATGCTTTTAACAGAGGGTCGTCTCGGTTGAAATCGAGACCAGTGGGTTTGCATCACACTGTGATGCAAGGGTCTGTTGGTGAGGTCATTGGTAGTCCTTCGGACAGTAGCTCGTATCTTAAACCAAAGAAATGTTGAATATGAGGAAATACGATATTGCAAATAAATAATCAATTCCCAGTTATATTTGCACCTCAAATTTGGAATACTGGAAAAGTACTGTACCAAGACACACTGATGAACACAATTAACCCACCACCCTTAAATTTTAATATATTTAGGGTTATTCATATTTTGCATACCAAAAATAGGGTTGATTGTACAAAAAAAAAGAGAGAGAGAAGAAGAAAAAATAGAACATTAAAAAACAAACGATTTTTTTCAAGGCTTGTAGTACTTTTGTGGTCGAACTCCAATATTACAGGTTGAATGTCAATAAAGCCTTTAGTTCCAACTGTTTATTAGTTTATTCACAAAAGTTTTTAACTTATATTGTAAGCATATTCAGCCCTTATAATAAATAGAGTGACAAATATATAAATTTTGAAAAATCTGTGTACTTATGTGAACATGATCTTGTACTTTACATCTAATGAATTGAATGAAAAAATTACATTTCATGAAAATTAAACTAGCTAACATGAGGATGTACTCTGTTTTTTGTTATTATATACAAAGCAAATCCTCGTGTTAACTGGTTATTTTATTTTATTTTCATTAAATTTAATTATTTCACTCAATTTGTTAGATGTAAAGTATAAGATCATGTTAACATTACACAGATTTTTCAAAATTTATATATTTGTTACTCTATTTATTTATGTACGGGATGCTTATAATATAAGTGAAAAACTTTCCCGAATAAACTAATAAATATTTGGAATTAAAGGCTTTATTGATATTCGATCTATGATGGTGGAGTTCTACCATAAAAGGTACAAAGGTACAACAAACCTTGAAAAATTTTTTGTTTTAATTTTTTTTTTAGTATTAGTATTTAGTATTAGTAGTAAACATTTTCTTTAGATATGTCTTATTTTTACAACCAAACCTATTTTTGCTATGTAAAATATGAATAAAGTTTAATGGTGGTGTGTTTATTTTGACCATCAGTCTATAATTAAGGAAGAGAAAAAATTTTTTTCATCATATATTCTGCCAGTTTCCTATGAGTGCAGATCTCTTTCTTCGATAAAACTTTATTTATGTACTCAATGTGTGTCCTGAAAATCTCAATAAAACAGCTTTTTTATAAAGAATTTTTTTTTATGTTTTCCATTTCTCTATCCCTCCTAAATCCCCACATTTAGCTTTCATAGCACATGAGAGCACACAAAATTGAATTGAACAACATGATCTTAGATGACACTATCATTATGACACTTTATGCTATCATTCCTAATAAATACATTCCGTTATATTAGTCATATTTGCATGCTGTTAGTTTTTCTTTGAAATATTTCACAAGTGAAAATTGACAGTTGACAATATGCATTAACAATTTCAACATTCTCTCCTGCTTATTCGGAAATCGTGAGATGGGGTCTGGTGAGATGTAAGTTTCAGAAAAACATTTTCTTTATCATGCCAATGTTTTGATATTTATTGAGATCACCTTCAGGCCTGGGATTTACAAACATTGTTTAAATTTAACAAATACATGTAGGATGTGGAAAAAAGTGAATTTATACAATGCAAAAAATATTTTTTATATTCAATCAAAGTATTTCGCAGAAAACAAACACTGAGTGAGTAGAAATACTTTGATTGAATATAAAAAATATTTTTTGCATTGTATAAATTCACTTTTTTCCACAACCTACATGTATTTGTTAAATTTAAACAATGTTTGCAAATCCCAGGCCCTGAAGATGATATTAATAAAAATCGAAACGTTGGCACGATAAAGAAATTTTTTTTCTGAAACCTACATTACACCAGACCGCATCTCACGATTTCTGAATAATCATCGACTAATGGTCACTAATCACCACACATCTCTCCTGCATATGACCAACACTCGCTCTAGCCAATTTCGTCCTCCACTTATTTTGGATTTAGACAAATTAATAACTAAATACCACAAGTCACAATAACCATTTAACTTGTGTTGTCTTACTTTGTAGAAATTTTGGGTTGTTTGCTAAAATGACTGTCATCCGCATACATGAGAACCCCTATGTTTAATTTGTCTATGTGAATTCCCTCACGTGTACAATCATGCAAATCATTAGAAAAAGTGAGAATAGAAGAAAATAGACAGCCTTGTTTAAGATCGGTAAAATATATTATTATTATTATTATTCTGAATGTGTAGTGTGTCAGGACCGTAGACTAGTACTTTTATGTCGTCATATTTGATGGCATATTGAAGGCTAGTCTAATAAACTAGAATGATTTTTATATTTGATTGAAATTAAATATAATTAAAAGGGAAAAGTTAATTGTGGGAAAAAATATATTTTCCTGTTTTTTTCCTAGTTTCTTTTAGATGTATAGAACCATATTAAACATCCATTGATATGACATTTGTGACATGTGTGTAACAAATGATTTATTTCAACTTTAATTTATTTTGTTGTATCTCGATGCGGTAGTTTATTTGTTTCTTGTTTTTTAATAGAGTCTACCGAATTTTAATATTTTAAAAATCGAAAAAATACAATTTGTAGAGCGTGCCGTGGAAAGTCGGTCTGGTTCGCAATAGCCTTGGCCGTGGACTGTGAGTCGTAGGAGGAGTTTGAGCGAGATTTGGCATCTCGGACCGTTTGAGTCTTTGAGATAGAATCGGCATCGGCCTGGATACCGCCCCGACTCGCAACACGATTATACCTCAAGTTGTAGTTATGTTTTTCATGGCCTATTCTACCTAGGAAATAAAAATAGTCAAAGAAAAAAAAATAATGGCAGAAATTAAATACACCCGGAATTTATTTTTGAGGTGTGTCAACGTAATTTACCTGTTCGCGTTTGCATCCCTTTACGTTCAGATTCCTGGTAAGACACCTCCACCCTGAGTTCTCGTTTTGTCCAATTTTTACCGGTTATTATTTGTCTTTGATTTTTTATTTCTAAATTTACAGGGCTCTACGGCAAAAATGGTATTCTGCCGGCAAGAGCACAGTTGGACCTGAAACCCGGCCTTTTCGACGAAGATTACGCGAAGCAGATTCAGAAAAAGCCGACGCTTTTGTGGTTTTCGCCTTATTTCGGTGTCGATACGGAGTACATGATGGACATTTTGGCACTGACGGGCATGTTTTTGGCTTTCACCGGGTATGTTGAGCCAATCCCCAGAAAAAAACTCCTATTTTTTCAATTTTTTAAAAGATTTTTTAAACCATTTTGCCTACAGATTCATATCTCAGAAATTTTGCATCAAGCCGGTATTCTCCGCTCTCTGGTCGCTCTACTACTCGCTGTACCAAGTTGGGCAGACTTTCATGTGGTTTCAGTGGTAAGCATCACCACTCTACCTTAACTCTTATTATGTTTATTTTGTCTAACAACAAAATTAAACCATATAATTAAAAATCAGAATATAAAAAAAAACTTATTCAGGCTATTGTATTGTACCTGATGTATCATATTCTTTGAAACTTAATACTACCGACACACTCCCGTGGTTTAAAAAAAAAACAACCTATTGTATTTCTTTTGACAACTTTTCAAGCTGAATCTTGCATCAATATGTTTTAAAACCAATATGAATTAAAATCTTCCGAGCTTATAAGCCTTGGTCCAAGATTCATAAGTAGCAAAGTATAAGTAGGGCATTCTAAAAAAAAAAAAATCCTGATGTGACAAAGGCCAAAAACAAGGTTCAATTTTTATTTATCCTTCAATTTTTAAAAAATATGTTTTTTATTGTTTTAAAATAAAGAATTGTAAGTGGAGGGTCAGTGACCTCATTAGAGGATGCTTAATAATACTGCTGATGATGGTGAAGGGGCAAGAGTTGTGATTTAGAAGAGATTTTTTTTTTTTCATTTTATTTTATTAGTTCTTACTTTTTAATCGAGTTTGTCTTGCATGTCACCTTGGTTGGCCAGGAATGTCAAAATCTTCATTAAAGTAAAGGAAGAGGAAATATTTAAAAAAGTATTTACCTACCCAGGCTTACCTTCAATAAACATAATATAAGAAAACTATTAAAACTTTAAAATTATTAATACAGTTTACACATTTTTTACAGTTCTGTGGCTCAGAAAAAACTTCTATTTTTTTTGACAACGCTCAAGCTGAATCTTGCATTATTAATATATTTAAACAAATTTAAATTAAAATCTCTCGAGCTTATAACCCTTGGTCCCAGATTTTTGTATAAGTATACATGCAAGTGCAGAGTCTGAACAGAAAAATTTATGTTACGTTTTTTCTTGCCAAATTGATTTGATTTAAATCAGCATGTTATCAAAAGTAATCTCATTTTTTATAAGTGTTCTTTAAATATGGTCTGTGGGCTTATTAAGTAGATTCTCAAAAAAATCCTGGTGCGACAAAAGCGAAAACAAGATTCAATTTTCATTTACACCTCAATTTTGAATTTTTTCTTTCTTATTTATTATTTATTTATATTTCTTCATTGTTTTAAAATAATTAATTGTAAGTGGCCTCATTTAAAGGATGCTTAATAATCCTGCTGATGATGGTGAAGGGGAAAGAGTTGTGATTTAGAAGATAAAAAAACTCATTTTATTTTATTAGATCTTATTTTTCAATCGAGTTTGTTTTGCATCAGTCACCTTGTTTGGCCAGGAATATCTAAATCCTGATTAAAGTAAAGGAAGAGGAAATGTTAAAAAATATATTTACTTTCTTATATCACCTTTGGTCGACCGAATCTCACTATCTCCAAATAATCATTTACTAACAGTCACTAAACACCACACAGAAAAATTAATGGTATCTTTTGGCCTGCAAAAAAAACCCTGATGTGACAAAGGCCAAAAACAAGATTCATTTTTTATTTACACTTTCTCAATTTTAATTTTTTTTTTTTTAATTTTTACTGTTTTAAAATAAAGAGTTGTAAGTGGAGGGTCAGTGTCCTCATTAGAAGATGCTTAATAATCCTGTTGATGATGGTGAAGGGGAAAGAGTTGTGATTTAAAAGATAAAAAACTCACTTTATTTTATTAGATCTTATTTTTAATTGAGTTTGTTTTGCATCAGTCACCTTGTTTGGCCAGGAATGTTGAAATCTTGATTAAAGTAAAGGAAGAGGAAATGTTTAAAAATGTATTTACTTTCTTATATCACCTTTGGTCGACCGAATCTCACTATCTCCAAATAATCATTTACTAACGGTCACTAAACACCACACAGAAAAATTAATGTTATCTTTTGACCTGCAAAAAAAAAAAAACCCTGATGTGACAAAGGCCAAAAAACAAGATTCAGTTTTTATTTACACTCTCAATTTTGATTTTTTTTTTAAATTTATTGTTTTAAAATAAAGAGTTGTAAGTGGAGGGTCAGTGACCTCATTAGAGGATGCTTATTAACCATGTAGTTGGTGAAGGGGAAAGAGTTGTGGTTTAGAAAACATTTTTTTTTAAATTTTCTTTTATTAGATCTTATTTTTAATTAAGTTTGTTTTGCATCAGTTACCTTGTTTGGCCCAGAATTTAGAAATCTTGATTAAAGTAAAGGAAGAGGAAATGTTTAAAAATGTATTTACTTTCTTATATCATCTTCAATAATTCAATATTCAATTAGAATATAATATACAATTTATACATATTTCAAGCAATGACTTAGACATCTGTTGACCTGTTGCAACTTAACAAAATAATAAAAACTATATAAATTGGCAAAACTAAAAATTAATGACCCAAATAGTTTTTTAATAAGTCCTGATCTGTGAAATCCTACTCATGATTGTTCGTATACTTTCTTAGTTTCGTATTAGTTTTTTTTAGACAACCTTCAAACAAAATTTTAAATATATATATATTTTTTAAATCATATTTTGCAATAAAATTTAAAAGTTTAATTATTTTTTGCATATTTTCCTAAGGATGTTATCATGGTGTTGTTGGCAGCATTTTTAAATATCAGATTGTAAAGGGGAAATATTTGCCTTATTTTTCATGAATTTGACCTTGCCTTCAAATTATTTAATTCTGTAGTAGAATTTGACAAAATCTGGATACTTCATTTTGCATTTTCCTTCTGATTTAAGGACTTACAATTGAAGGCCTCGGATTCTGAAAAATTCAGCTGGTAAAGCTGAAAGATTTGATTTTTTAAATTTTCATATTTGACAGTTCAATATAGTTTAATTGCTATATTGACCTCTGATAATAGGACACTCAAAAATCCTGTTGATGGTGGTAAGGTAGAAGACATTTTATTATTTATTTTTCCACCATAATTAAACTGTTCTTAAATATTCATTAATTGTTCCATTAATTAAGTTGATTGATTAAATTTTGAATAAATAGGGTTCAATAAAGGTCAACGACCTTGGTTAGCAGGATTCTTGAAAACCTACTGATGATGGTGGAGAGGAAGGAAAGTTCAATTTTCTTCTGACCCTATTTAGAATTTTCTGATTTATTTATATTTTAATATTTTTTCCATTTTCTTTTTGTTCCAACTGATAATTTTTTTATTTAGATCCCACCTAAATTGTAAGGTAATAGTTATTGGCAATGTTGTTTTAAAATTTTCACAAATCCGTTTTGAAGGAACAACATGTGGCCTTCTGTTCACTTAAAACTCTGGAATTTGCCCCATTGACCTTGAGCCTAGAGTTCAGCGTCTTGGAATAATTCAAAACAGGAAACATTTATACCCAAATTTGTAAAGTTTCAGATGTACACTTTTGTATAATTTGTAGATTTATGAATTATATTATCATGCCATTTCAGATAATTAATTTTCTCTTAATGAATGATATGTATTTGGAAATATCAGTTCTATATATAGATAGCACTAGCCCTTGAAAAAAAAACAACTGATAACTCCATGATTTTTATTTTGTTTTTAAATCATTGTGAAACTACATTGAATGAACATTGAGAGAAAAACTGCTGAATTAGTACATACTACATAATAATTATTAATACTGCGTAGATTTTTGTAAAATTACATTTAATTCACCTGTTGAACAATAATTCAAGAAGAAAAACTTTTTTCTAATGTTAAATTGAATTGAATTGATTTTTATTAGGCTGGGTGTGTTTGTTCTATCTCTATTTTGTTGTATCTTGCTTTATTTTTTAATATACTTACAAATTAATTTTTCAAGTGCAAAAAAAAATTTGGCTATTCTATTTCTTTTGACAACGTTCAAGCTGAATCTTGCATTATTAATGGGTTTTAAAACAAATTTAAATTAAAATCTCTCAAGCTTATAAGCCTTGGTCCAACATGCTTGAATATCTGCTGATACTGAACAGAAAAATTTATCTTTTGGACTGGCAAAAAAAAAAAAAATCCTGGTGTGACAAAGAACAAAAACAAGATTAAATTTTTATTTTCACCTCTTCAATTTTGATTTTTTTTTAAATATATTTTTTTTATTGCTTTAAAATATTGAGTAGTAAGTGGAGGGTCAGTGACCTCATTAGAGGATGCTTAATATTCCTGGTGTTGATGGTGAAGGGGAAAGAGTTGTGGTTTTAGAATTTGTTTTGATTTTTATTAGGTTATGTGTGTTTGTTCTATCTCTGTTTTGTTATCTCTTGCTTTATATTTTAACAAACTTACAAATTAATTGTTTCAAGTAAAAAAAAAGTACTTCATAAAATATACATAATTATTTCTTCACAAAACCTTAGTAAATAAAAAATGTTAATATATCATTACATAAACAAATTGATCAATGATTTAAAGTGTGTGCTCACAATTCAACTTTTTTTAATGACCAGAAAGTTTGTAAAATAGTTTCTATCGGCTTCTACCTTCTCCCAATGAGTTACTAGCCCAGTTATGCCCTTGTAAAAATAAATTCAGCTTATTTTCCAGCTGTAGGAGATTATCGAACTCTCAATTGCGTGTATCGTTGTCCATTGCTAAGGAAAGGTGGAAGTCAGATAGGGCCAGGTCTAGAGAGACTAAATTGAATTGAAATCATTGATTGTAATCTCAGTGCTGAGAAATATTTTGCTAAACTTTGCAAGGTTCGACTAGTATAAGATAGTGAAATTTTTCTGGGTAATCTTAATGAACCTGTAATTAAAGTTAAAGGTCATTTCGTTCTGCTTTGTCTGTCAGATGCGTTTCAGCATTTTGTTGTTTTCAGTTCAATTTGTATTGTACAATAGACAAGTGAAGCATCCATAAGACCAAACTCAGCTTGCAGACCCAAATTTAAATCCAAATTCAACATACTTATAAATGGGGTTTTTTCCTCCAAATACAAAAACCAAACAGTACCCGTAAATATGACCTCGTAGTTGAAAAATACCCTTGTAAAAAATAAAAAATAAATAAAAAGTGTAGCTGAGTGGTTAATGTGTTACTCTCGGTTTGAAGATTCCCGTGATCTACTGTTCAATGGGGTCAATTCCACCTTCACCCCAGGAATTTTCTATCAAGTTACTTTTCCCCATATAAATCAACCAGTACAATATACCATTATCTGGCTAATATGTAAAAAAAATTTTAAAGTTTAAGTAAAATTTGTTCTTGTCTGATAAATAAATCATGGATCTATTAAAAAAACATTCAAACCTTTATTTTAGGGATATTCTTCTACTGGAAACAGGATTCCTTTGTATAATACTTGCACCATGGCACAACAAAACTCAAAGAGCTAATAAAAAGCAACAGGCATCCGCGCCATCTGATCTAGTGAGATTTTGGCTGGTCCGCTGGCTCTTATTTAGACTCATGTTTTCTTCGGGCATTGTCAAACTGACGAGCGGTTGCCCAACATGGTGGGGTCTCACAGGTATGATTTTTTTTTTTTTTTTTTTATTGAATATCAATTTTAATCAATTTATTGTTTTTAGCACTCAGTGTTCATTTTGAGTCGATGTGCATACCATCGCCGTTGGCTTGGTACTCTCACCACCTCCCATCCTGGTTTTTGAAACTGAACACAGTTTTTGCCAATTTTGTCGAAATCGTCGTCCCTCCATTGTTCTTCTTTCCGGTCCGATATGTGAGGATCGTAGCCTTTTTTGTCCAGGTAAAGAGAATTTTTTTGTTTAAAGATTACGTTTTATGATTTAGTGCAGACCATTGCTTTGACTAACAAGGCGCAAGGGTGGAATTGTGTGTGATTTTTTTTTCCTTCTAACTGAATGTTTTAGGTGTTTTTACAATTTTTTATCATCCTCACTGGAAACTTCAACTTCTTCAACTATTTGACAATCACGCTTTGTTTGTCGCTTCTTGATGATGACTTCTTTTATAGAAGTAAGTCTTTTATTTGAAAGATTGTTTTAATTGCGAAAAGGTTAAGGGACATTTATTTTGCTTGTGTCAGAATTTTTGAAAACCTTGACTTAAGTGTCTTGTTTTATTGAGTCTCTCTTTTTGAGTCACTTTTGTCTTGAAAATCAGACGATTAATAGACATTTTAAAAAAAGTACCATTTAATGGAGTTAAAGCAGCATGCATTGATGAATTTATTCTAAATTTATTTTATAGATTTTAAATATTATTCATTTCCAGATCCAAAAAACACGCAAAGTTTTGTAAGTCGGGCGTTCAAGTTATTAACTACAGTTGGAGTTTATGGAGGTGTTACATATGCAACTTGTGTACTTTATAAAGTCAAAATGTTGCCCTCTGGAGTGATCGATTGCAAGTTAAGTGAGTTATTACTTTCTTTCAAACCCTATTTATTCATCATGACAAGACTCGCTTCTAATCGTTTTGATTTTATTTGCATAGACTTCACACCGGCGGATTTTGAAAACGCGTTGGTCAGGTTCTTCCCAGTGATAATTTGCACAGCCTTGGCGTCCCTTCTGTACACCGCATTTAAAGCCTTGGGGCTTGTGTTCTCCCAGACGACTACTAAGATAGGAAGGCTTACATCACTCTTTTCGACAGTTTTCTACATTTTTGTCGCTCTGTTTTTGTTCACAGATAGCATGGTAGGTTTTTCAGTTATTCTTTTTTAAAAAGAAAATGTCTTGCTTTTTTTTATTTATTTTTTTTATCTTTTAAAGGTCCCATTTTCTACTCTTCATCCAGCTGGAAATATGTCATTTGTTCCAAAAGAAACGAAAGAGTTGCACAACAAAATATCTCATCTCCACTTGACAAACGCTTACGGTTTATTCAGGAGAATGACGGGTGTAGGAGGACGCCCTGAAGTTATTATCGAAGGTTCTTATAGTATGGAAGGCCCATGGATGGAATATAACTTCAAATACAAACCGGGAAATGTCAATGATTCTCTTCCGTTTGTTGGTAAATCAATTTTCTCTCACTTGTATATATTGATATTTTGTTTTTGTTATTTATACTATTATATTAAATAGCACCTCACCAGCCTCGGCTCGATTGGCAAATGTGGTTTGCCGCCCTTGGCACGTACCATCAAAATCCATGGATTATGTCATTGGCGTATAGACTCTTGACAGGACAGCAAGAAGTCCTTAATCTTTTGGATAACACGAGAAATCCATTTTCAAGCGCACCCCCTAAATATGTGAGGGCTTTCCTTTACCATTATCACTACACACCATGGTCTCAGAGGTAAGAAAAAAAAACTTTATTTTTTAATAATAATAAATTAATTATTATTGTTATCAGGGATAAACCGGCAACATGGACTAGAAAAAAAGTATCAGAATATTTCCCTATATTTTCAAAAGATCACACCCCACTGTTAGATTATTTAAAGAACTACAAAATTCTTGAACCGCCGAGGAAAGAAACTCTTTCTCCCACGGTTGTCAAAGGTATTTTACTGTATAAATCTCATTCCGCTGAATACAAAATATTGATACAAAACGTTATTTTTGCATTAGTACTGAATGAAGTGAGGAACACCATAACAGTCATCGAACCGCCGTTCTTGATGCTCTCTCTTGTTTTAACTGGCCTGGCCATCATAGTCTTCAGTTCCATCCCTCCTTCAGCTCATCACCCAGCTACAAAGCAGTCATCACAATCAAAGGGAAAGAACAAAAGCAAATAAATTGTATAAACCCAATGTAACTCTTTGTTTTTTAAAACTACTAAACAATTAATTAAACAAACAAATTACACATGTGAAAATGCGTGAAAAGGGTTTCAAAGCTTTTGTTATTTTTTTCTAACTGTTTTCATAATGTTCTTACTTTTAAGTTTGTCTCTAAATTATTTTTATCTTGTTTGTAGCATGAATATGTTCATATTATTTTTTAATGGATTCATCTGATAATTTAAAAAAAGTAAAACTTTGTATGGATGATTGTTTTAAATTTAATATATATCAAAGACTGTTGTATAGACTTGTCTCCCCTTTTTGTTTTTCTAGTGCTTTAAAGTTGTCCGTAATGAGTAGATTTTAAGCAAAACAAATTAGCTTATATGTCATTAGAAAAAAATATTTATTAACAAAAAAAAGTAATTGTTATTGTGATTTATAGATAATTACGACCAATAATGTCTCCACAATGTTTTTAATGAACTAAATCATAATATGAAATATAATGTGTATTTAACATATATGGACATTTTTTGTTCCACATATCAAAATAATTGTTGGGGATTGAATTAATAGATAAAACTTTTTTTAAAACATGTATTTAATTTTAATGGGTGAAAATGAACCTTAACTTACGAGAGAAATCTTGTAAGTTGTTAAAACATGATTTTTCTTATTCCCATCCATTTATGTAGGTAGAAATTACAAATCTTTCATTGTATAAGTATTGAACAGATGCAGACTGTCAAGAACCACGTTAGTTTTTTAAATGTATACATGAAAAGTTGTATTTAAAATACATAAAAATCTGCGCCAGGATTTAAAAAAATCTTGTGTAAAGAATCTTGCCTAATAAATAAAGCTATGGCACAGAATGTTTTTTGTTATATATATATATAATTTTTTTTCTGTTATAATTGACAGTGATTAACGAAAATCCTGTTACAAAAGTGGAAACCATTTTACCACCAAATTTCTCATTACATCAGTGACAATCTTTCTAACATTTCAATGCAGGCTCATCTATCTGACAAATTTTTATTAATTTTCTTTTTCAATTTTAGTTACGAATAATAGTTTAGGGATATTTTAGTAGGAATTAGGAAAATTATGTTTGTTTCTTTGTAACTTGCTATAAAATAAAATGTACAAGTCTTTTAAACAGGATATTGTATTTAGTAGGAGTATTGAGAGAATAATTGTATTAGAAAAACAAAGGAAGAGGATTAGAGACAACGAGGTTACAAAAGTGGAATTTCTCAAATGCAGCAATATCAGCCGACCATTTTTCCAAGTTATTAATTTTGCTTTATCTCACAATTTTTAATACTTTTTATTTTTCAATTTTAGTAAGTTTGCTATGGCTTGTCCCAGGGTAACAGTTTAATTAATTTTTACATATAAAGGTATCTGTAATTTTATCATCTTGGTCTGCCTGTTCTTGCTGGGTTGGTCTGTCAGACATATTTCAGCATCTCTCCATCTTCAGTGTTGAAATGTTTAGACCAACCCAGCTAGGTTACAGCTTTTGACAATTGTGTCTGATATGTAATGATTTTCCTGAAAATTTCTTTAATGAAGTACAGAATTCTCAGGGGAATGTATCGAGATTTGTGTGGTTCCAGAATGGTTTCCCCCTGTATCTGCATAGGATTTGTTGCTTCTGTCCATTCACATTTTGTTTGGATCTATTCTGCGATGAAGGATTTTATATTTGTTTTTGTTATCCCAAGTATAGATTCGGGCGTATGTATGGTCTTGCAGATCCTCATCTGGCCAGTGGGTCTGCTTTTTCGTTACCCAAAATTCCTCTGTGCCCTGGCACCCAAGATATCAGGTTGTTTCCCCAGGTTTTAGAGATTTTGGATGCACCCACTGACCAATTTTGACATGATTTTTTTACACGCTAATGCTTTAATGGCGGCTCGGCTATCAGATCTTATAAGGATTTTTTTGCCAGTGTAACTTCTTTTAAGATTTTCTAGGGCGCAACTGTTGGTGGCATGAATTTCTGCTTGAAAGGCCAAATTGTACTTCCCTAATGAGTTCGATTGCTCATGTTTTGGGCTTGTACAGAAAATGCCTGATCCGGTTCCTTCATTTGTTTTGGTGCCATCTGTGTATCATTGTATGTGATGCTCTCCTGTGTTTTCCTCTCCTTTAAAGTCTGTTGAGGATTTATAGAATGCTGTAAAGAATATTACCCGGGAGTCATATTACATAGTCAGTCCTCATTTCTAAGAGTGGGTGTCTGATTATATTAATTATGGCTCTGTACCTGAATTGTTTAGTTCCTACCCAATTTTATTGTTTTTGCATCTTAAATGAGCTTTTTTCCTAGCCTCTCCTTGTAGAAATGTTTCCATGGAGGTAGGTTAAGCAGAGTTTCTAGTGCACTTGTAGGGGTTGTTCTTATTGCCCTGTGATACATAGATTTGCTTTGTATGCTGCCTAATGATTGAGTAGCTTTTTGTTGAGCTTTGGTCCACCAGATTAATGATCTGTAGATTATTTGGTGACTTATTACTGCCGTGGAAAGCCAATAGGCCATTTTCGGTTTTAATCCCTAAGATTTGCCTACCTTGTGATCATTAATAGCGATGTTTTACTTTTTGCTATAGTTTGTTGTACGTAAGGGTTCCAGGATAACTTCATATCAAAGATTTATTCCTATGTATTTAACTTCGTTTTTTAATTGCAGCATTTCATTATAGAAAAGTTAGCCTTGTATTTCTATGTTTGTTTTCTTGGTGAAAGCAATTGGGGTAGTTTTTAAGGGGTTTGCTTTAAGTCCCAGTTGTGAACACCATTGTTCCAACAGCTTTAGTGCTCTTTGGGTGAGCTCTTTTAATGTTGAGTCGGATTTTCCCCTGACTAGTATGACAATGTCATCTGCATGGCCTTGCATATAGATTCCGCTTTCATACAGTTTGCTTATGTGGTCAACCACTACCACATTCTACAGCAGAGGCGCCTTCCTCCTTGCGGTCACCCTCTCGCCACCGCTGCTTCTTTTTCGTGGAACATGGAGGCCTGCCCTTTTCTGCTTTTTAGCATTGATTCTATACATCTGCTGCAGGTTTTATCAGTTCCTCGCTGTTTGAGGTATGTAACCATTGCTTCAAAAGGACTATTGTCAAATGCTCCTTCAATGTCCAAGAAGGTTCCTAATTCTATTTCTTGGTTGTTCAGTGAATCCTCTATTTGTATCGTTATTTTGTGGGCAACAGTAATGTGTGTTTAGTCACGCTTTTCGGTTTTAAGTATATCATTGTACCTTGGTATAATGGTTGTACAAATAGTACTGTTTCCGTCTCCCTATCAATGACGCAAGTTATTTCTGTGTAATTCCCTCTGAGAGCGCTTCTAACTTACTTAAAATGCCACATCATCGTTTAAATTAACTCATTTTGCGCTCAAGACAATGAGTTAATTAAGTTAAGTCTATAATTTATCGTTTTATAATATTGGCTAATTGTAACGTTAACTTCATAGGGTATCGAAGGACTTGAAGATAGTTGTGGATAGACCTTCAAATCCCACGTGACTTCGGCCGGCCACTTATCGCTGAATTACGGTCGATTGTTTAATAAAATATCGGAAAGAGAGATGGCGGATGCTTCGTTCCGTGGTAAAGTGGTCATTGTAACCGGTGCCAGCTCAGGGATAGGTGCAGAGACGGCCAGGCACTTCTACAAAGCTGGTGCCAGTTTGTTGTTGACGGGAAGGAACGCCGAGAATTTGCAGAAGGTCTCATCCCAATGCGGCGACGCCCCGACCGTCATTGGCGACCTCGCGACTCAGACCGACCTTGGGAAGAAAATCGTCGATGAGACCATGGCCAATTATGGTAAGGTGGACGTTCTCGTCAACAACGCCGGCACCATGGAAATGGGAACCATAGAGAACACCTCGCTCGAACAGTTCGACAGAGTGTTCAACGTCAACGTGAGAGCTATTTACGGGCTGACGGCTTTGGTCGTTCCTCATCTGGTCAAGACGAAAGGGTCCATCGTGAATGTTTCGAGCGTGTGCGGACTCAGGGCTTTCCCGGGCGTCCTCAGCTACTGCATGTCCAAAAGCGCCTTGGACCAATTCACGAGATGCGTCGCTTTGGAGCTGGCTCCTAAAGGGGTGAGGGTCAACGCGGTCAACCCCGGGGTCATAGTCACACCGCTCCAGCGGAGAGGCGGCCTCGATGATAAGCAGTACCAAGAGTTCCTGGAAAAATCCAAAACCACCCACGCTCTGGGCAGGCCGGGAGAGGTGAACGAGGTGGCAGAGGCGATATTGTTTTTGGCTAGTGACAAAGCTTCATTTATAACGGGGGAAACGTTGGCTGTGGATGGTGGACGGCATGCAATGTGTCCACGATAAAAAAAACAACTAAACATTTGTACCAACAATTCTAATAAAAAAATTGTTAATTTCTTTATCTTAGCTTTCTCTATCAGTCCACTGCTTTTTTGTAACGTCCATACCCTTCCGATAATCCCATACCGTTTATTGAAAACACGCAAAAATAACACACTAAATCACACACTGTAGAAAAATGCTAAAAAATGGTATTTAATTTTTTCTCTAGGTTGAGTATTATTTAAGAAAACAACTGGACAATAGGAAGTTAACATCCTATATATAATATTTATTTAAACCACAAATAATGTAAATTAGGTAGTAACAAATCTATGCGAATGAAGAAAAATATGAGAAAGTAATCGAAAATCACGACAGATCGGAGTCACGTTTTTTCTGAACAGATTTTCTAACACTTTTTGCTATTTTTCATAAAATCCAATAGATTGATGAATTTGAAAATCAAAATGTAGACTACCATTAGAAAACTAAAAATTTCATTTTTAAACTCGTTCAAGAAATTTATATAAACCTGCAAATATGATTGCAATGTCGAAAGTACAGCTCATACTAATAAAGATGCTGTTTATTTTTATCTAGGTTGAAGAGTTTTTGAAAAAAAAAAAAAAAAAACGGGTGACAATAGTACTTTGTATATTTACTACATTCTGCTGAGAATTGTAAATGTATTAAGGCGGAAAGTAATTCAAAAAAATTTAAATGTTTTCAAGCTAAATGCACCCTTTTGCATTTAAAATTCTCCCTTTAACAAATCAAATTCACCATTTTACAAACCAAATTCACTTTTTACAAATCAAATTCACCCTTTGCAAGTCAGAATCTCACTTTTTTAAAACTCAAATTTACCCTTGAAAATCAAATTCACTCTTTTGCAAATTTAATTCAACATTTCGCAAATTAAATTCACCATTTGCAAATCAGATTTACTCTGGTATTAATCCAATGCACTTTTTTTACCTAATTAAATTTAACCCTTTGCTAATTAAATTAAACTTTCTTCAAAGCAAATCATCCTTTTGCAAATTAAATTCACTATTTTGCCATTTAAATTCACTCTTTTGCAAATTAGATTCATCACTACAAACTTTGAAAATTAAAATAAACATTGTAAAACTAAATTCACCCTTTTGAAAATTAAATTTACCTTTTAACAAACCAAATTCACACAAATCACTTTGTAAGTAAAATCACTCTTTTAAAACTCAAATTTACTCTTTTGCAAATCATATTCCCTCTTCTGAAAATAAAATTCGCCCTTTTGCTAATTAAATTAAACATTTTACATATCAAATCACACTTGTAAATTAAATTTACTATTTTGCGAATCAGATTCGCTCTTTTATTAATCCAATGCACATTTTTTACAAATCAATTTTTTCAAATCAAATTCATTCTTTTGCACATCAGATTCACTGCTTTACAAATGAAATTCACCCTTTTGCTAATTAAATTAAACTTTTACGAATAAAATAATCTTTTAGCAAATTAAATTCACCCTTTTGTTAATTAAATAAAACTTTTTACAAATCAAATCACACTTGTAAATTAATTTTACTATTTTGCAAATCAGATTCGCTCTTTTATTAATCCAATGCACATTTTTTACAAATCAATTTTTTCAAATCAAATTCATTCTTTTGCACATCAGATTCACTGCTTTACAAATAAAATTCACCCTTTTGCTAATTAAATTAAACTTTTTACGAATAAAATAATCTTTTAGCAAATTAAATTCACCCTTTTGTTAATTTAATTAAACTTTTTACAAATCAAATCATCTTTTTGCAAATTAAATTTACTATTTTGCAAATCAAATCATATTTTTGGAAAATGAAATAAACTAAAAAAAAATTCCCGGTTTTGCACATTCAATTTACCGTTTTGAACAAATGAGATAAAAAATATCGAACAGTCGCACCACTGTACAGCACTCAATGTATAAATAATAATAAAAATAACAGTAGAATATTAAATTGGACTTTCAGTTTGCATAATTTGCAATGATTGCCCCGACAGGTTTATTGTTGTTATTGTGAACTTATCTATTTTCATAAGTAAGGTCATTGTCGTTTCTAATATGATTTAAATAGATAAAAGACTCATTTATCTAAAATTATTCTCTAGAAACGCAAATGAGATCCCTGAATATACATTTTAATTACAACGACAAGTTAATTTACAATTATATAATACTCAGGAAGAACGTGAAAGCTGATATAGAAACGTCCGAAAATTCTTTTAAATTTGAACACAGTTGTAAAATATGGATTAAAATTGTCAGTAGCTAATCTTAGTTTTTATTTAAGCTTAATCAAACATTACCAGGTTGTTTTTATAAGATTTCTTTTCTCGTGTAACAAGATAACGACTTGCCCTACCACAAGGCCATGACAACTGGACCGTAATTCTATGCTCAGATATAAGAGTGATTTTTAATTTTGTTAAAAACAATTTTGTTTTCGCTTAGATCCCATTTTAAACTGAATTTCACCTCTCGCCCTTTAAAGACAGAAATTAAACGGAATTTGAGCAGATAAATTTTATCGTAATACAACTTGCAATCTAATTTGTATCCATAGAGAACGGGTAGAATACTTCTAAAACACCTTGTTGTATTAATAAAGATCTGATAAGTTAATATATCCCTTTTTTATAAATGTATTGACATAACATTGATAATAAAAGCTATGAGCAAGACAGATTAAAAAGAAAGTATCGAAGAATTTGTCATCCAAGCTATCACTTATTTTTTCGAAATACTTGGATTGATAAGTGAATGAATCAGACGAGGGAGATAGTAACATAAAACAAATATGGCAATAACTAGGACAGAGAACTTCCTAACCGAATAACCAAAGAAAATAATACTAACTACAGAAGGAACGGGTAGGAAAAATAAGAAAACTTTGCAACACGAATATGCAAAATTTCTTTATTGATGCAACGAAAGTAACAACTGGGCTACGTTTTCATACTTGGTTGGATGTTGGAATAAGAAGAAGAAACATAAGAAATTTAAGAAACCGACTTAGGCAATTTGATTTAAAGTTGGACAAGATGTCACTTACATTTAGAATATTACTGATCTAGTAAAAACGTCAATTCTGTATACAAAAAAAGGAAAACTTTCTTGCCAAATTGCTAATTTTTTGGGTGAAAAATAGTTTTGCTGAAAGGAAAATGACATATTAAAAGCCCAATTTATAGAACGATGTACACAATATAGAAATCATAGTCGTATTTAATTTGTATTTGTATAATTTAAACAATTACGAAGGTAGACGAAGGCCGTGGGTTCGAATCCCGCTTGTGACACTTTTTTAACTTTTTACTCTCAACCAAGACCTTACATAAAAAGAATAATTCATTGAAATAATTAATTTGATCAATTAGACCACTAAAACATAAAGATTAAAATTTAAACAATGTTTATAAATCCCAGGCCCTGAAGATGATCTCAATAAAGATCGAAACGTAGGCACGTTAAAAAAAATGTTTTTCTAAACCTGCATCACACCAGACCGCATTTCACGATCTTTAATTTACTTAACGGTCACTAAATATTACACATATAACAAGAACTTTTACGGTACAGAAACACTCGGTTTTAATTATTCATCAACCATCTAAATTATAAAACATAACAAACACAAATAAAAAAGTACAATACATGGAAGAAAAATTCTTTATCACTTAAAACTCTAATTTCCAGATAATTGCCCTAATAGAGTTGGTGCCGGATCAGACATCAATTTAAGTAAGACCTTTGAAATAGAAGCTTGTGAAAACAGATGACAACTGACTGAGCGAAAATAGTTCAATAAAAATAGCTTATTATCGAAATTTGAGGATGCAAGATATGTAGATATGTTGATATTTGGATGCCAGAATATTAACATAAATGTAGGTTTATGATTTACTTTCAACTAATTAAGGTTTTTAGTTGAGATAAAAAAGTCAGTGTCACGAGCGGGATTCGAACCCACGATCTTCGGCTAGATACGCCGCTGGTCTACCACTTGAGCTATCGTGACCTCGATCCACTCGGACAACTTCCCATCTCAACCCCACCTTATGAGTTTTCCCTCCTTTTTGCCATTTTTCAAAAATCATTTTTATCTCAACTAAAAACCTTAATTAATTGAAAGATATTAATTGGTCAAGCGGACCACGAAACTGGTGAATTTATGACTTACTTTCATCGAAAACTTTCCAACAATTTATCTGTTTCATCCTACAAGATCAAGCAAAATGATTACATGAATAAATTATTCTCAATTAGGGATTGGGCATAAAATAAGACAAAGGATTATCACTAACTTCAATCTTTTTAATGCTAGGACAATTGCTAGGACTTATAACGTACTTAAACTTAAAATCTAGATTTTAGATAGTTCAACACAGATTTTCTTAGAAGTTGTCGAGGTATTCATAAATCTTGAAGCCTAACATGTGACTTGTACTGTTCCCGACTAAGCCAAGGATATATGCACTTGTCCTGAAATAGCAGCTTTCGAGTAATTTTTGGTTTTCATGACAAAACAATGTTTTAACATTTGGCTGGAAACTCGCATTTAAATTTGAAAGTTGTCTTTATATTTTTGCCGAATTGCGAAGGGCACAATTAAATGGCGTATGTTACGTAAAAACAAACATTCAAAGGTTAAACTTAGCCTTCAGATTGCTATTTAATCGAATACCAGGCCTGTATTATCTCATTTCGGTGTAGAAGATCAAATAAAATGATTATATTTATAATTAGACTCAAATGAGCCAGCGTTATTCCATGATATACGTACATTTTCAAAATATTACACTGTAAACCACCTCTGACAAACAACTTCAAACAGAGATCGTTCAAACCAAATTATCTTAAAAAGAATTTCATGAGAAAGTCGAGGCAAGCATCTTGAGGTCGAAATTGTCATCATTGCTGTTTCCAACTAGGCCAAGTATAACACAGTTGTCTACAAAAATCTGTTTCTGGTAAATTAATGACATCTGAAGGAGATCGCCAACAATGAGAAGAAACTCGCATCGGCTATCAATCAGAGAACCTTTTTGTTGAAATGCAGGTAACACAAGTCCCCGAAGATGATCTCAATAAAGATCGAAACGTTGGCACGGTAAAGAAAATGTTTTTCTGAAACCTACATCACACCAGACCGCATCTCACGATTTCTTAATTTTAAATTAATGTTTTACGTTCATTTTAAATGTTTTATGTATCTGGATCACGGTATGGTCTTGATGAAAAAGCAAATTCGGTTGTTACTGCTAAGTTTTCTATCTATTTTAAGGTCATCATCAAGGCAGTGTAATCGTACATATGTCTACAGATTGACATAATTAAGTGTTTTCCTTGAAGACCATCTCAGTCCCAATATTGCCAAAACAGTGGCATCAACTGTAATTGATTGTTTTGCCCTGATGACGACCATAAAATATGTCGAAAGTTTGGCAGTAACGACTGAATTTGCTTTTTCAACAAGACCTTGATCCAGAGTATTCAAGATTTTGTATTCATGACAAAATAATGTTTTATATTTCGTTTGCGACTAGGAATACTATTATATTTGTACTTGGAAATTGTTTTCCTATTTTTGACACATTGCGAATAATACAATCAAAATTCAGGATAATGTTGATAACAGGAACAAAAATGCAATTGTTTAAAAATAGACTACCGATAGTTATTATTTATTCGAATTTCAAGCCTGAATCATGTGTTTCATTTGAGAAGTCTAAGCATAATATTTACATACTTTGAAAATTCATGAAAGTTTTAAGCGTAAGTGCAAAAAATGAAGTAAAATATTATAGAAACTTCAATTGATTTTAAAGCATTAAGAACTGTATTTTCGAAAAACGCAGTATAAATCACCTCTAAAGTGATTGAACATCAAACACAGGACAAAACAAATACAAACAAAAAGAATTTGATGAAATTGTCCTGGAATTCATGCAAGGTCGAAACTGCTGCATTGCAGTTCCCAACTAGGCTTAAAATTAATGGTTAAGAAAAAGGTCTTTCGTCTTTTATATTTGTTTGACGACTTAGCAAATTTGTTACATTAATAGTACCTAATAATGTATAATTACCATGAAATAAATATAACCATGAACCTCAGTAACTTGTGAAATATTAAAAACATTATTGCAAAATATGATAGCGTAAACCACCTGTGAAGTGAGAATTCAAACAAAGCACGTTCAAAACAAATTCAATATACAAAAACGTAGTGAGGTTATCTAGGAATTCAAGTTTCTTGAGGTTGAAACCGTCATTAGTCAGCTTGCTGTTTCCAACTACGCCAAGTATAAATACTGTTGTTCCGAATTCGATCAAAAATAATTTGTAGAGGAATTCAAGCTCCTTAAGGACAAAATTGTCAGAATTACTGTTCCCAGCTAGGCTAAGAATAAATGGTCAAGAAGAAAACATCTTTCGATTAATATTTTGCTCGAATGAAAAACAAGGATTTCATGTTTGCCAGGAAACTCGGCAAAAATGTCACATTTTGACTTGAAAATTGTTTTCCTATTTGAAAGGAATCCGAAGGACACAATCAAATGACGGATAAGAAAAGATAATCAAGAAAAAAACGTTCTAATATCAAACACTTGTTTTCGTGGTCCGCTTGACCAATTAATATCTTTCAATTAATTAAGGTTTTTAGTTGAGATAAAAAGTCAGTGTCACGAGCGGAATTCGAACCCACGATCTTCTGCTAGATACGCCGCTACTCTACCGCTTGTCAAGTCACGTTAGCTCAAGTGGTTGAATAGCAGCTTATCTAGCAAAAGGTCGTAGGTTCGAATCCTCGTGACACTGACTTTTTTTATCTCAACTAAAATCCTTAATTAATTGAAACTACATATAATTAAACAAAACGAGGTCTGGTTTGATTTTGCACGCCTGTGTTTCTTTTGTGTTAGGTGAAATCGAAAGAATCCATAGCGTCTGAAATGACTTACAACACAATACAATANGGTGTTCATTGAAAAGTTCCTTATACAAGTAGAACCTCTCTGTGCTTTTCGCCTTATTCACAGCTTCTTCTCGATGAACTTCGATTATTTTGTAAGGAAGTACTAAAAAGTCCGAGAGATTCTCCCGATCACCAGAGTTTTGCCAGGAGCATGAGTATTTCTGGGCTAGAGAAGCCCATTGATTATACCAGGAGATATTCTTAATTATCTGTAGAGCGATTATTTTAGGCAGTCGATCATCTGGGATGCTCAGTATCTTTGACATATATTTTAGGTGGAGGGAAAAGGTATACGAGAAACGCCTGTGTTTCTTTTGTGTTAGGTGAAATCGAAAGAATCAATAGCGTCTGAAATGACTTCTTGGAATATTTGCTAAAGATTGGCCAACACGTAGAACTACAACGAGCTCACTTTCACCAGACGTTTTGAATCTGGCAATGAAAGTAATATCTGAGCATGTTTAAAATTATTACAATCACATTATTATTAAATCCTAAAAACATAGAATATGTACAGAAAGGTGAAATACAATTTCACTCTTGGTAAAAGTATAAATACTCTAGGGCAAAATTTAAGTACGTAATCTTTGATATCGTACGAATCAAATTTTGAAACTGAAAGCTATGGAGGGGTTGGTCACTCCAAGAGTAGAAATTCCAGATTAAATGATTTCCATTTTTACTTTTGGCCTACAGTGAGTAATAAGGGCGTTCAGAAGGTGGTTGGAAACGATTGATTGTAAGTTTTATAATTATTTAATTATATGTGTCATTTATATGTCACTATCACAGTACATAAAGCATATACAGTATAACTTTTGCTATTATTTGTATGAAATCGAAGTTTAATGAATAAATCACAGAAAAAACTTGGTGAAGTCAAATATCAGATTTGCGAAGTCCATGGACCTCTATCAGTAATTTTTGATTATTTTTTGTCTGGCACGGTTTTAAAGAGGGTACTCATAAATGATATGCTCCACGTCTGGGGCACGTCTTGAGCACATGAGCATAAATCGCTGTTGGTGATTTTAAACCTTTTAAAGTATTATTTGGTTTATCCATGTCCACTTATGACTTGAGATACCTCGTATTTTAAGGGCAATTCAATAGTAAACTTCGAAGCTATACTGAAAAAAAAAAAAAAAATCAACTTAGTATTCAGCACTGTGTCTGTCCAGTGAATATCCCAATCACGTCTTGACTGGGCTCGATTTTAAGTCATTTAAGTCTAATTCTGGTTTTAAGTTAATGTCTATTGCTGCTTTTTTAGCACTTATCAGCTAGTTATTTATGGAGTTTGATCCAATTCGTTTTAATTTTCCATTGGCTTTCCATTCCTAATTTGTCGAATAGGTTTATATGCCTGTCTTCATTTGAAGGTGTTTGAAGTGTATCTTGGTATCGGTTCATATCCTTGCTAATAAGACGGAGTTGTTTTGCTCATGCTTTTTTTCTAGCCGTTCCGGCTTCGTGAGCGTAGCTAACGTCTCCACATCCACCTGATGCTCTCTCATAAAATGAATCTCCTTATCTGGAACCCATATGATATGGAAATCGGTGTAAACTCTCTCGGGTGTTTTTCTTCCAAGAATGTTTCAAAAACTAGCACGAATTCCAGCGGATAATTTTTAATCGGTGTATGTGTAATGCCAAAATATCCAATGCCTTTTTTGCGTGTCCTTCTTTTTGATAATGTCCTTATCAATTGAGTTCTTCGGGTGAACCCAGCCTTTGGAAGAGGTCGTTTTTTCGACTGGTTTTCAATGTAATTATTTTTTATGATTATATTATCGTTTTTAATTATAGAGTATTTTCCTGACTTTCGACCCTGCATCATCTTGGGACCCCCTGCGCACCTTAATAAATCCTTCGAAAAGTCGTCTTCGATTCTATTGATCGTACATTACAATTTCGACAGATTTTTGATGATAATTAATTTTGTGCGGAATAAACCAAGCCCAATCAGAAAGGGGTGTGATTTACCGTCTTGACGACCGTAAATTCTTCGAAACAAATCTAAATTAATTACTCTTTGGTTCAATTCAGTTTTCATTTAATAAATAATGAATAATGAACCTTTCTTGATCCCAGTCGATGTTGTATTGTTTATCAAAACCTAAAATGATATAGCTTCTTTTACGATTTTCTTGTAGTAAATATAAATTGAGTGTATTTCTCCTTTTATATTATGTCTATAAAGTAATAATATAATTTAAAAAATAATAAATATCTTTCTCAGAATACTGTAATGAATAATAAATACTCACTGTACCCAGCGTATCCGTATGGCATTGTCATTGCATTTTAACTGTCATGGGAATAAGCCCAGTATAAAAAAGTCCTAATTTTTAAAATAATTTTATGCTTAAATTATTAACTATTGATTTCTACTGATGTTTTCCAACTGGGGTTTCCCATTTATCCATTCTTCCCACATCTAAAATTAATCTTCGATTTTGTTGTTTATTTACTATTGTATTTCAGATTCTGACTAACCCGATATCATCGAATACCGAATTAGAATGGAAATTGTGCAAACGGTTCAATATAGAAATGAATATGTCAATAAATTTCAAAATGTGACTCAAACGTGTTTGTCAATAAAATTATTATAGTTTATGTTTAAATTTTTTTTTATAGACAAGAATGCTTGATTAATATGTACATTAGGTTCGATCACCAATGGGATCCATCGTGCTGTTCGCCTTCAAATTCTTCGGGGCGGATTTTTTGACCATTTGCTTAGCATTTGCCGCCACCTTTGGCATTGTGGTCTACAACTGGAAAAGGCGAAGGATGGTTTATTTAATCGGGAAAATTCCGGGTCTGCCGTCCGTGCCCCTTATCGGCAACACAATAGAGATCAACGTTGATCACGATGGTAAGTACTTGATATATTCTTAAAAATTAATTTAGAGTGAGAGGAGATAGATAGATAGGTAGATAGATATCTTTCTTTTTCACTCTCTCTGTCTCCCTTTCACTATCAATCTATGTTTTCTCCCTCTCTATCTATCTATCTTTCTCTATCTATTTCTTTTTTATTTATTTTTATTATTTCATTTGGTCCCTTAGTGATTACAGATTTTCACAATAATTTGAATCAAGAGTACACAATATTTTAATTACGCCATAAAATTGTCAAGATGACTGATTAGTATTTACAAATCTGTTCAATAATAATAATAATAATAATAATTAATTAAGGTTTTTAGTTGAGATAAAAAGTCAATGGCACGAGCGGGATTCGAACCCACGATCTTCGGCTTGATACGCCGCTGCTCTACCACGTGAGCTATCGCGACTTCGATCCACTCGGACACCAATTTCCCATCTCAACCGCACCTTTTGAATTTTCCCTCCTTTTTACCATTTTTCAAATGTCGTGTAATCGGGTTGGATTCTCGACGACAAATGAAATGGCCACGGAGAGCTTTAGTGAAGTATACTTCGTTTTCAATCATTAAATTCACTAATTTCGTGGTCCGCTTGACCAATTAAGATATTATAATTAATTAAGGTTTTATTTGAGGTAAAAAAGTTNTATATATATATATAAAATAATGCCCTAATGTATCACCTTGTAGCTCTTCAGGTTAATAAAACAGGTTAATAAAGCAATGAAAATAAACAATCGAATCGTTTTTAAAATGTAAAAATGTCAAACCCAAGTCAAACCGAAAAAGTTAAGTCAAAGAAGTAGATTTTTATATGGCAAGCCCTCCTGATCTTTAGGTTTTTATATATACTAAAAGTATAAGCTTAAAAAAGTAAGTAAATAATGTAGTTTGTAGTGTATAGTAAGTAATAAAATAAAAGTATTGGTCGTAAATGGTCAACTTCGGCCTTCATGAGCGTCCTTCGCGTTCCGGCGAGAAATTTCTTAAATTGCCAAACCTTTTCTGTCAGATTCGATCAGTAAAAGCAATTGCATCATGATGACTCACAAACTTGGATTGAATTTAACCTTAAACTTATAAATAATCTTCTTTTTTTATTTAGCAACCAACCATCTTCCGGATCCTTCCTACGTTTCTAGATTTTTCTCAATTCTTTTGCCAATATGTATGCCTAAAATACCCAATTGGTTATACTTTTGCCAATAATTGTTTTATAAACGATAAAATATTCAAAATAGTACGAATTTCCATCGATCCCCTTTTTTTGTATTTCAACAGGGCTGACGCGAATAGTTCCTTTATTTATTCTTTTTATGACTAATAAAGAATTTTGTTCAATATTGCAATTAAATAGGTCGCTTTTCACAATCAACTTTATAAAAACAAATACCCATGATCTTTGACCAATGAGATTTATTACTCATTTTAGCCTTTAGGAGATAAAATTAATTAAAAACTAATATCTTTAAAATCGTTACTGGATTATTTAATGTAATGAATTAATTTTCATTGGTCTGAAAAGGCTATTATTATAGAATTTTTTGGCAATCAAGTTATCGCTTTTTTTTTAATAAGAACGCATTTTTAATTTTTCAGAAATGTTTACAAGGATTTCTTCCACAAGGATGTTATGGGGAAAATCAAGCGGGATTTGCAAAGCGTGGCTCGGCCCTTATCCGTACATATTCGTCAGCAAAGCTTCTGCTGCTGAGGTGCTCGCTTTTCCTTTTTGTACATTAATTTTGCTTGAGATTTGCTGATGTTTGTGGAATTTTTCTCAGGCGATACTGAGCAGTTCAAAGCACATCGAGAAAAGCCGAGAATACTGTTATCTGCATCCCTGGCTCGGCACTGGCCTGCTGACAAGCTCAGGTGATAATAATGCATAAAGATGGCAGAAAAACAAAACGTTTACATTTTTTCTTCCGAAATTCTTGTACATTCTTACTGTTTTTATTAGGTTTTAATTAAGAGGAGAAAAGTAAGAACGGCTTGTTTTTTTTTTCTAAAAGAACATGAACCATTCGTGAAAGCTTTGTAACATTACGAATATCAAAACTCGTCATAAATGTTTTTAAACGTTTATTTGTAAGCTGTTGAACTTGCACAAATTTCATTGCTGATTAGAGAAGATAGAAGGCGGAACTGACTTTTTTCAAATCGAACTATTTGCACCATGAGGATTTTATTTCTATAAGGTTTATCGTTTAGACAATTATATCTTCTTTTTTTAATATTTGTGCTAGATAAAATAGAATTTTCTGATTCAAGAATTTGATCAACTGCCATTTCAAATATATTTCTTCGCGTCAATTTCTCATGAACGTATAATTTTCCTCTCCGATTGGAAAATAATTTGTTAATCCGCTGTCGTTTGGATTGGCCAATTTATCTGATAAGCCGAAATGGTTATGTACGGAATTCTAAAACCCTATTTTTAATTCGGTCGTTGAACCCCAAACACGAGCTATTAAAAAAAGGAGTGAATGTGAGAGGAAAACAGAAAGATAAATAATTAGGTAGATAGATAGAGAGGGAGAGTGAGGAAGGGAGAAGAAGAGAGCGAGAGAGAGAGAGAGAGGAGAAGAGAGAGGATGAGAAAAAGATAGATGGATAGATAGAAAACGAGAGTGAGAGAAAGCGAGAAGGAGAGAGAGGAATGAGAAAGAAAAACTGCAAATGTATTTACATGAAATTGCCTACTGAAATAAATATTCTAGTTTAAAAATAATTGAGCAATTAAAAATTAAATTACTGATATAAGTGAACAAAATAATTTTTTCAATACAAAATAAAGACAGAGAGAGAGAGAGAGAGAGAGAGAGAGAGAGAGAGAGAGAGAGAGAGAGAGAGAGAGAGAGAGAGAGAGAGAGAGAGAGAGAGAGANGAGAGAGAGAGAGAGAGAGAGATGGATAGATAGAAAACGAGAGTGAGAGAAAGCGAGAAGGAGAGAGAGGAATGAGAAAGAAAAACTGCAAATGTATTTACATCAAATTTTCGCAGCTAACATATAAAGAATTTTAAATTACATATTAGATGATACATTATTTTTATTATCCATACATTTTATATTGCATTAAAATCAGGTATTAAATGGCAAACAAGGCGAAAGATCCTGACTCCAACTTTCCACTTCCGCATCTTGGAGGATTTCCTCGGTGTTTTTATAGAGCAGAGCGAAATTTTGATCAAGAAACTCGAGGCCGAGCTGACGAGAGAAAGTTTCAACATTTTCCCATACGTCACGCGTTGCACATTGGACATAATATGCGGTACGTCGATCGGCTTCCTAAGATACAAGGACGACTTTTTAATGCATTAGTAATTTCCAGAAACAGCCATGGGAAGGAAGGTGAACGCGCAAAGCGACTCCGAATCGGCTTACGTCAAAGCTGTGTACAAGTAAACCAAACGTTTTTGGAATGGTTTTCGATTTTTTATTTTAACCCGATTGTTTTTGCAGAATGGGCACCATCGTGCAGAAAAGGCAGGCTAAAATTTGGCTGCAGCCCGAGTGGGCTTTCAGATGGAGCAAACTGTATTCCGAACATAACTGCTGCTTGAAAGTCTTGCATGACTTTTCAAACAAAGTACATAAACGCTCTCATAACAAAAATATTCTAATGTTTTATTCTAGCCAATATTTTGAACAATATCAACTCGAATTTATGATGCTATGGTTTGAAACTTAAGCCTGGTATGTACTAAGTTACAACTTTTATCCAAAGGTTGAAAAATCCCAAGTTCTCCTTGGTTGAAATATTTTATTCAATTTTGTCAATTACATGTGTTCGGGTACGGGCCATCATCAGACCAAAATATGGAAAACCTTATGACTATTGTGCCATCTTTAAGTTCTGATGATGGGCCGTAAACCCGAACGGTCTTGTAATACACAAAATTGAATAAAATATTTCAACCAAGGAGAACTTGGGATTTTTCAACCTTTGGATAAGAATTGCTACAAACCGTAGATTTTAAGAAAAAGATAAGTTAGAACGGAAAACTTGAAATTTATGACAATGTTATAATTTAAAAATGTTATTACCTAGAAAAAAATAATTGAGCCAATTACCCACTGATATTCTTACAATATCTGGTAAGTTCAAAGTTCCCAAATAGACCTCAGGATCTCTATAATGCCAATGCTTATACATTGCTCGGTACTTATTTACATTTCAACGAATACGGCCAACTATCAAGCATAGTACTGAACTCCTAATCAAAAACATACAATATTCTGCGGAATTAAATAACAAAAAACAATAACAATCTAAATTTCATGGACTTAGGAATCACTAAAACTGACAATATACTACAATTCGACATGTACATAAAAACAACAGTGTCTGACATCACACAAGACGATAATCCAAAATTTTAATACTTAAATTCTTGATATACTAAAAATAGTATCACTGATTAAAGAGGGATACGAACTAAAAACAATAAAACGATGCTGCACCGGCACTGGGTCACTTTTTGGTTCCATCTTCACTCGCGGATTGTTTTGTTTGCAGAATTTTTGAACAATTCAAAGAGCCATCTTCAGTGAGGAATCGTATTTTGTAGATCCCTTTAAAGTAAGGTAGTCTGACTGGCTGTGTTAGAGTTGATTAGGATGCCAGCCTGCGAGTAGGTTAACGAACCTGCCCGTCTTTACTCGCGGGTATTCAAACGCGTTCGGCATTGCGCCATCTTCAGTGAGGAATTGTTTTATGCAGATGCCTTACAAACCTGCCCGTCTTTACTCGCGGGTATTCAAACGCGTTTCGGCATTGCGCCATCTTCAGTGAGGAATTGTTTTATGCAGAACCCTTACGAACCGGCCCGTCTTTACTCTCTTATGAAAGATAAGAAATTAAAAACCATAAAAATCATTGCACACAATTTTTTTTTTGCCTTACTATTCATTGCACACAATGGCTACAATACAAACACGATTAACAAAACAATAATCAAAACGACGCCACAAAATAAACAACAAATGGATCACATACATAAAGAAAAGCAACTACAAACTAACGAATTTATTTAACAAATATTAGTCATTAAAATAGCACTTAAGACTATGAACTCAATCGGAATAGTACTAAGATAAAATAAGAACAAAACCAACCGACATGACAAAAAAGTCATGTAGACCACAACAAAAACATCGGACAAACAGGAAGGAAACAGGATAAAATGTTGATACAAAAGAACACTTTGAGACAATGACAGAATATTCAACTATGCGACTCACACACAACATGCAAAAAGGACGCAAAATGTACATACTTGAAAATTTCGAAATATACAAACATAACTAATTTAACACTGAAAAACACATATTTTAACAACAGTTTATACATCATGTACACAATTCAAAATACTATACCAATAAAACAATGCGTTAAATACACACACACACACACACACACACACACACACACACACACACACACACACACACACACACACACACACACACACACACACACACACACACACACGCACGCACGCACGCACGCACGCACGCACGCACGCACGCACGCACGCACAAGGTCGACCTTTTAAAAGAGGCTTAACTTCACAAAAATCGCTGAACATGGAGAAATAGTCTCTGGCAGACCAAAATGATCGGTAACGACCAAATTACAGCTTTATCAACCCGCTGGCAGCATGGAGAAATCCTACAATACCGAATCAACCCCAAGACACAACTACTGAAAATGTACTTAATTGATAAAACTTTGCTCAGTACTTATTTAAAAACACTAAAATTTTATAAGAAAACAATAAAGTTGGGCAAATTCAAACAGTAGATATTTGGCAGACTTGTATTCTTGGTTTATTCATCCCTGAGATGATTTGGAAAAACGCATCAGATTTTATTACTTTATTAACTTATAAAGGGAGGCTATGGAAATAACTGATTTCAATGAACGATTTTCTAGTGATACTACATCGAGAACATATCAACCAAGGAACCGATAAAAAAGTTTCTGTAATGTACACAATTTTTGAAAACTACTGTTTTCTGCCTTTATTGTGCATGTATTTCTAAGTTATTTCATATTCAATTCACTAGTTTTCGTGGTCCGCTTGACCAATTAATATCTTTCAATTAATTAAGGTTTTTAGTTGACATAAAAAAGCCAATGTCATGAGCGGGATTCGAACCCACGACCTTCGGCTAGATACGCCGTTACTCTACCACCTGAGCAATCGTGACTTCGATCCGCTCGGACACTAACTTCCCATCTCAACCGCACCTTTTGAATTTTCCCTCCTTTTCGCCATTTTTCAAGTTACTTCATATTGTACGATTTTTTTAAAATCTAGTAGGAAAATAATATAAGGGATATAAATGGGAAGTTTTTGAAGGGAAGTACGATCCTGCAAAAAATTGTGTTATTAAGCACAAGTCATAAAAATTTATTTAGCGGAATATTTGCTTACGAATTTCATAGAATTTCTTTATTCTTCTAGTTTGCTAATTTTTTCGTTATTTAAATTTGAATTATCCGCTTGATTCATGCTGCTACTCATTGTTGTTACATTGTTCCCGTTCAATGAGTCAATAGTAAAAATATGGCAAACAGCTTGGAATGACAAATACTGACAATGCAGTCTTTCTTTGTAGTCAATTGTAATTTTTTTAAAATAATTTTTTAAAGGTTATTCAAGACAAAAGAGAAGACTTGGCAAGATGTAGTTCGGAGAGTGACATTGGTTATGAAGAGAACTTAGGTATTTTATTTATAAACTTCGACTAAATAATATATGATGTAAATAATAATATTTTTATTGAAAAACAAAACAGGAGTTAAAAAGCGGTTGGCTTTTCTGGACCTTTTGTTGCAAGCTAAAGAAAATGGTGCGCCTCTGCCGGACGAAGATATAAGGGAAGAAGTTGACACTTTTATGTTCGAGGTTGTTAATAACAATTTTTTTTTTATAATACAAATTTTTAATTATAAGTATTTAAGGGTCACGACACCACATCGGCGGCGATTTGTTGGATCCTGTTCTTACTAGGGTGCCATCCTGATATTCAGGTGCGTCCTCCTTCAGACCTAAGTATAAAAAGGATTTTAAAAACAAACCAATACATTTTCGTCCATTTCAGGACAAAGTCGTCGAAGAGATGGACGCAATATTTCAAAAGACGGACAGACGGCCGACCCCAAACGATCTCGCTGAAATGAAATATTTGGAATGTTGTATAAAGGAGGCGTTGAGGCTGTATCCCAGCGTGCCGATTTTCGCCAGAAAAATAAATACAGACGTAGACATAGGTAAATGTTTGTTTTTGAGATTTAATTTGATTTCGATAAACCTTTATGAAACAGCTGTTAAAATGAAAGCAGGGCGATTAGGAAATATCGAACAACGAATTCATTATCATAGATATCTATTGTATTTGAACGTTTTCTTTATGTATTTGACTCACCATTGATAACACACTAACAATGCTATTTGTCAACTACTTTATTCTAGAAAAATTATTTTATAAATATTATTTACGATACATAAATCTACTATAACATTCCTCTTATTTCATATTTTGCATCGTTTTATATAATAATTTTAAATAATAATAAATTCCAACCGATGCCAGTAAATAAGATACTGAAGATAAGTTAAAGAATTATTGCACTCCGTGTAAGTTCATTCTAAAAATAACAAAACTTTTTATGAGCAAAGCCTGAACATTCTCCAGTTATTAAGTAATATGATATTATGACGTCAACCGACACTCTTTTCTTTATCCTATTGCTACTCTCTCTGTAGTGTGTCAATTGTGGATAAAAAGACGCAAGTTACCGACACAAATATATATAAAACAGAAACAAGATAAAAGTCTTGTTAGCGTCTATACTACCCAGAGTACTCGATATTCCTTGGTCTTATCAGAGAGGACTTGTCCAGGGTGGCAGGTATGAGAGCCACCCTGGCAAAACTGTTCACGGTCCTCGCCAGTTTTGGGCTCTACCCCCGCAAGTGGCGAGAGAACCGGACGGTACTAATACCAAAGCAGGGTAAGAATCCCTTAAGTCCCTCTGCATGGCGGCCGATCACTATTGCCCCGATAATGGCGAGACTGTACTCTGCGGTGATCTCCAAAAGGATCAGTGGTGTAGCAAAGTTGTCCGAGAGGCAGCAGGGCTTCGTCCCATTGAACGGGACCTATGAAAATTGCCTCCTCCTGTACGAGCTCCTTCGAAGTGTTCGAAAGGGGACTCGCCGGGAGGGGCTCACGATGGTCCAGCTGGATGTGGCCAAGGCGTTCGACACCGTGCCACATCCAGCCATAAAGGAAGCCCTTAGCCGGATAGGTTGCTCGCCGCAAATCGTGGAGACAGTCTTGTCCTCTTATCGGGGAGCGACAACAATCATCCCCACGGATGTGGGGATGAAAAGGGTGAAGATCGCCAGGGGAGTTAGGCAGGGCGACCCGTTGTCGCCCTTGCTGTTCAACCTGGTGATCGACCCCATTATCTCTGACCTGGTGTCGTCAGCAGGTCCTGGACGTGACGTCCTCGCAGGGGTGCTGGCATTCGCTGACGACTTAACATTGGTGTGCGGCACACCTGGTGAGGCACAAACCCTTCTCGATAGAGCCTCCTTGCACTTCTCGAAGCTGCGTATGGCGCTTAATCCGGAAAAGTCTCTCTGCCTCAATATGAGGCGGAAGGGCGGGACCTGGTACGCGGACGACCCGCTGCTCAACATCAGCGGAGTGGCGATTCGCCACATTCCCGCAGGCGGGTCGTTCGAGTATCTCGGTCTGAGATTTTCCCGTGAGGCGAGTCTGGACAGCGTCGCCGTGCTCGAGGAGTTAGAAAGGATGCTTGGCCGAGTCTCGAGGCTAAGTGTTAAGCCTCGGCAGAAGATGGACCTGGTCAAGCGATACATGATACCGAGGAGGCTCTACCGTCTGGTGATAGATACCCCATCTATCACCGCGCTGCGTAAGCTCGATGGGGTCATTCGGCATTGGGTGAAGGAAAATTTTCATCTCGAATGGCCTCATATACGCCAGAGGCAAAGACGGCGGACTGGGGTTCCCTAGGCTGGCGCACGCGGTCCCTGTGGCGCATCTGCGGGCCGGGCTGGCCCTAGTGAACAGTTCCGGCCCGTGGATCAGGGGGCTTTACGCCTCCAACCAGGTTGCTGCTCGCCTGAATAAGGCGGCGGCTCGCTTGGGATTGGGGGAGTGGCCCACCACCTGCGGGGAACTGCGGGCGCTGGCAAGAAGACTATACCGGGGGGAGTTAGACGGTTGGGCGGCTCTGGGGGGGACCGGTCACGGAGTCAAGAGCTTCTCCGGCTACGCGGAGGGCAACCGGTGGTTGTCCGACGGATCCTTGATCCGTCAGGACTCCCGGTTCATCCACTCCCTCCGCATGAGGACAAATTCGATGGGCACTAGAGAGGCGTTGAGAAGGGCAGACTCAAATACGCCGGCCGAATGCAGGAAGTGCGGGGCCGGCAACGAGACGCTCTCCCATGTCCTCTCGACGTGCCCGGAGAATCACTCTAAAATAGTGAGGAGGCACGATGAGTGCCTCCAAGTCCTCATCGCCGGTCTCCGTGATTCGGGCTACCAGGTCGCCGTCGAAGCTCCCCACCGAGCACCGGATGGATCTAGTCTCCGGCCGGATGTCGTTGCCACTGACGAGGGTAGAATTGTTGTCTTGGACCTCGCGGTGGCGTATGAGACCGGCAGACCTCAAGGCGGAAAAATATGGGGTTTTGAGGGAGGTCCTCACAGAACTGCACCAGAAACACAACTTCCTAGCGGCTGGTGTAGTGGTGGGGGCAAGGGGATGCATCCCTTGGCGCACTAAGGCGACGCTCAGGGACCTCGGCGTAAAGCAGTTGTCGAGGATAGTGGTGGGAAGTATGATTCTTTTAAGTGAATCGATTCCCTTCGATTCAATCCCTGAAGTGAGTCGATTCTTTTTATAGATTCTTTGATTCCCCCTACTCCTGGTACCAGAGCTTTCGTTTATTGGTTTCTCCCTTCATCCTAATTTCCCGCCATAATTCAAATTAATTTTCAATTCTAGTATTTATTTACCACAACGAAAAAGGTAATTAATGTTAAGTATATAAATTGTATCAAATCATTGTATTTTTAGATAGAAAAATAATGATGATAGTAATACTAATGAAAGCCTTATTTCTTTATACTCAATGTAATTGGATGTAATGTATTGATTATTTTGTGAAGTGATTAGTGACCGTTAGTCGATGATTATTCTTTGCACATTTCTTGGAAGTAAATAAAAATAAATATTATTTTAAAAATAAAACCACAAAAATCACATATCTTTATTGATACATATTATTAATGAATTATTACTTAGGTATCTTACATATGAATCAACCAATTTACATTTGTTATAAGAATTTAAAAAAAGTAAGATATAAAAAATATGTTATTAACTGATTGCTGATTTATATAGGCACAAATCCACAGACGGGTGTGCACATTACCCACAGGTGCAGAGTTGGGCCTATCACTTCTCATAGTCCACCGACACTCTGACAGTTCCAGTTTCACAACAGATTGCCAATGGCTCCTGAGAATCACCTACTCCAGATATTGGGGTTAGGCTCCTGTGTGCTGCCAACATCTAGGTCTTTTCAGTGCACTGAAATGAAATAGCTGTTGGCAGTGCACGATGCAATCAGTAATACAATCACACTCTCATTTACTCTTAAATACAATCATTCCCATTTACATAGCTTACATACTTACACCATTCATTCAGTTAGGACAGTAGAATAAATCACTTAAGCTTAATTTTTAAAAAACTTAATTCTCAACTTATGAAATCTACATGTTCCAATCTAAATAGTAAACCAACTATTTAGAGAGCACTAACCTTCAGAGTTTTAACTATTATTTACTCTAAAGCATATCTTTATTTTGATTAAGTGCATTTGTGCAATTTTTGATGAAGTCAGACGGGACCTTTTTTGGGTACATTTCTGACCCCCTTTAGATAAACTTCTCTCACAGGGAACAGAGGTTGCAGGAATGCACAATATTTTCAAAACTAGATTATACAAATTAGGAAATAGACTTTTCCTATCGTTCCACCAAACCATAGGATCAGTGCGACGGTCCACAAGAGGTTCTGCTATATATTTATCAACTTTGACAATAGCAGAAGCTTTTGGATCTTGGAAAGAATCAAACTGTGAGTCCGGGAGTTGAGGTATCGAAGGTGGCTACGTAAATGAATTTGCTATAAAATATATTTTTATTTTATTTTTACACATTTTAAATAAAAGCAAAAAATTAAATTAATTTTATTAATTTACATCCCATAGAGAATTTACTGAATGAATTTATTTATACTTTAAATTCACTAATTTCGTGGTCCGCTTGACCAATTAACATATTACAATTAATTAATTTATCTCAAATAAAAACCTTAATTAATTGTAATTTATTGATACATATTTATTTCTTATACGGTATTTTGCATAATGTAAATAAAATTGTAAAAGTTGGAAAAAGTAGGTAATTATAAATTTAAAAAACGTTAATTATTAATTTATTGATTGGTCGAGAGATTATGGATTGGGAACATTCAGTAAAATATGTCTCCGGCCTCGGAGAAAACAGAAGACGGGAGTTGAGGAATCGAAAGAATCAAACTGCGAGTCCGGGAGTTGAGGAATCGCAGAGTTGATGAGTCGCCAAAAGAATTGAAGAGTTGAAATCCGACTCCGTGAGTTGAGATTTTCTTAGAAGAATCAAAAAGAGTTGTTACAAGAAAAAGAATCCTCGGGAATCGTGTGACGTAATCCGTTTCCTGAACTGAACCGCAACTCGCTTAAAGGAATCGATTGGATGGTCATTCTTTTAGATGAGTCGATTCTTTGAATCGATTCTCGATTCTTTTGCCCATCTCTAGTCGAGGACGCTCCTCACCCTCTCCCTAACAGCCTTGAGGTCCTCACTCTCCATTGCCTGCGGCCATATGGATCGGGAAAGAGGCTTTTCAGCGACCCGACCAACGGCACCGGCTGTCGAGCGCACCACCAATGGCGACTGACCTGGCATGTCGACGGGACCCACAATTGGACCTAAGGTGCGGACGAAGACAGAGGAAGGGTGGTCTGCACCTGAGGATACGAACACCGGCAGAGGCCGGAAAGAGGTTTAACGTTTTTAAGTTGATCAAAAAAAAAAAAAATTGGGGATAGCCCCTTTATTCGCGCTAATAAATTATATTACCCACTACAATTCACGTACACTATCCTAGATTACTCGACATACCTTAGGGTAATTGGGAATAAGCTTGTTCATTCACGCTAATAAATTAGATCACACGCTACATTTGTATTACCCCAGATTACTCGATGTTCTGTGAGGTAATTGGGGAGAAGCCCTTCCATTCGCGCTAATAAATTACATTCACGCCATAATCCATTCACAGTATTCACACTCCCTGGAGTATTCGATATTCTTTGGGGCTATTTGGGAAAAAGAACCTCCATTCGCGCCAATAAATTAGATCACACATTACATTTCATTTATATTATCCCCAGATACTCAATATTCCGTGAGGTAATTGGGGATAAGCTTGTTCATTCACGCTAATAAATCAGATCACACACTACATTTATATTACCCCAGAGTACTCGATATTCCGTGAGGTAATTGGGAATACGCCTCTTCACTCGCGCCAATAAATTAGATCACACACTACATTTATATTACCCCAGAGTACTCGATATTCCGTGAAGTAATTGGGAATACGCCTCTTCACTCGCGCCAATAAATTAGATCACACACTACAATTTATTTACATATCCAAGAGTACTCGATATACCTTAGGGTAATTGGGTATAAGCCTCTTCATTCGCGCTAATAAATTAGATCACACACTACAATTTATTTACATATCCAAGAGTACTCGATATACCTTAGGGTAATTGGGTATAAGTCTCTTCATTCGCGCTAATAAATTAGATCACACACTACATTTATATTATTCCAGAGTACTCGATGTTCCATGAGGTAATTGGGGAGAAGCCCCTCCATTCGCGCTAATAAATTACATACACATCATAATCCATTCGTACTATTCACACTCTCTGGAGTATTAGATATTCCTTGGGGTATTTGAGGAAAAGACCCTCCATTCGCGCCAATAAATTAGATCACATACTACAATTCATTCACAATACCTCAGAGTACTCCCAATATTCCTTGGTGTAATAGGGGATGAGCCCCAATTCGCGCTAATAAGTTACATTCACACTGGCTAAGATTACTCGACATTCCGGGTAATGAGGGATAAGCACTTCCATTCGCGCTAATAAATTTCTTTCATAACCACAATTCATTCGCACTGCCTTAGACTATTTGATATTATATTTATTGTTCATCTAAATTTATTGCAAACTCAAATCGTAAGCATTTAAAATCATTTTAATAAATCTTTGTGGTTGGATGTCATTAACAATGGACAAAATACACCTCATTGAATAGAGATATATTCTGAAACATTTGATTTTAATGATGCTTGTGTAAAGTTTTTGTTTTACACAAATACAAATTTGAAAAATCTATTACCAACTAATCGGAAAAATAAGAAATGTTTATTATAATAATAAATATATAAAACGTTAAAAAATTATGACATGGTCTAATTCGCGCTTGAAAGTTTGTCGAAAGCTCAGGTCTTTTAAACTATGCAGTTTATTTTTTCATGAAAGAGAAAAGCAAATTGATAGTTTCTCTCTTTCTTCTCTCTCACTCTCTCTCTCTCTTTTTTCTCTCTGTGTCTGTCGCATTGTTTATTTTGTTAATTTAGGAAAATACACTATTCCAAAGGGAACAACCGCTATGATAGTAGCGTACCAATTGCACAGGGACCCATCGGAATTTCCAGACCCCGAAGTCTTCAAACCCGAACGATTCGCGATGAGGGATTCGTCCAGGCATCCTTACAGTTACATCCCTTTTAGCGCAGGGCCGAGAAACTGCATAGGTATAAATTCAAACCATTCAAATCCATAATGTACAATGAAAGTGAGTAGAACGTTTTTTCAGGGCAAAAATTCGCCATCCTCGAAGAAAAGGTGGTTGTATCAACTGTATTGAGGAAGTACAGGGTGAAGGCGGTGGACAGGAGGGAAAACCTCGTACTTCTCGGAGAACTGGTACTGCGCCCTAAGAACGGCCTGTACATTGCAATATCCCCCAGGGATTAATTTTTAAATAACGCTTTTATTTATTAACTTGCTCAAAATTTTGTATTAATGTAAATAGTGTTTTATGAAAATAAAATTCCATACTTTTTCCTAACATATATCCATCTCAAATTAAGCAGATCTTTTCTATTAAACCACGTACCAACGTACATCACACCTTTCACCTAGGATAAATTAATAATTTAATTTTATAATAGTTTGCTAATTTATAATAAATTGTCAATTTGAACGAAAATAACATTAGCTAACAGACATTTAGAATTTAAATAAATAATGTTACAAAGTTACAGGAAATTGAATTATATGCCACATTGCAACACATTCCAATGTTTCGATAGGTGTTTAAAATGGACTTTGAATTGTCGATTTTTAAAGTTTTTTTTAGCTCACACAATGCCTTTGCAGATCGAACATTTACACGGTTTAACGTTTTTCAGACTGACAAATAGAGAGAAAAAGAATATGGACAGCTAAACACATACATATTCTCTCTCTGTTTAGTTCTCTTAAAGAAAAAAAAATCAACAACGAATAAAAATGTAAAAAAACCTTCCCAAACAGAACTGCCTGATGATATCTTGGGTTCCAGGACAAAGGAACGAACAACATTGGCCAGAAGAGGATCTGCAAGACCATACATAGGCCCCGAACCTATACTTGGGATAAAAAAAGCAAATGTAGAATCCTCCATCGCAGAAAAGGAGAAGTGGATAAACTCTAGCGGTGCTAGGCACAGTAAACTTTTGTGAAAACAACCCTTATCAAGACTGGCAAACTAACTGCTGTAGTTTTAGAGGGCCAAATTCAGAGAAGCCGTAGGCAGTCACTGGCATCTGAGAAAACATGTACATAACATGGGCGTATATAACGATGATTACATTTGCAGATTATTTAATGAGGAGGAAGAAACAGCCACTCCGTATCTTCTTCGAATGCGGCTCAATAGAGACATAACTTAGCATACAGAAAAAATCTAGGGAATGAAATTGTAGTCATTGTCAGACCTAATACTTCTGAGAAGAAGGATTAAGTCGATTGCACCAAACTAGGGAACTTGGAAGGTACAGTAAGCCGTATGGATGAAGCACAAACCCCGGCTTCCTAGTATCCTCATCTCCACCATAATCATCATCACCCCTTTAATATTGAGTATTACCACCTTTAGCATGAATGCCTTTGCATTCCTTGGAAAGGAAATCAAGAACAGCCATTTCCAACTCTTCTAGGGTGTTATGACACAGGTTTCGCCGTTGTAATCGTCTCTTAAATTGTCCCAAATATGTTCTATTGAGTTCAATTCTGGACATCGAGCTGGCCACACCAAGCACTCAATTCCACTAATATTCAGGTTGCCATCCACAATGGATTCTCTATTGTGCCTGGCATTATCCTGCATTAGAAAGAATCTCTCACCCACATGGCAATGGCACTACATTCTTCAATTATGCCTTTTAAGTACCTCTGTACTTTAGAGAGATTTTCCTCGTTCAACCAATTTGGTGCGAGCGTCCAAGAAAATGGCACCTCAGAAGATCAATGAACAACCATCGACCGTCAACTGAAAAACCATACCATACAGCATGTGGCGTACCTTTCTCCTGAGCGTCTCCATCTGAAATTACGCCCATCTGAAGATTTGAGGCCTACTCCCACTTCATCTGTAAAGAGAACACAATGTTCCAATGTCAAATTCACATTTTCCCGTGCGAATTGAAGCCTGGCCATTTTCTAAGTTGCGGTAAGAAAGGGTCGACGAGACGGGTGCCGGGCCCTGAGATTAATTTCATTGAGCGTTTTTCTTACAAATCGAAACATCAAATTTGTAATCTCATTTCCCTTAATGCTTCGTACAGTCTGATGATGGATGCATCTCTCTTCTCTCCCATCAGTAGACCTAGGTCGACCATGTCCTTGCTTTCTTTATATATATTTTTTGTATTATAGCTTGTTTTTCGTTTGTTTTCATATGCTTAGCTTTATACACTGGTATAATGGAACGCTGCAGTTTCGTAGAGCCTGATGACAGATGCTTTGTCTATAGGCCTAGGTCGACCCTGCCCTGGCCTTCTAGTGTGAAGTCCTGTTTCTATGAAGCGCCGAAGAACCATTCCTACTGTAGAGTGACTTACAGTCATTTTCTTGGCGACTTTGCGCTGACTCTATCCTTCCTCTAATAATTCATACTCAAATGCCTGTCTGCAGCGATTGAAAAAGGTTTAAGAATAAGAATAATATCAAATGAAATCAACGAAGGAAATGGATTAACTGAAAGCGATCTTTAGGCGTAGCAGGATAGAAGGGCATAACAATAATTTTTGTGAAAATGGGATTAATCAGTACAAAAGTAAACAAAGCTTACAATTATTTCGACTACGATACTTGGGTTATGGTTGTTTGCGTTTTGATTTTTGTTTTTCTTTAGAATGAAAAAATTCCAGTAGATAAGCACCACGATTTAACCAACGATGATTCACCATTAGAAAAGGGTGATTCAACTGACTATCTGTACTTCAGCCAACCTTGAACTATGTATTATTGTAGTTTCTGGAACTAATAGAACAAAAAAAAAGACTTTTCTCTTCTCAAAGAATTGTTTCATCCTTTATTCGTTATGCCAAAGTCGATAATTAATTACAAATGTCACGCAAGTCGTGATAAACGACTCGAGAGATAAAGAATGTTTGAAGTTTGAAACCACGATGTCATGTGCTTTTGATCCAAGTGACTTACCACAGCTTTTAACATACGAAAAGTTTTTTGAAGCCGGGCTAATTGAAAAGGTGATCGGAAATGGGAAATGACCTCGTGTGGTAACGACACCGATTATCTCTAGGATTGAGGAAATACCAAATGGAACTTTCAGACGAATCACGTATCCTCGTCCAGTCCGCGTTTCAACAGACATGCATATTCAAAAACCTAGTTGGAAACAGAAAGTGTTCCATTTATTCGAAAGTATATTTTAGAATCGTCTGTAGATTCATTTGAAGAAAGAAATGGGTTCAAAGGTCGATTAATATTATTTTTTGTTTCAAAAAAAGATAGACTCTTCACCTTTTTAGTTTTCAGCTCTTTATGTTGCAAGAAGAGAATCAATCGTGTATTTGCTGGAATTGAGGAGCATCTACTTCGATCTAGTTCCTCGGAACCAAATGATTAATTGTTCACTTTAAACTTTTTATAATCAACTTAACAATGTACTTACCGTCCTGGCTGAAAAATACTCATCAAAAAAACAGCAAAATATACGAGAGCTGTTGCATATTTTACAGGTCCTTGATATTCGAACCTTTGTCTAGCATGCTTACCTCCTCCCCTTCGGACTACTTATTGGATTAAGCATTTGTGCTTAAAGTAGGAGTAAAAACTGGCTTTATCATGTTTCTTCATTCTAAAAAACGGAAGGACTGCAACTTACATGCTTTCGAATACTCTATATACATAGGGATTTCGTCAAATATTACTTTAATAATAGTTGAAATAAATAATTGGAAAATTGTAAGGACCTTCCTTTATTAGCGGAAACAATCCCACCCAATGGAAAATACAAAAAATTTTTAACAACCGTAGAACATAAAATCATGTTGTTCATTACAAAAATTTGAAATAAGCTGTGCGTTTTGGTTTAAAAATTAGTAAGATCCACCATATTAAAGGTGTATGGCGGCCCCAGAACCGGCGTTTTTCCTTTACTCAGAACCTAGGACACCAAGATGTCGGGAAAAATAATTGCAGCCTTGACATTCATGATTCAATGGCCTGCTACTTCTTAACAAAAGTGAAACGAATTGAACTGAGGAACTGGGGAAATTACAATCAGCCAGAAAGCTACAGTGCGTTGAGAATACCAAATCCTCCCTTCCTAGTATCTTCATACTCGTTTTTCCTGGGGTTACATTTTTTTGTACATATGACCGAATCCAAATAAGAGGTAATAATCCTACACTACTTTCAGTTTTAAACACAAAATCCAAAAAAAGTCTAAACCTTGAACGATCTAAGGTCATAATTTCAGTACGTATCTACAATACATGATTATTACAAAAATTGATATGAATAAGTAATAGAATCATGCGTATTATTGGTTTCGATATGCGTAAAACACATTTCGAAATACTTACGTAATTACGTGTTATTACGTACAGCATTCAATAATGGAGATGTAGAGTTACCAAGCATAAAGTATTCGATAAGGATGAAAAATCTGAATTAATAAAGGAAAGTCTGTAAAAAAAGACGGAAGTCTAAAAATTGAGGTGTCAGGTTGGAAATGATTCGTAGAATTTGAGCGATTTTGATTTACGATTTGTCGTAAAGTAGTATATTTATTCCTAATTATAATCATTAATGTAGACACATTTTTTCATCTTAAGATCTCATGTATACCAGATCTAAATTTGCAGATGATTTCTTCTTTCTAAGAATTCTACATTTTGATTAACATTTCCAACCTGACATAAAATGTTTTCTAATTTAATTTAATTCCGTTAACCATTTCTCTCCAATTGAGATATTATTATTGTATGCATATTTTTAATTTCGTACCGATTTTTCATTCTTATTATTCTAATTGCAGTCAAGTAGTATCTAGAAATCTTTGGATGAATTCACGCTTCTTGCAATTCCATGCTATTGCAGAATTTGCGCCTATTGAGATTCTTTATTGATAATTCTTCTTCTTATTATTATTATATAGATTTACTTTTCAACTTTTTATTTCACTTGTATACCAATAAATTACTAAAATTGTAAGCGATTTCTCCTTTGTAAGAATTCCACTTTTTCATAAACATTTCCAACCTGACATAAAAATTCTTTATAATTTATTATCTACTCGTTAACGATTTTTATTCCATTGAGCTCCTATTTTGTAATCATGATTTTCGTTAGTATTACCCTACTTCAAGTGAAATAATAACTAAAATTTATGAAGGGCGAGTTCATGTTTCTCGCATTGTCGACAGATTTGTCGCCTATTGAGATATTTTGATATTTTATTAGTAATTCTTATTTTTATTATGCACAGATACAAATAAAAATCCTCGTGTAATCCGATTAGAATAATAAATAAAGTTTTCGTATTAGGCGAAAATTCTGTCACTAGATTGCCATGAAATTGAATTCGAAAGAATTTTTGTGTCAAGTTGACTCAATGTAGTATATTTATTCCTATTATAATCATTATTGTTGACACATTTTTTCATCCTTAGATCTCAGGTACACCAGGTCTAAATTTGCAGATGATTTCTCCTTTCTAAGAGAAGGAGATTTTGATTAACATTTCCAACTTGTCATAATTTTTTTTTCTAATTTATTATTTTTATTCAATTGAGAACCTATTTTGTAATCATAAATTTCATTCGATTCAAGTCAAAGAATAGTTAGCTATTTTAGAATTTGTGAAGGTCGATTTCATGTTTCACACAATTCCATCGTGTTACAGATGTGTCGCCTATTGAAATATTTTATTAGCAATTCTTATTTTTTATTATGCACAGATACAAATAAAAATGCTCCAGCAATATGATTAGAATAACAAATACAGTTTTCATACGAGGCGAAAATTTTGTAAGTAGATTGCCATGAAATGGAATTCGAAAGAATTTTTGTGTCAAGTTGGAAATGCAGATCAAAAGGGGGAATTCGTAGAATTTGAGCGATTTTGATTTACGATTTGTCGTAAAGAAGTATATTTATTCCTAATTATAATCATTAATGTAGACACATTTTTTCATCTTTAGATCTCATGTATACCAGGCCTAAATTTGCAGACGATTTCTCCTTTCTAAGAATTCCTCATTTTGATAGCATTTCCAGCCTGACATAACTTTTTTTTTTAGTTTAATGTAATTTAATTTGAACTGTAAGTTAATTTGAAAATTCTGTAACTAATTGAATTCGAAAGAATTTTTGTGTCAAGTTAGAAATGCGGATCAAAAGGCGGAATTCTCAGAAAGGATAAACCCATTTCGGATGTGATTAGTAGTCGTTTACACCAATACCGCCTACTCGTGTGATTCATCCTTTGAAAACGATGAGTCATCTAATCGTTGGATAAAGTAGTAGATGATCTTTTGAAGTGTTCCCCTTGGGGGTGTAGACAATGGTAGATACCTATAAAAAAATCACTTTTGTTAAGGTTTTTCTTTCCAAATTGGCTTTGTACTTTTTCTTTAGATCAAATTGAAACTTAAAAGCCGACCTGAGTAATATTGAAAAAACCCCGGCCAGTTAGCTCATTGGCAACTGCCTCCCTTCTACCATTTCTGACACTAGCGCTGCTCAAATCTGCCAGTTGTGTTGTTAGAAACATCACAAACCTTAACAGTCATTGTTGCAAGTTTGTTGAGTTCTCCGGAGTCGTTAGTGTTAAATTAGACACCGAAGATCGTTTGTTTCTTTTCTTTTTTTATTTAATAAAAAATAGCTTTTTTTTCGTTCTTAATTCATATTCACATTTCATCGTGATCCCTAGGCGTTTATAAGAGGGGCAAGATGATATTCCCCTGGAAATCTTTGATTTTTTCATTCCTGGGTAAGTGCGTATGATTTAAGTTTTGTCTTTTTTTATTCTTTCCTTTATTTAATTACGAGAACTTTTTGTTTTAATGTGATTTAAAGAACACAGATCAACTCTAAACATGGTTACTTATTATAATTTAATTATTGATTGTGTTACAATTTGACACAAAGATATATTCAATAAATTTAATATAACAATTTTTATATTTTTTTATACGATAATACACTATTTGCCATTGGAATGTATGTAAATCATAATTTTTTATTCAGAGAACTTTTTTTTATCATAACATAACGTTTATGTAATATATAATTATTCTTTACATAATATGCAAGTTATATATAAGTTATATATATCATATTATTAAAAATTAGTTAAAGAGCTATTTGTACAGAAAAATGAAAATATATATTTTACAAAAAATATACGTTTATATGAAATAATTATATTTTTTATATGTATTTTTGAACGTTATGATTAATAGTTATATTTGGTGAATTTTTAGTGTTTGTGTCGTTTCGATATTTTATTGTATTATTATTTTGAAGTGTCGATATTTCACAACAGAGTGTAATAATTTAGGTGTTTTTATGTCAGGTTTAGTGCTTAGGCATAAATCACTTGGTATTGTCACAAATTGGCGAAATCGTCCAATAATTAGTTTTAAAACTGGAAATGATCGAGGAGAGCGTGAAGAGTTGGCAATTTCATTGAACAGGTCTTTGTGGTTGGGGTGTTTTATTTTTCAAACCTAGGTTCCAACTGCGAAGTTGCGAGAATAGATAGTTTTTCTAAATTGATTTTTTTGCTTCTCTGTTAGATAATATTGTTTATTTTATATGTTAATTTACTGATATGATGACGTTTGTGATAAGATTCGCCTGACGAATTTTATTTGTGTTTTCCCCACTTTCAAAATAAATAAAAAAATCTATTTTCTCTACATATTCTTCAGGTTTTTATTGTATTAGTTCAATACAGGCAGAATTTTTCTGGTTTATGATCAGTTACAGCTAACAGTACTTTATCCGGCTTTATTGTCGGGCTTAATTTTTTTTTTCAGGTAGATTTCAGGTAAAGGGAGATCCTTTGTATAAAAGGGGGTCGACTTGTCCAGTAAAGTAGTGAAAATTACACTGGGTGGTCCATTGGCCTTTGAGAATCTCCTATGACCGAATTTATTCTACAATTTGAAAAGAAATTTAACTTTAAAAAAATCCAAAGGGACTTGAGTTCAACTTGCAAATTTAAATTGTGAGCCTAGGTTGCAGGAAATACGAACCTTCTTATTATTTTTTTCTACTTATGGAGGCAAAAGTCAATAAACATTTTTTTATTATTTTTGCAATCTTGCCCCAAGGGATATTAAGTATTCTGGGGAAGTGAATATGATCAAACTTCTCTGTTTGTATCGGTTGTGGTTTATATTAATTTGTTGGAATGTATGTAATTTATTAGCGTGAAAGAAAGGGGTTGTTTTATCCTACCATTGTTTACTTTATTCACATTCTTTTCTTTTTTTAAATTATTTTATTTGTACCCAATACATATTCATACATATTAAAGATGTGATTACAAAACTTTTTTTCACACAGTCACAACACTAACACTAATGCTAGTTAAATCCATTATGTTTAGTGGTCTAATTGACCAAATTACTTCTTTCAAATAATTATTCTTTTTATGTTAGGTTTTTTTGGTTGAAATGAAAAAAGCCATTGTCACTTGTGGAATTTGAACCGACGACTTTTGGCTCAATACGCTGTTGTTCTAACCACTTGAGTTATCATGATTTAGAAAAATTGGCAAAAATGAGGGAAAATTTGAAAGGTTGTGAAGTTGAGATGAAGAGTTGGTGTCCGAGTGGATCGAAGTCATGATAGCTCAAGTGGTTAGAGCAGCGGATTATTGAGCCGTAGGTTGTGGGTTCGAATCCTGCTTGAAACTAGCTTTTTCATCTCAAAACCTTACTTAAAAAGACTAATGCTAGTGTTGCAGAGGACACATGATAAGAGAAACAGCCAATGCTGAACTCACTGTGAGGGATTAAGGGGCAAGGGGTCTTCAGGCCATCGTTGATTAAGGCGATGTGACAGGTTCTTGGGATGGGAATGTGTAGAGGGCTCATGCAGTACTGTTAGGATTGGCCGAGAGATTGGTATGAAACTTAGAATTGGGAACGGATCAGTTCATTGACAAAAGGAATGTTGAGGTCATTGTGGATAGTAATAAGGAGCGTTGACAATTAGTCTGAGGGCTTTTGATTGGAAGGATTGGATGAGCTGCATGTTGGATGGCTTGCCAGAACCACACAGTTCCATATCTAAACGTGATCGCAGTAAAGTCTTGTGTAAGATTAGTATAGTTTTGACGGTCAAGGCAGATTTTGGTCCTAGTTTGTAGCTTTTTGATGCGTTTATAGCTGGTTAGCTAACCAAGTCTTTTGTTGAGTTGTCTCTTAAGTCTTGTATGGGGATTCTATGTCAGTCTGCTGTCTAGGTACAGTCTTACTTATTTGGCTTGAATGGAAGTTGGTATTTCTTTGTTGTTTATGAACAATGTGAGGATTTATGCACTATTCATTAAAAAAAAGTCATGCATAAAAATATAATGCAGGGCCTCTGGAATTGAACCCGAACCTTTACCTTACAGTGATGACCACCGTGTCAAAGCCTACACCGTTGCGGACACCGACCCCTCTTAGAATGTATGTTTTCATTGGTCAATTTGTGAGTTTCATACATCCAATTTGACTGTAATTTTTTAAAAACTTGAGCATATATATGAACATATTTACTTAATACAATATTTGTAGTTGTAGTTATCAAATAAATGTAATAAATAAAAAATACATTTTTCAAAATCTAATATAAACTTCCTGGTTATATCTCATCAGATACATTTAGGATTTTAACGGTAAAACGATTAAGAGATGCAGCAATTGAGAAATGGATTAGTCTCAGCCTATTTGAGGATGGGCTTGTATATTACAAAAAAGAATTTTATAATATAATTTAATTAACAACTATGTCTAGACACTTAAAACATGTTTATACAAACTTCAAGAAATGTAGAAAGTTAAAAGAAAGTTCTCTGACAAATTAACAAAATAAAAAAAATGATGAGCGATACAGTGCCAGTGATGAAATTTACATTAATTGATAGTTGATGAAGCTGCAAGGGTGTGATGTACCATTTTTTTCTACTAGAAGATAGCAGGAGGTCCTTTCCCAGCGAAGGCTAGTCAGAGAAGGCCACTGGTTTTCTGCCCTTTTGCTCCATGATGTAGTACCAGAAATACGAATCATTATAGAATAATTAATTTTTTTTTTCTTTTTCTTCTATCCTATCCTATCATTCCTATCAACCTGGTCTGACTATTTTCATTGATTTTTTCTGCTATATATGTATCGGCATTTTTGCCATCTTCAGTGGTTTGACTTGTGCCAAATTCCTGTTTAAAATTTTATTTTTCTCCTTATTTTTAACAATAATGAACAATTTCAATATTTTGTTCTAGACGTTTAACACTAGTACAATGCAAAAATAAATCATTGCTTATAAATAAAAATGTTTGTAAGTCGTATATATTCAGCAAATCAAAATATTTAAGAAATCTTGTACTCTTTCCATAATATAATCATAAAATAAAACTCGTTTTGGAATGTGCATTCATTTCTTGATATAAAAAAAATTATGGTTTATATTCATTTATATTGCATTATGAAAATATCTGGATAAAATGAAAAAATATATTCACATACTTGTAATATGTGAACAGATGAATTATTTGAAAAAAATCTTTCAAATTTTGAAAATGTATTAAAAAAAGGCTTGGTCTAACTTGCTGGATTTAAACACATTTACCTCAATATTTAACTGTAAATGAATTTTTTAAACAAAATGAATAAATAAGTTATTTAAAAAAAAAAGATTCGACCCAACTGGCAACAATGAACCAAATTTTGTTTGATTTTAGTCATTTTTAGAGTTGGCAGTTCTCAATTTAAGAAAAAGAAGTGATATTCGTTGTCTTCTTGTGTGTATTAAAGTTATAAACTTAGACAAGCCTTCTTTGTGTGTGTTTGCGAGTTGATCATCAAAAGAAATTTGCGATAGACCAAATTAAAAAGTATATGGAAAAGTTTTCCCCGAAAGTAACTATGGACAGCAGTTGAAAATTGCTGATTTAAACAGTCTCCTTTTTGCTGACTAATTTGAATAAATGGATATGCTGAATAATAGAATTTTTTTAAATTTAAGAAGGATCCAGTAAAAAAGATGTTTCATGCGTAATTTGTTTTTGTTATGAAATTAAAAACTGAACTTTGCATGTATCTTTATTTTTATTAGTTAAGAAGCTTTGGTGTAATATGTATGCAAATGACAACATGAAAATGACAAAATTTAATTAACAAATTTTGGAATTATGTCTTATCGTTTCTCACTTTTGACATACATGCACAATCTCAAATTATAAATTTACAAATTACTACAAATACATAACCAACCATTTTTGCTCCTTATCCTTCCTATGTCTGCTGTGGGTAATTCTGAGCCAGACATATAGTCAATGCAAAGCACCCTCCTATAGAAAGAATATTTCTCTGTGGGTTTTGAACCACTAAACCATCTCCTGGTCTCTGCATATGAGCGATAGCCAACCGCTCTTATTGTTAGTATTAAGAAAATGAGGTTTTACATTCTCTTCCTTTTGCTCGACTATGGCTGTAAGGATTGCTTCTTGTATAGATTGCATGTGAGCTCAAAAGAGTTTAACGGAGGTCCGACACTTGTTGGCTTGTTTTTATTTATTCTATGTTATTTCTTTTGGTTCTGATTTTTGTTTTGAGGTACCAGAAATTTCTATTTTTGTCTTCTTTATTTATTTATTTTTTTGCTAAGTCTATTTTGGAGACCATCATAGGTTTTAATCTGGCCCCATATATACTGTGGTCTTGTTTATTATTTTTTTTATACATAAAGTTTAAAGCATGCTTCAGTTATTTTGAAGTATTTGATTTTCTCTCTTACTTTAGGGATCTTTATTTCTTCAGCTCTGGGTGAAGTTTCAGCTGAGTTTATTGTTAAGAAGAGGGCACCAGTGGCCGCAACAGTTTGAATCCATCAGCTCTCATCAAAGGGCTTAAAAAAAAAAAAGACACCTTGAGGGGTTTTTTTTTTTTGGATACCAGGGACTGGAGGAGTTCCCTCCTGAGCACTGCAGCTGAGCTGTACAGCTTATTGTACTTTATCCCTGGCACCATATTTTGGGGGAGGGCTCGCAACACAAATGTGAACTTGAGCCCCCGTTGTACTGGTGTTCTTCCATCGAAGAAACTCATTTTTGAAGGGGGTTGGGACCAAATTCAGGGTGACTGAGATCGTTCCCACCCCCCTTCCATTGATGAGTGCCATGTCAATTTCTTTCAATTGCGGCCACCGGTCCCCTTAGGTGTCAGAAAAGTCCAGAGGCGACGGTGGGGATCGAACCCACGACCGCGGGATCTACTAGCCGAGAGTCTGACGCCTTAACCACTCGACTATCGCGGCCCCCTCCACCTTGAGATATCACTTCTGCTGTTGCAAACCACCATTAAAAAAAATGTTAAGAAAGAGTTACAAGGAATTAAAAGGAGTTATCCTTTAGCTGCCATGTCCATTTTTGTTAGTTTTGTTAGATTAGGGGTGTTCTTTATCCCCAGAGAGGAATTAGGACCAGCAGCAATTTGTTGAAGAATTAGGTCTTCATGAGAAATTTTTGAGTTATTCAGTCCTCCAGATTACGGCCCCTTACTGGGAAGGCTATTTACTGTTGGAGGTCTCCTTGTGTTCAAAGTTTGTTCACTAACGGCCAGGTATACCATGCATCTTTATGGGCTGTATGCTTTCCACCCTTTCAGCTATGGGAAAGAGATAGGGATAGAGGATTAAATGAATTGCATGTATGGTAGATGAGGAATGTTTCATGTTGAGGGAAAGAAGGAAAGAAAGATGCCCAGAGCCCCATTGGTCTACTCGAGGTCTTTGCACTCTAACCCAGGACACCATTCAGTGGTTTGAGGTATCCAACTTGGGCATTTTCCAATAATCACTACAGGGAGGGGGTTATAGATAGATATAGATATGGTTTCAGGGTGTATTATACTGTGCCCTTTAAGAGCTATTGTATCCCCCGTGCTCTGCCTAAAGCACATCGGTGAGTCCTATTTCATCAAGAAACTTGATTAGCAGGCCCGGTTTCAATGGTTGAAGCTCTTCTATGGTCATATTATACATCCCAAAACATTTCCTCCTGCGGGCTAGTGTGGCTCCACAGTTTTTTAGTAAATATGTTGGTGTCTCTTCTGCCTCCTTGCAGAATCTGCATGTGCCATCTTGGATTATTCAAATTTTCTTTAAGTGTCCATTTAATTTGCAGTGTCCAAGTAGGAATCCTATTAGGATTCGCACTTTGTTCCTTCTTCCCTTGACACCTGTAATTTCTTTCCTTCCAAAAGTGGTTCGAAGATTCTTGGATTGTCTGTGTCCAATGAGTGAATTCCAAAGTTCCCTCATTTTCTTTTTGTCCTTCTGTTTGAGATACTCGTTAATAGTGTGGGTTCCTATGCCACAGAAGGGTTCAGGTCCTGTCAGCAGTAGCAGCCCCTTTCCTTGCAATGGTGTCCGCTTTCTCATTGCCTTCTACTCCTGGGACCCAGCAGAGGCTGACTTTATTCTGTGTACCTAGTATGTTCAGTTTGGTTTTGCAGTTCAGCACCATCCTTGAACTAATGATATTTGAGCTTAGTGCTATGATGGCTGCTTGGCTATCAGGGAGGGGGTTGGATTTATTAAATTTATGACCATCTTGGTCTATTGCAGTCACAAAATGCTGAAATGTGTTTTATCTATTTTTTCTTTTCGATTTCAGTCACGTTGTGCCTGGGAAAGTATGTTCAAAATGAACATCACAACTCCCCTGAATCGACACTGGATCCAAACTGCTACAGAGGCCAAGAATATTGGTGTAAGAATATAACGTAAGTAAATATTTAATTTTTTTAAAAATATATATTTCTTTAAAACTTGTAATATTATTTTCTAGAACATCGGTACAGTGCAATGCATTTAAGCACTGCGTCCACGGTGTCTGGGAGAAAGAAAAGCCAATTGAACTTGATGAGTCTACCGTATGTCAGACTTGTATCGACATGGTCAAACTAGCAAGGGATCAGCTAAACAGCAACGAAACACAGGTAAGTGTTTCTATTATTTTAATGTCTTTTTAAAACTATTCCGTGTGTGGTTAATCAGGAAGAACTACGTCAAGTCTTGGAAGCCTCTTGCAAAGTTATTCCAGTTAAAGCCCTAAGGAATGATTGCAATAAGATGATGGACGATTTCGGTTCATATCTTGTTGACACTCTTTCATCCCAAATGGACCCTAATGTTGTATGCTCTGTCGCTGGACTTTGCTACAATGAAAAACTCTCTCATCTCAAGGTAATGTGATAGCAATGTAGAAACTGCAATTTTTTTTTTTTACTAATAATTAGCAACTTTACAGACAGGGGAGAAAGTTAAGTTGAATTGTAACAACTGTTTTGAACTTATGCAACAAGTTAAAGGAAACATTGAGTACGCATCCAATGATGATATATTCACAGCTCTCTCCGGTGTAAGATTTCCTCTCCTTTATTAAAACAGTATTATTAAAAATAATTAAATTGTAAAAAAAATCAATATTGTAGATTTGTGGAAGATTGGGATCATTCTCAGACATTTGTGCTTCGTTGATTGCTGAGCACATGGAGAATGTAGATGCGATGATCAGGAATTACATAAGACCAAAGCCGGTTTGTACATTGGCTGGAGTTTGCAGCAATAAATTTCACACTCACGAAAAACTAGCTAGAGTGCCTGTAAGTTTTCTTCAGGAGTCCTATCAAAAATTAAAAAAAAAAAAAAAAATCGTGAAATGGTTATAAAAGATTTTTACCTGCTTTTTTTGTAATGTAAATCTTACCGCTCCTCATTTTTATTTTCTACATGCTAGAATTTTTATTAGCATGGAGGCGCCTGTTTTGATCCTTCCCTTTCGCCAATTGGTGTATACACAATTGTCTCTGCTTACTTGATTTCAAATAGATACTTGCAATTTTATCCTTTTTTCAAATAATTATTTCCTTTCAAAGGGACTTTTCTTTGTAGGTATTACTTTCTGTAAGAAACAGATGTTACTGAAGTGAAAGGTCATAAAATTATTTTACAAATACAAATATCGGGTATTGAAATAACTTTTTAGATTTACACAAACAATAAAATAAACAAAATTTTTGTATTTTATACAAATTATATATTAATAAAAAACAAATAACATTATACACACATAATATTTCATTGTTTAAAAAATACAAATCACCCATATAAATCTGAAGTTTTGCCCAAATCTGACTAATAAACTAAAATTATATATTAAAAAAAATTTTTGATTTTGATACAAATAAAACTGCAATTATGGGAAAATACAAATTCTAAAATTATTCTAAATATATTACAGAAACAGAAATACTCTTACGATTCAATCTCAAATCAAGCTTCAAAAATGATAAAAATGTAGTTTACTCTCTCTGCATTCCATTTTGGTGAGTTTTTCACTCCCAGGACCTAGTTGTGGTTCTGCCTTCTTGCAACGTTTTCAATTTACAATTTTAAAAATTTACCGACAATGATTACAAAAATGTAAATAAAGAAACAAAAATAATTGATTAAATTCACTAGTTTTGTGTGACAAATTAATATCTTTCATTTAATTAAGGTTTTTAGTTGAGATAAAAAGTCAGGTCACGAGCAGGATTCGAACCCACAATCTTCAGCTAAATATGCCGTTGCTCTACCACGATAAGTCACAATAGCTCAAGTATCTAGCTGAAGATCGTGGGTTCGAATCCCGCTCGTGACAATGACTTTTTTATCTCAACTAAAAACCTTAATTGATTGAAACAAAAATAATGCTTTTACAAAAATTCAAGGTTGTTGAAAGATTAAAATTTTTGTTTACCTTTTCGGTGTCCTAATAAAAAATATATAGTTAAAATAAATTATATATATGCTTAAACTTAATTTAAAAAAAAAAGAATAATTGATTTAAAAAACAGTAGGAAGTAAATTCACAATAACTTCACAGTAGAGCTAGAAACGGACTGTATGGTTGAAAAGTTGGCAAGCCACCTAAACACCAAAGGTAAAAGATGCAAAGAAAAGTAAGGGAGTGAGTGCGCCAATCGGCTTCATGCCATCTGCCATCTGACTGGCCGAACCTGTATTTCGCCCAGGCCGAATGTGTTAAAATTCATCAAAATACTTTTTTAATGCATGACAGTTCTATAATGTAATAAAATTTTGTTCAACTAGTGTAAAAAAAATTCTGTTTAGGTTGGATTCAGATCCAATGTTGAAGTCATCCATAATGACGATTTGCCTTGTGAGCTTTGCGAACAATTGGTCAAGCACTTGAGAGACGAATTAGTTGCCAACACAACAGAACAGGAATTCAAACAAGTTATTCATGGCCTTTGCATGATGACTGTTTATAAAGATAAAGTAATATATTTTAATATATTTAGATTTTACTTAACGTTAAAGATATATTTTTTAAATTTTATTACAGTGTGACAACCTAGTAAATGAATATTATTCCTTGGTGTATCAATTTCTTGTTAATGAATTAGATGCTAAGGCTTTATGTCAGGAAATCAGCATCTGCCCACAAAAGGCTGGAAAAGTAATAACAATTAAATTGATATTATGTTTAAAGATGTTTTATTTATTTTTATTATTTTTAGGTCATTCGTCCACTATTGTTGGATAGAGAGTCTCGTAAGCATTTGTTATATCTTAGACCAATAACTCTTCTATATTTTATATTCTATAATTTAAATTCATTCTATTTTAGCCCAGCAACTTCCAATTGAAAGAATGACCCCATTGACAATAATCCCTGGCTCATTTAAAACCCAAAACGGCCTAATGAACAAAGAATTGTGCTCTTTCTGTGAATACTTCCTTCATTTTGTCCAACAGGTTTAATTTTACAATGCAAATTAAACAAAAAAATTTTAAATTTTATTTTTGTATTTTAAAGGAAATCTCTTTACCGAGCAGTGAGAAGGAAATTTCCGATGAAGTAAAGAAAGCCTGTTCTAAACTCCCATCGACTGTGACTGAACAGTGCGATTCTTTCGTGGACACGTACATGGCTACATTCATCGCCCTTCTAGCCCAAAGAATTGACCCGTCTCAGGTAGGTTATATCATCTATTCGAGCTTTTCCATGTACATACCCAACGTAAAATATTTCATTGTGATATAACTTTTTTGTCACCAGGTCTGTCCCCATCTTGGAGTTTGCCCTGGCACACTTGTAGCGGTTGAATACAACGATAAACCGACTTGCCCACTTTGTTTACTCGCAATGGAAGCCACCTTAAGGAAAATTGAAAACAAGACAGAGGTATGTAATCATTTTTTGCTGAATAATATAACTTAAAAAAATTATCTTGTATGTGGTTGCCCAACATTTGTTTATTTTTATACATATAATGTTTTTATGTATTTTTATATTGGGAATGTGCTTTTTGCTTTTCGATTAAAAGGAGATCTAACATCAGTAAGGTATCGAGAATCAATAGATCATTTTTAACCAAGTCACTATCATACCTATTTATATCATGAAGTAGTGCGGTTGAGTTGTTAGTGTTTGATACTCGTTTTGCCCTGTCAATACTTCTGGGTTCAAATCCCAGCATCGGTCTTTTTTCATTGTTTCATTGAGATCTATTTAAAAATTTACTGGTCATAACATTTGTCACAGCTCAATTAGTTGATGTAAAGTCCTTTCTTTTTCCTTTTACCTGGGATGTATTATATTTGCCACAGTAATGGATGTATTGGGTTGTCCGGAAAATAATGCAGGATTTTGGTATTAAACAAAAAAAAAGAAACTAGTTACTTTAAAGCAATGTTCTTTAATCAAAATAATTNTGACATTCATACAAATGAGTAATCCTGTAAACGTAAACAGAATATTTTATATAGATTTTTTTTAATGAAAACTTAAAATCCTGCATTATTTTCCGGACAACCCGATATTATTAACTATTATTTAGCAAATAAGTTATTTCTGCCTTATTGTTTATTTTTTGGCTAGTGAAGTCACAAGTGGTGTTAATAGTCAATTAATATCTATGCCTGTGTATAAATTAAAAATGAAATTGTTCATAACACGTTATGTTTACAGACTGATATCGATGACGCTTTGGATGATCTTTGCTTGATTGATGTATTCCCTAATTCACTCACTACAGAGTGTGTCAAATTCATAACGGACTACAGGAGGCCGATCACAGATATGATTCTTGCCGAGTTTACATCTCAGGAGTCTTGCGTTTACATCGACCTTTGCAAAATCCCGCATTCATTCTCAGAAAATCTTCCGGTAGCTCTTCCAGTCGGAGACACAAGTAAGCAATTGAAATATAATTTATTGTATATTATTATTCAGAAATCGTGGGATGCGGCCTGGTGTGATGTAGGTTTCAGAAAAACATTTTCTTTGTCGTGCCAACGTTTCGATCTTTATTGAGATCATCTCCAGGGCCTGGGATTTAAAAACATCGTTTACATTTAGTAAATACATTTAGGATGTGGAAAAGTGAATTTATACAATGCAATATATATATATATTTTATATTCAATCAATGTATTTCTACTCACTCAAAGTGTTTGTCTTCTGTGTAATTGTGCCATCCTTTAGGAACCATTTGTTTGAGTTAGCAGGTGTTTGTTTGTTGATTAAGTTATTTAATTTTTTGATGTGTTTGTTTTTAATTTGGTCAAAGTGGACGTTGTATCCATCTTTTTGATGTGTGTAAAATTCTTTTAAAATGACTGTAGGTATTATGTTGGCTGCACTGAGTTTTAATGTATTTGTTAAATGTAAACAATGTTTGTAAATCCCAGGCCCTGAAGATGATCTCAATAAAGGTCGAAACGGCATGATAAAGAAAATATTTTTCTGAAATCTACATCACACCAGACCGCATCTCACAATTTCTGAATAATTATCGATTAACGGTCACTAATCACCACACGTTAATGTATATTATTAATTAAATTCACTACTTTTTGTGGTTCGCTTGAGCAATTAATATCATTCAATTAATTAAGGTTTTTAGTTGAGATAAAAAAGTCTGTGTCACGAGCGGGATTCGAACCCACGAAAAAATGGCCAAAAGGAGGGAAACTTCAAAAAGGTGGGGTTGAGATGGGAAGTTAGTGCACGAGTGGATCGAAGTCACGAAAGCTCAAGTGGTAGAGTAGCGGTGTATCAAGCTGAAGGTCGTGGGTTCGAATCCCGCTCGTGACACTGACTTTTTTGTCTCAACTAAAAACCCTAATTAATTGAATGATGTTAATTGGTCAAACGGACCACGATTAGTTGAGATAAAAAAGTCAGTGTCACAAGCGGGATTTGAACCCACAAAAAAATTGCCAAAAGGAGGGAAAATTCAAAAGGTGGGGTTGAGATGGGAAGATAGTGCCCGAGTGGATCGAAGTCACGAAAGCTCAAGTGGTAGAGTAGCGGTGCATCAAGCCGAAGGTCGTGGGTTCGAATCGCGCTCATGACAATGACTTTTTTATCTCAACTAAAAACCCTAATTAATTGAATTATATTAATTGGTCAAGCGGACCGCGAAAAATAGTGAATTTAATGAATTAAAATGAAGTATACTTCACTAAAGTTCTCCGTGGCCATTTCATTTGTTGCCGAGAATCAAATAGATGACACGACATTTGAAAAATGGCAAACAGGAGGGAAAATTCAAAAAGGTGGGGTTGATATGGGAAGTTAGTGTCCGAGTGGATCGAAGTCACGAAAGCTCAAGTGGTAGAGTAGCGGTGTATCAAGCCGAAGGTCGTGGGTTTGAATCCGGCTCATGACACTGACTTTTTTGTCTCAACTAAAAACCCTAATTAATTGAATGAAATTAATTTGTCAAGTGGACCACAAAAAATAGTGAATTTAATGAATTAAAATGAAGTATACTTCACTAAAGCTCTCCGTGGCCATTTCGTTTGTCGCCGAGAATCAAATAGATGATACGACATTTGAAAAATGGCAAACAGGAGGGAAAATTCAAAAAGGTGGGGTTGATATGGGAGTTAGTGTCCGGTCACGATAGCTCAAGTGGTAGAGCAGCGGCGTATCTAGCCGAAGTCGTGTGTTCGAATCCTGCTTGTGGCATTTATTTTTTTATCTCATCTAAAAGCCTTAATTAACTGAAGTATATTATTAATAATTTATGTTTCAGAAACTAATGAAATTCGCCCAATTGGTAGTAGCAATTTATGTGTACTTTGTGAATTTGTTATGTCCAAAGTTGAAAACCTATTGAAAAACAAATCGAGTGAGGTAAATATTAAATGTGAAGCATTAACATTTCGATTGTTTAAAAATTGTAACTTTTTTTAAAGGAAGAAATAAAGGCCGATGTTATGAAAGTATGCAACTATATGCCAAAGACAGTAGCGGCAGAGTGTAAATCGTTCGTTTCTCAGTATGCCGATCTTGTATTAGATCTGCTAGCACAGGAAGTTGACCCAAAAGAAGTTTGCACTGCGATGAGTTTGTGTGCCAAAGCCAACACTCTTATTGCTGGTAAATAACTAATCAAATGTTCTTTTGTGAGAGTTTTTCTTGAGTTGTGAGTAGATGGACTTTAACTAAGCTTTTCTGATAGTTTTGGACTGCTTGCCAAGTCTTTTTTTTTCATTTGAGCGTATTTATGCTATTAAACTGTCGTCATTTTCTTGCAGGCCCGGTTAAAAAATGCATTGCTTGTGAGCTGCTTATGGATAGCTTGAGAACCATTTTGACCGATCCTAGCTTAGATCATGATTTGAATATGGATCTCCTTAAAGCTTGTAATAGCTTTCCTGAACACGAAATTTCCTTTGTAAGTACTATATAAAAAGGAAATTATATAAAGTAGAGTTAAACTTTTTTCTTCTTCAGTGCAAATCAATGGTGATGCAGCTGGCTCCACAAATTGAAGCGGCGCTCAGGTCTTTGCCAGTGGGCCCATTGGTTTGCAGGAGAGTTCACATGTGTGAAGACAATCACGGTCACAGAGTTCAATTGTATGGACAAATGGACAACTCTCAGTGCTATCTGGGTTCTTCTTATTGGTGTAGTTCAACAATTAGAGCTGCTGAATGTTTGGTAATTAAAAATAACTATTTAAAAAAAAATTGATTTTGACCTTTAATTAAATTTTTTTGAATTAATTTTCAGAAAATTGATTACTGCCAACTTAATGTTTGGCATGGCGACAAACCACCCAAAACTTACTTGAAGGGAACTAAAGTCATTTAAGACGACAATTGGATTAATAATTTATATTGAGACTGTTTTCTTAGAGTAATAATATTGTAAAAATTAAAACGTAGGAGTAATAATTTTGGAAAACGTTCTGTAAGATCTGTAAAAAGACATTTAATTGATTAAAAACTGTTTTATTGGATGACAAAAGTGTAAACATAATTTTTAAAAATGTAGTTACCAATAAAGGGAATACCGATTAACTCTTTTCTTATTGGTCATTTTAGAATCTACATATCAGTAATGCTCAAATAAAAATGCTGTAAAAACACTTAATTCCAGAATCATTTCACATAATTATTGTGCCTCAAACAAATTAGTTAATCCTTGTTTTTAAGGGAGTCTAGTTTTGATTTACATTGTTAAGAGAGTGCAAATAATAAAAAGATTGAGTTGTAAATAAACAAAATAATAAAAATAAAAAATAAAATAAAAAAGGAAGTCATTTTTATTGACATTTTGTTAAAATGATCAGAATCCAGAGTAATTGAAAAAATCCATTCCTAGTGCTGAAAAATTCCTAGAAGAGTAAGAGTTAAGTATTATTTACAATCTGTATACAGAAACATAAGCATACTTCTAAAAAAATTTAGAAAATTAAATCTTGCATAAAATTATGCTCTAATTTGTTGAGTCGTGAGGAGTGATCAGGAATAAAGTATTTTAGAAAAACATTTTTTTCCCGCGTTTCGACCTCTATTCGAGTCATCTTCAGGGCCTGAGTGAATTACAAAACTAATTGTTTGAAAAAAAAAAAAAATACAATACTGTTGTAAATATAAATCTTAACCAATTTTATATTTACATCTGTCTGGTCACTAAGAAACAGATTATGCTGTAATCAAATTAAAAGTGAATATGAAGAATGGCTATGTTGTAATGTTCAAATATTTTTCTAAGGATCATTAACACTTAATTGCTAATTTTTATAATTATTTCAGAAACTCTCGAGTTCAAAAAGCGTGCATTTTTAGTTTGTATTGGGATTAATGACCATGATTTGAACTTTTCATTTTTAATAAAATTAACAAATTTAAGAAAAAGAAAAAAGTAAAACAACAAAATTAGTCTTGTAGCACTTACAGAGTGGATAAATTTATTTACAAAAATTAAATAAATTTTAAAAATGAAGATGCCAACACTGCACGAAATGTGTTGACAGACAAAACCAGATAGAATAGGTAGACAAGGACGATCCGAGATAATCAAGCTGCAGGTACAACAGCTCGCAGGCATCAGTATTGTTGAGGACCACTAATCATCTTGATCATAAAAACTAAAAACCAAAAGGAACTGTTCAATTATTATTTATTATTTCTAATTAATTAAATGGTTAACTCCTATTATATTATTTATTTTCAAATATCTAAAATTAACAGTCCTTTTGCATGAATATTTATTTATTGACACTATTTATTTTTATTTATTAGTACTAGTATTATGTTATGAAATATTTTGTAGAGATATGAGAGATGTACTTGTAGCTTGAGTCATCTCTGGTTATCCAGGCCAGCCTATTCTTGGTTGTTTTGTCTATCAGACATTTTTCCGCTTATCTTCTTTCCTGGACTCTCTTGAAAATGGTGAGCTCATGAAGGAGCTGATGCAGGAAGGACTCAGGAATATACTCGACAAGGCAATACTTGTGGCGCTTGAGCTGCCCAAATCAGCCAAGAAAAGGAAATGCACCATTCTTTAGAGGACAAATTGTTTTAAAAATCTTTTGACACATAATAGAAAAAAACACCTTGAACGTATACATTCAAGGTAAACTGTATTTTAGAATGAAAAAAAAAATTCTACTTTTTCGTATGGTCGGACCAGTGTATTTTGCATATGAAGGGCTGTTGAGTCCACTCGCCACATTACCTCTGTATCAAGCTTTTTATTTATTTATTCTTTTTTCACTTTTGACACACAATAGAAAAAACATGCACATGTGCATTCAGGGTAAACTGCATTTTAGAATTCAAAAAGTTTTTTTTTGCGCTTTTCCTTACAATCAGAGGAGTGCATTACTGCTTATGAAGGGCTGTTGAGTCCAATGGCCGCAGTACCTCTGTATCGAGCTTTTTATTTATTTATTATTTTTTTACTTTTGACACACACACAAAAAAAAATCATGTACATGTGCATTCAAGGTAAACTGCATTTTAGAATTCAAAATTTTTGTTGTGCTTTTCCTTATAGTCAGAGGTGTGCATTACTGCTTATGAAGGGCTGTCAAGCCCAATCACCACAGTACCTCTGTATCGAGCTTTGTAGTTATTTATTTATTTTTTACTTTTGACAAACAATAAAATAAGTGTGTTCAAGGTAATCTGCATTTTAGAATTTGAAAAAAAAAATTCTATTTTTCCTTATGGCCGGAGCAGAGTATTAATGCTTATGAAGGGCTATTGAGCCCAATCACAGCAGTACCTCTGTTTGGAGCTTTTTATTTATTTATTTTACTTTTGACACTAGAAAAAACACATACAATGTGCATTTCAGGTTAACTGTGTTTTAGAAGGAAAAAAAAAAATCTTTTCTACTTTTCCTTATGTTGGAGCAGTTTATTAATGCTTATGAAGGGCTGTTGAGCCAAATCGCAGTACCTTTGTGGAGCTTTTTTTTTATTTATGTTTTTTTTACTTTCTACAAAATAGAAAAACACATATGAAGTGCATTCCAGATAAACCGTGTTTTAGATAGAAAAAAATTTCTTTTCTACGTTCTCTTATGGTTGGAGCAATGTATTATTGCTTATGAAGGGCAGTTGAGCCAAATCGCAGTACCTCTGTGTAGCTTTTTATTTATTTTTTACTTTCTACACAATAGAAAAAACACATACGATGTACATTCCAGGTAAACCGTGTTTTAGAATGAAAAAAATTTTCTTTTCTACTTTCTCTTATGGTTGGAGCAATGTATTATTGCTTATGAAGGGCTATCAAACCCAATCACCACCGTACCTGTCCAGCTTTTTTTTTCTTAAATTGGTCATCTGAGTTGTTCCCTTCTCAGTAGGAAAACTACTATTATAGGTAATTAACAAGTAACTATTAACAACAAGAAAGAGAAAAACTGCATATAATGTGAAAATCTTATGATGGTTCATGGTCACAAAAAACCTGACAAATAAAAATACAGTATTATTTCATTATTGTTATATTTTATGCTTGTTGCTATATGTTACGCTTAACAAGGAATTAGTGTATGTTGAACTAATTGACACTTGATCGTTTGGTTTCATTCAGCATGCAAATTTCAGTGAGAGCGACGCAGAAACACTTTTGAGTGAAGTGAAAACCAGGAAGGGTTAATCAGGGCACTATGTATTCACTGACTTGCCGACCAACAACCAACATTAACTTGAGTTTAAGTCCAATTGAAAGCATTTTGGAATAGACATTATGATGAATACCGTATCTTTTCTGCCTTATAATTTACTAATACGCATAAAGAGGGAATGTTTTAGGTTATGATTTTAGAATAAAAAAAACAAAAAAAACACATTAAATGTAACAAATTTAATATGTAAAAAGGAACACTTGGGAATCAAGAAACTCTATTTTATAAATTCCAGTGCAAAATTTTTAAATTATGCATTAATTGGTAATTAATTTATTACAAGTGTTTAATTAAAAGCTTTGTTTTTATTAAAACAGTTCAAGTTTAATTGAATTTTGAACTTAAAAAAAGATAAATTATTATTATTATTTTTTTTTTAACGAGGGTATTTCATCTATGATGTTATATGAACCCTCGGGTATTTTTGAAAAAAAAAAAAAAAAGCCCATCTGTAAGTATGCCAGGTTCAAATGCAGGGCCCTGGATTCGGACCCGGTACCTTTACAGATAAATTATTCATCATTTTAAAAATTTATTTATGAAAGGAAAATTTTTAACAATAAAGTTAATTCTTGGCAAATTGTTTTGATTGAATTGTCATATCGATTGATATTGTTGAAGCATATTGCGAGAATTCATATTAAATGTTCCTCCTCTTCGTTCAATACAGGCAATTCAGTTTTCTTTTGAAATCTTTGTGAAAATCTTCTGAACATTGAATTTGGCGCTGAGGCCGTTTCGTTCTGGCAAATTTCTTCACTCACTTCCTTGAACTTTTCCGTATCCAGAACGTCGTCTTCCGGCACCTTGTGAACTTCGATAGACGTCAGAGACCTGGTTCGCAGGTAAAGGTGATGGTAGCCGACGGAAAATTCGAAAACCTGCCTCGTCATACGTAATGTCTTCATTGAAAACACGAATTCCGGCGTGTGCGTCAGGACCGTTTTTATTATAAATTTGTGACAAGAGTAGTGAACCATACGGATGAAAATCCATTTGAGACATGTTTTCGGTACTAACATGTTGTCCATATAAATGTTGATTCCTTTTGGGTGGATGCCGAGCCATGCAGAGTTCCCCTGCCATTTCGTCGGGAAATAATTGACTCCGTACATCCCGAGGTATTGGGCAACTCTCATGTATTCTAACTGGGCTTCTTTTTTCGTCAGCCCTTGATGGTCCTTGTGCCATGCTCGAAGACTTTCCGACCAGTTTTTATGGGTCATGGTGTACTGCTCTAACACAGCGGCTGGCAATATCGAGCTCAAATTCAAATTTTTGTAGTCGACGCATGGCCAATCGCCATATTCGGCTTGGAGCGTGTACGATCCTAGGAGTATGCTGGTCTCCGGTGTGCAAAAGATCGCTCCGGAGACGATGCTGCCCTTGCTCTGTTTATATATGAGAGAGAGCGTAATCTCTTCGTTCACTCTCCCGATCTCCTCCGGGAAATATTTGACGAGGAAGAACAACGGTGTGCCGGATTTCCGCACCAGTGAGTATATTTTTGTATTAGGGCGTACCCACATGGAACGTTTCTTTGACGTTTCATACTGTAGTCCGAAGTACCAATACTCGACTACCCCCAAACAAGTGCACACGAATGTAAAAAGTTCTTTACCAGTTACCTTTATGCTTTGTTCCAAAGTCAATACACCTCCGAGGTAATTTATCAAGAACGTGTATGTCCTTTCTTTTCTCGTTAACACGTTCATCAGTCGGGTTCTGGTGTAGCATACAGCACATCACTAAAATATCGAAGAGTTTTCTGTTGGGATTTGGGCCCGGAGAGGAACTGGAAACGCGCAGTTGGACGGTGGTCTATGGAGCCTGCCCCACTATGTTTGATGGTCCCACCTATCCCGCTATTGTTGTACTCTTCCTTTCAGATTGTAATTATATTGCGCAATGAGCCGATTTACCAGCAGATATACACTCAATTACCGTTTTTCACCAATTTTAGAACGGAAACGGATTACCTGGCCTTCGACAGACAAGGACCACTTATAAACGAATATCAGTCTTATGCCGCATGAATAAAAACATAAACATAATGTGAAGTGTTTTTATCAAATAAAGTTTAAATTCGTTTGTCACAAATATAGAGTTATTATTTCTAGAAATTATGAAGGATTATGGTGGGATCTGAGTTATTTAACTTTGAAGCATTTTTTTTTTGTAAAAACTATCTTTTAAATTGTCTGACATTTTTGTTACAGTTTGTGGTCAAAAATGTTTTGAAAACTTGATTTCTTTCACTTATTTACGATTAATTAAAGTAAAAAAATAAAACTCACGTACCGGACAATAAGGGTAACAAATTATTTTTATAAATTTTCATAAACTTGAATATTATGTAATGCATGTTGAGACTTTTACTAAAAAAATATCTAATATATTTTTAATTGATTTAATCAATAAATACACAAATAAATGAATACATAGTCAGACAACTCCTTCAGTTATGCAATTCCGCTGCGAAAGTAAGTTTTGCGGGCTTGCATATATTATTGTTATATATAACTTAGCACTTAAATTTTTCTGCATATTTTAATTTTTTTTAAATAAAAACGCTATACTCTCTGCCCGACCTTTGCCCCCTTAAACTTTTGGTTTTCACCTACAGATTTTATTTCAAATATGTGTTGAAAACGCTTAGTCTTCCAGTCTGCAGACGACCTTAGAGTTCTTGCGATTGAGGCGGTTAAATTTTTTTTGTTTTCTAACCATTTGTTTGGCAAATGAACTATTTACATTATTATATATATTACAAATCAAAATAACAAAATTTTCTTGACTTAAAAATTTAAACAAATACAAAATAAGAATTTTTCTAAATCAATTATTGTTGTAGTCTGCAGACGACAGATCTTGCGATTGAGGCGGTTAAATTTTTTTTTGTTTCAGAGTTGGTTGAATCTTTTTCAAAAGTGCCATTGCCACTTCAGTCCTTCATTGAATGTAAATTGTTTTCATTCACGAATGCCATCACTTAATACCAAGAGAATGCGCCCGTTCATAAAGAAAAAGTGTTAAAAAAAACGCACTGTTCAAAAGTGGTTTAAAAATTTTGAAAAAGTACTACACTAAACGAGTATTCTCGTCAATCGGACTTTTCAACATAATGTGCTCGTCTCCTCATTTGGACATTGCTGAATACCGATAGCAAAAGCAGTACAGGCACCATTTCCACAATTCTAGATTTTCACGACAAACTTAGTTACCTCTGATGACGTTCCCATGGATTACGAATGTTCATGCTTCATTTCAACGGTATTCCTTCTTTCAAGCGATTTACAATACCAACAAATCGCCAAAAATCGTGGCACCAGAGCTTATGAGACAGCGTTGGTCTCATTTTACGCAGAATGTAATTTCTTACAACATATAAGATACGTATACATACGTACGTGACGTAGGCTTTAGGAAAACATCTTCTTTATCGTGCGAACGTTTCGATCTTTATTGAGATCATCTTCAGGGCCTCGGATTTATAAACATTGTTTAAATTTTACAAATACATGTAGGATGTGAAAAAAAATGAATTTATACAATGTTAGAAAATTTTATAATAAATCAAAATATTTGTACTACTTCAAAGTGTTTGTTTTCTGCGTAATTGTGTGTCGTGTTGTGCCAGTGAGATATTGCAGTTTTACGTTTATATATGTTGGATTTTGAAGGGGTGGGGTAAGGAAGTCGGGATAGAAAGACATTTTTATATGAGGAGCCGGCTTCTTTGAGGCGAAAGGAGCCGACAATGGGAAAAAACGTGGGAAATGGTTCGACCTGATTATCCTTTCAGGATTATACAGGCGGGGATAATTAGTGAGAGGAAAGCCAAATTGTTGAAGAATTAGACTATGCAGAAATGTTTGATGTTTGGAATGTGATGATTATTTCATATGTAATATTATATGTTTGGTGTGATGTGATGATGATATATCATATTATATGAATCATATCATTAATCAAATTCAATATCGATAACATACATACATCATTACTTTGAGTGAGTACGAATACTTTGATTGAATCTAAAATTTTCTAGCAGTGTATAAATTCATTGTTTTAATCTAAAAGTTTCTAGCATTGTATAAATTCATTTTTTTTAATCTAAAATTTTCTAGCATTGTATAAATTCATTCTTTTTTTAAATCTAAAATTTTCTAGCAGTGTATAAATTCATTTTTTTAAGCAAAAATTTTCTGGCATTGTATAAATTCATTCATTTTTAAATCTAAAATTTTCTAGCCATTGTATAAAATCATTCTTTTTTTAATCTAAAATTTTCTAACATTGTATAAAATCATTCTTTTTTTTTATTTAAAATTTTCTAGCATTGTATAAATTCATTTTTTTAAATCTAAAATTTTCTAGCATTGTATAAATTCATTCTTTTTTTAAATCTAAAATTTTCTAGCATTGTATAAATTCATTTTTTTAATCTAAAATTTTCTAGCATTGTATAAATTCATTCTTTTTTTAAATCTAAAATTTTCTAGCATTGTATAAATTCATTTTTTTAATCTACAATTTTCTAGCATTGAAATTCACTCTTTTTTTAAGTCTAAAATTTTCTAGCATTGTATAAATTCATTTTTTCCACATCCTACATGTATTTGTTAAATTCAGACAATGTTTATAAATCCCAGGCCCTGAAGATGATCTCAGTAAAGATAGAAACGTTGTTAAAGAAAATGTTTTTCTAAAACCTACGTCCTATCTCACCTCATGATCTCCAAATAATAAACATATACTAAAGACCTCGTTTAAATTAAATTTTTGACAAAAGTGTTTTTAAGCACAAGCACTTCTTTAAAAACTTGGTAATGTTATACAACAGTTTTATTTATAAACAAATTTTTTGATCATTTGTAATTGTCGTTTCTTGCATTGTTTTACAGTGATTGATAATCGCAATTCACACGCTGTCCAGAGATGATATATTTTGATAAAATATCTTATTCACGATGGGAAATCCCGCGAGTTATTTTAAAATATAACTCTTATTATCAGCCGTTATTATCTAAGAACTCAGCATATCTGGTGCATTTGACTAATTTTTAAAACTAAATTTATCTACATGGGATTTTCAGTAATAAAGGGATACGCGCATGTTTCTATTCTGGTCCGCTCAATCCCGCTGTATGTTGTAATGAAGGTTTGTGGTATCTTTTATTCGGACACTGCCGAATGGGACAATATACAAAATAATACAAATAAAATAAAATCCGAATTACAAAAAAAAAAAAAAAAATTGTGTTCCTTTTTAAAAATAAACAAACAAATTCAATTTTTCGAAATCAAATATACAAAATCTCTATTAAAAAATCATACAAAAAATATTTTCTTTTTTCTTGCCATTGACTTTTTTTATCTCAACTAAAAACCTTAATTAATTGTTAATAATAATAAATTTATCTTGAAAATTACAACATAAAAAAAAGATAAACAAAAAAATTAAAATTGTGATTTTCATGGCAATGTTTTGGACCCCTCTTATCTTGTCTAAGGTTGTACATTATGCAGGCAGAGGTTAATTAAAAAAAATTGAAGGTAGAAATTACCCGATAGTACTATAACTAGGAAGTGTGTAAAACAAAGGGGACTTAACAACTTACTGCAAGATTTTTTATGATCTCTCCACAGCTCGGAATTTATTTAAATAAAAAATAATAACAAGTCAAAAAACATTCTACAGACCTTCAATTACAAACATTTTTATTACTAATACTTTTTTTAAAACCTATTTTTTCAGTTTGTTTTTAGACATGAGTATATTTGTAATGGCACAAACGATTTCTAGTTTTTTATAGTTCGTCAGCTTATCAATGTCCATTATCAGTTTGTCAATTGAGCTATGTTTTCTTCCCCACAGGATTCTGCACGTGACAAACAATCCGTTCTTATTTTTGCTCTTTTCTTCTTGAGGTAGCTAATACCCTCCATACACGGGTTGACGCGCGCTCGACGCACTGCGACGCAACTTTTGCCACAAATCTACTTCCTGTGAAATAGGCAGGGATCAACACCGTTTTGGATTGGACTCGTGCGACTTGCAGGGCACTGAAAAAATCGAGCGTGTTTCGGGTTTAGTATCCTATGGAGGTGTCGAAAATAAAATATGTAAAGGAGGTGGAAGAGCATCCTGCATTGTTGCTTGCATTGCTTATTCCAAAGGACATCTCATCAGTGCGGGGCAAAACATGCGTTTCAGACTGGTTTCAAGTGGAATCAGGCGTAAGACAGGGCTGTATTCTTAGCCCTCTTCTCTTCTCTATTTTTACTGATGATTTACCTACTTATTTGAATGCAGGGATCAAGGTGAGTAGCTCGTATATAAAAGCCCTCTTGTACGCAGACGATGTGGTCTTGCTTGCGGATAATGTTTCCTCTCTAAAACAAAATATTAATAGACCGGCGAAATACTGCGACGTTTAGAACCTAACGGTTAATTTACAAAAATCGAAGGCCATTGTATTTAGGAGAGGAGGCAGACTAGCCTCGAAAGAAAAATGGTATTTTAAAGGGACTTCTATCGAAGTAGTAAATGAGTACAATTAACTTGGTGTGACGCTAACTTCTTGTTTGTCTCTCAGTACACACTTTGTGCAGAAAGTCTCGCACATGAAGAATGATCTGGTCCCGTTATCTTCCAAATTTAAAGTGTTTTATGCGGTTTGCCGTTCCATTCTCACGTACGGATGTCAAGTTTGGGGGTTTTCAACGTTATGATTAGTTGGAAAAATCATTGAGGTACTTCATCAAGCAGTTGTTGCCTTGCCTTCTTGTACCCGTGTTGATCCCTTATTTCTGCACACGTTAATGCTCCATTTTAAATATGTGTACAAAACCGTAAAACTCCCTGGTCACCGTTTGACGAAAATTACAGCTCAGGAGATAATAAATAAAAATATATTCTGGTATGACTGTTTGAGCACTGGAATTCCTTGTCAGAAGGATATCCTTCTTTCTGATTCTATCGAGGCAACATTTCTGAATGGATGGCAGGATTCCAGTCCATTCTTTCCAATATCGATCTAGCTCTACAACAGAAGAGGTCTAGCTATAACAAGAGGTTTTTGGAGCGAATGCTGACAACAGAGAGGTTTCTTTTGTACAGAGGCTTGACCCAAATATCCATGTGTTTTGCTTGACGGATGAGAAACATGGAAGAACACTAAAACTGAGGGATCTCCGCTGGCTCTTCAAACTCCGCGGTGAACTTCTGTTGGAAGTTAACTCTACCTCGTTGGTAGGCTGCTAGACGAGGTACAGAAATGTGCTCTCTGTGCAATACAAGAGAAAAGAAACCATCGTGTACTTTTTGGCTAAATGTATCATTATGTCCGAGATGTCTGCTTCATATTTGGGTAGGGCTGTGCTCTCGGAAGAAAGCCTAGTCGAACTTTTAAATAACCCAAGCCGGCAACTAATAAAATTCGCTCGTCACGCCTGTTTTACCGCCGGGAAATGGTAAAAGAGTTCAATTTTTGATTTATTAGAAGAAATTTTAACTTAATTAATGGTATATAATGTGTAATCTTGTCCTGTGTTCACCAGATTATTTTATTTCATTATTTTATTTTTATTTTTTTATTTTATTTTTCTTTCAATTATGTTATAAAACTCAGAGAACATTATTATATTTTATTGGCTATTTTATTATCTTTTATCAATATTTTATCAGTAATCTCGACTCCAAGAAGGATATTCCATTGCTGAAAATACTTGTTTTATAAAAGGGTATATTTTGTTATTTATAATAATTCTCAAATAAATTATTATTCCAAACGACACAACGCCGAAGGCGTGGAGTGAGGTTCTTGTCAGTTGTACATTGTTCAGTTGTATCAGTTGTTTAAATTATTACAACTTTCTGTATGTTGTTCAATTAATATATCAGAACCTTCTGAATGAACAGTAAATAAATATAATAGATACTACTCGTATATTTTCATACTTATATACATAAGAAAAATAAAAATTTTTTCAACTCGCTAGATCCATTACGGTAACCACTTAAAAATAAAAAAATATTAGTTACCTGTGGTGTTTAGTGACCGTTATTTAATGATTAATTGAAGATCGTGAGATGCGGTCTGGTGTGTCTCAGGTCCTGAAGATGATCTCAATAAAGATCGAAACGTTGGCGCGATAAAGAAAATGTTTTTCTAAAACCTACTTCACACCAGACCGTATCTCACGATCTTCAAATAATAGTAGTTATATTTTATTTAAAACAGACAAAATAAATTTTAGATTAATTTAAAATTTAGCCATTTAAAAAGAGTAGTTCCATTGCCCAGGATGTGATGCCAATGGAGTCAAAAAACAAAGGGATAAATATTCTTTGTAAGCATTTGCAGTTGAATTACCATTTATTTTTGCTCGAAATGGTAGAGTAAAATCACTCGGATAAGTAGAATCAGTGGAAATGGAGATTCGTTCCAATTTGTCGAGTTGATTGATAGCAATCTTTTTTTTTCTAACGTAATTGTTTAGTATACAAACTGCTCTAATGGATTTTTAATTGTATATTATGATCGTTGATCTTATTCAGGTCTCGGCATCGCATTGGAGTATTGAGTACATGGAATTTTCTTCCAACGTGCCGAATGCATTCAATTGTTTTTCTTCCACGGCTTAATCAATAATTGATTGTACGGATGTACCCATTCTTCTCTTCGTCTCCTTTTCATTTGACGGGAGAACATGACATTGTCCTCCTCATCACTTGAACTACTCATTATACAATCTTTAAAAAAAAAGTTTATGGTGAGATCACTTCTGGCAACGAGTAGACTGGACAAAAATCGACCCCTATATGGATACCCTTACGTTTATGTCGAACCGAGGTTGCGTTTGCAGTCGCATCGACCGCATAGGTAGATTTAGTAGTGTCTATGGACGTGGTCTAATTTCATCTGGATCTTCTTTTCTTTCGCCCTAAATTTGGATTGATTTTTCTTCAATATTAAGTTGTAAATTAATCCGGCTAAAATTAATTACACAGGTGCACATGGGTCAAAATTCTTCCTAGTTTTATCTCGACGGGCCTGTCTTGCTGAGTCAGATCAGAACCAATTGGGTAAAAGTGGTCGAAGGTGACCCACGGTCCTATCCAAGTGGCAATGACATTGGGGGGATGGGAGACGGGGGAATGTACTGTAGAAAGTAGAGAGGGCACCTACCTGTCTCCTGAGCCGTCCGCACTCCGCGGCTTCAGTCCTTCGCTACTCAGCTCGTCGACATGTGGTAAGTCGCTTTGGTATCACTTCTCCTTACGGGACTTTCGGTGCTTTTCTTGCTATCAAAAATAAAAAAATCACCGGTCAACCCTCTCAGTGATGCTGGAAACAGAAGAAACGGTGAACTCGCACATCTTTCTAACAATTTCCCATATTTTAAGGAACCTTGTTAAAGTTGAAAATTCTTGGCTTTTAAGTTCTTCTAAACTAAAAATTAATCATGAATAATTTCCTTTTTATTGATCTGCAAATTTGAATAAATTTCATATTAAATTTAAACATTTGAATTGAATTTTTTAAATTGTGTTGTATTTAATATTATTAAGGTACAAATCATCTCATTCGTAAAATGTGACTAATAACAGTGACATTTTTTAAAAACTCAACAATTGGGCTGTGCTAAAGCCACAGTAACATTTGGTAGATAGTAAACAAAATTGAACATACACACAAGATGTACGTTTTGTAACCAAAATTATCAACAATCACGTTCAATAATGTAACGTCATTTATTATATCGAAATAAATTCTCAGATTTATGTGTTTTAGGAACAAAAGATTCACATTCACATTTATTTAATAACTCAAAATTACATCAAATTCTCTAATTTTTACCTTAAATTTTGGATACACTTGAGTGTCACAGCAATGCCATTCTTATCATTTTTACAAAGCACATTAATACTTCTGGACGTTTGTTCATAAATTGTGCCCAATTACATTGACATTCTTAAAAAATCAAAATTAAAGAAATATAATGACATAAATTGAAGATTGCTGATTGCTAAATTCAAAATTTTCAAATGGCGTAGACATTTTTTTAGGAATTCAATTATTGAGTATTTTTATCGTTCAATAAATATTGGTAATCACATAGTTCAGTTGATTTTATACTTCAAAATTGAAGTTTTGGTTGATATGTATAATGTAGTAAGTTCAAGCTCATTGTTTATTGTATTCGTATTTTTTTAAAGAACTAGAGAAACGGACGTGGTATTAGTACAGATGGATCCAAAATGAAACGAATGTTTCACATTCACAATTTTTTAAATAATAAACTAAATCCCTGCTCACAAGAACGCACTTATAGATACTAAAGACTTGTACATTCACACTTTTGCTAAACTCAAGAATAGAGTACTCATTTTTTTAAATTGAAGTGATCACGTTCACATTTTTGAGAATCAAAATTGAACATGCCAAAGATTAAATTGAGTTATATTCCCACTTTTGTAAAACTCAAGAAATATAAACAGTAATCATTAATAAAATTGGAGTAGTCACGTTCACATGTTTGAGAATCAAAATTGAACATGTCATTGACTAAATTAACTAGTGATATGTAGAGATTAATGACCGTTAATCGATAGTTGTTCAGATATCGTGAGATGCGGTCGGGTGTGATGTAGGTTTCAGAAAAACATTTTCTTTATCGTGCCAACGTTTCGATCTTTTATTGAGATTGTAAAACTCAAGAAATTGAAAAAGGAACCATTTCTAAAATTTGATTAGACACATTCACATTTTTGAGAATCAAAATTGAACAGTAGTAGTACGTGTTTTTTTTTACATTGAAGTGATCACGTTCTTATTTTTAAGAATCAAAAATGAACTTGTCATTGACTAAATTCACTTGTGAATTACGTTCATATTTTTGTAAAACTCAAGAAATATACACAGTAGCCATTATTAAAAGTGGAGTAGTCACGTTCACATTTTTGGGAATCAAAATTGGACATGTCATTGTCCAAATTCACTAGTGACTTACATTCACACTTTTCTAAAACTCAAGAAATATACACATTAACCATTATTAAAACTGGAGTAATCACGTTCACATTTTTGAGAATCAAAATTGAACAGTAGTAGTACGTGTTCATTTTTTTTTAAAATTGAAGTGATCTCATTCTTATTTTTAAGAATCAAAAATGAACTTGTCATTGACTAAATTCATTTGTGAATTACATTCATGTTTTTGTAAAACTCAAGAAATATACACAGTAGCCATTATTAAAACTGGAATAATCACGTACATATTTTTGAGAATCAAAATTGAACATGTCATTGACTAAATTCACTACTGACTTACATTCACACTTTCGTAAAACTCAAGAAATATACACATTAACCATTATTAAAACTGGATTAATCACTTCACATTTTTTAGAATCAAAATTGAACATGTCATAGATCAACTTCACTAGTAACTACAGATTTGTAAAACTCAAGAAATATACACAGTAGCCATTATTAAAAGTGGAGTAGTCACGTTCACATTTTTGGGAATCAAAATTGAACATGTCATTGATTAAATTCACTAGTGAGTTACATTCACATTTTTGTTAAACTGAAGAAATATACACAGTAACTATTATTAAAATTGGAGTAGTCACGTTAACATTTTTGATAATCTAAATTGAACATGCAATTGATTAAATTCATTAATGACTACAGTTACACTTTTATAAAACACACGAAATATGCACAGTAACCATTTTAAAATTGGAATAATCACGTTGACATTTTCGAGAATAAAAATTGAACAGGAGTAGTACGTGTTCGCTAAATTTAGAACCCATGTTGGCATGCATAATTTTGTCTTGATGTTCTTAAAATTTCACCACCCAATTTTAATTTATTAAAAGACTCCAGTATATGAAAATAGACCAGTTTAGAAAGAGAGGATAGGGCATCAGACAGACCTGTTTTTGTATTCACGTTTTGTAGGCACTTTTAATATGTCATTATTGAAATTTATCTGTGATTTGCGGATTTAAAAAAAATCATAAATTAATCATTTTTTCTCTTCGTTAAAATGGGTTTTTTCGAGTGCACGTTTTCCCTAAAAGCCAAGTTACGAAATATCGGCTTGTTCCCCTTCCCAAGCTTGGGAGCGACTTAAGAAGTCCGAGGAAGACTGTTAGAACTGAGTTCCCTGGCTAATTAGAAGACGTGTTATTACGAAAACTTTTCTTTAAAAAAAATCAATTTGAGTTTAAGATGTGATGTACTTATGTGAGAATATTAGAAAGAAATGTTGGTAAAGATTCTGTTATTATGTGCTATCAGAATTCTCATGGGAAGCCTTGGAATTTTTCTTTTCATGAAATTAAACGATTCATAGCCTTTATGGAAAAATAAGATGAAACACATAAATATTCACTGTAGTTAGAAAAACCCCTAAAATTTCACATACTGCAAGTTTACTTATCTAGTAATGGTACAGCAAACGTTCCAGGTAGGTTTGCTCAGCATCAATGTCTGAAACTTTGCATTCCGTTTAATTAGAACCCCTGGTCTTTCTGGGAAAGAAAACAATGAAAACGAGAAGCGGAAATTGCCAGCGCCAGGTGAAGTTGCAACAACACCACTCAAAAATCGAAGTGAAAGTCTACCATGATGATCTGCCAACCTAGCACAATCGAAACTATTTATTCTTATATTTTTTAAATTGTTGAACCGGCTCGTTTATTTTACACCATTTCCAGAAAAAAAATATGCCGATTTTTAATAGCACGAGTTGTAGCACATCGCCTCTTTTCCGGTTCATAACTGTTTATCAGCTCGGAAATAATAAAAGAAAAAGATGTCTTCATGAAAAGAAGACAGAAGACTTCCAGTTCGCAGTCCCGTTCTCCGCTATATTTTAGTTCCGCTGGTGCCGTTTTAACAACTGTAAGCATCGGAAATGGAAAGATTTTCATGTTGATAAATCCTTTAGATTTTAAATTGAATGAAATTCATGACTTTGTACTTATGAAACACGCTAGAAAGAAATTTAAAAGATCCCATCTCAATCAAATCCGTTCCTTCGGGATATGTCTAGACAATAATCAAAACAGTTCTCACACATTAAAATACCCATAACGACTTTCTACTCTCGGGCCAATTTGCAATAGGGAACGTCTGAGAAAATGTCCATTTCACTTCTTCCGCCTTTCTTGAATTTCCAGAAAGGATGTTACGCGGGAAAATTCGCGTCGAATACCTAACGGAGGGTGTATTTTTAAAATCGTCGACATTTTCTGACATGCGGTATGTAAAATTAAACATAAGGCAATAAATTGCTACAAAATAAAGATTTAGACCCACATCGACATCACCAACCATTACTAACTAATTAAAAAAATGATTTTCCAAAACGTAAATTAATATATATTATATCTACCAATCTTACATACTTTTTCTGTTATGTTTAGCTTGTTTTTAACTTAATATGTTTTTTTATAGATAATGTGTGCTATTAAAAATAATTATTCTAAATTAAACTTCAATTACAAAGTTTGAATTGACCACTTTCATCAATTGTCACAATCATTATTAAATGATTAAAAAATTACTAATTTATCTACTACTTTAAATATTAAATTTACCTGGTTGTAAATCTAAAACAATCAATTTTTTTTTGTTTTTGTCCTCTTTCCTTATTCCACTATGGATTATAGGTTTTATTTTTACTAGGCCAACATATCAACTATTAAAGCTACTTACTTTCTGAGATTAGCTTTGTAAAAATAAAACAAATAATCAATAATTACTTTAACTTGAACTTCAAATGAAAAGTTTGAATGGACTAGCTTCGTTAGCAATAATTATTATATCTTCCTTGACTTAGTAGTTATTTTTCTATAGTGATTTATACTTTGTGAAAAAATTCCTAATCTCTATCTTTTGAAATTAACAATTTACAATTTGAAAATTAAACCAATGAATAATAAAATCTAATCTATCATAAAAATGATATCAAATTGTTATCTTCATCATCATGGATCTAAATATTCTTTTTGTTCAGATGTTAAACTTGATTAAATACTTTACTATAATTGTTTTACAGTTTGTCAAGCACGAAAAAGTGAACATCAATCCAAAATGTTTTCTATCCAAATCAACAAGTTTTTAAAAACTAATGATAAATCGTATTCGCTTTCTTGACCCGTATGTACTTTTCCAATTGGTTTATTTGGTTATGTACTTTTTAAAATCATTATTTTATGACCTCATTCTAAA